TCCGCCGGATGTTCGAGCTTCACCACGCTTAGCTCAAGCAAAACATTAGAAGGACTTCCACCGTCGACATACCCTCGTCCGTCATGAGCAGCGTCCTCAGACAGTATGTGAGAGAGACACGGACAGCTCGAGATCTAATACTGAGATCCGCCGTTCAGCAGCACGCTCATCGCTCCGAGTTCCCAGCCACGATCCCCGCAAAGACACGCGCAGCGGTGGGGGGGGGGGGGGGGGGCACGGTGGGTCAGTGAGTCGAGACGAGCGCAGAGGGTCGAGGCCGAGGACGAGGGAGGAGTCGCGACGCACCCCAGTCACAGACGCCCTTGTTGCAGACGTGGTGCGAGTCGGAGACGATGCGCATGTCGCCGCAGACCGACGTGTCCTTGCATGGCTTGTAGACGGCGCGAGCCTCGAGGGTAGAGAGGCCTGTTCGCGATTGAGAAGGTCAGGTCCGGGTCGAGGAAGGTCAAGGAGGCGGCAGAACGTACCCTCGGCGCTCGAGACGGGAGCGGCGACCGCAACAAAGGGAGCGACGGCGGCGAGGACGGTGAAGAAGAGCGAGGCGTGCATGATGGCGGGTAAGGGTCCGAGGGAGAGAGAGGACGAGGAAAGGAAGAAGCAGTCGAACGCCGTGAGGCCCATCTTGTACGCCCGCCGCCGGGGCCCGAGTCCCTCAGAAAAGCCGGCGTCTCCCTCCTCTGCGCGACATCAATGCAGCTGCACCCCCTCGAGTGCTGCCCGGCCAAGAGGGAGGGACCGTTTCGCGCGCCCGGACCGACGAGACGGCTCGGCCCCGCAGCGAGCGGTCGAGCAGGACAGCTCGATCGCCCATGCATGGACGTCTCGTCTGTTGCAGAAGCTGGAGCGTGGACGCCGAAGAACGAAGCGAGGGTGCCGCGAGGGACAAGGAAGACGATCGAGCGCCCTCTTCTCTCTGCCGGGCCCGAGGCTCCTCGCGCCCTTGTCTGCGCCCGTGCGACATGTTGTGCATGCTGCTCGTCGAGTACCAGGAGCTCAATGCCCCGACGCCGCTCGGTAAAGCGCGCGAAGGCGAGCCGAGAACGAGTTGCGCTCGGCGGACTCGTAGAAGCGCCTCGCCGGAAGCAGCACCGCAATTCATTAAGGACGAGCGGCCTTGGAAGCGCGCGACAGGCTCCACCGTGCACGCGAGGAAGCAGCCAGGACCCTCGTCTCGCGCTCGACCGCCCGGCCTCCTTTTTTCCGGGGTCGCCCCGCGAGCCACGCGAGCTCGAGGGCAGGGTCCGCCTGCGGTGCGCAGAGAGGCGAGGAGCGAGAGCGCGCACGCCGTGCAGCTGGTGCAGTCGCAAGAATGCGAGCGAGTGAAGTGGCAGAGCGAAAGAGGCGCGTCGCCGAGCAAGCGGCGCTCGAGCGAAACAGGCAAGCGAGCGCGCTCCGGTCGCCGAGAAGGTCAAAGCGCCGACAGCGCTCTTGCGGTCCGCGGCGTCGCCTCGGCGTCGGCCAGCAAGCGGCTTCCGCTCGATCGTGCGGCTCGAAGCTATCGGAAGCTGGCGAACAAGGTGCGGGCAGAAGGCCGGCGGCGAACCCGACTCGCAGGCGACGCAGCAGCTCTCGCGGCGGTTCTCTCGCACGCACAGCTCTCTGAGGACGTGAACGACCGTGACGGGATAGGATCAAACGTTTTGCGTTCACGGACCAGCCGCAGCATCAAGGAGGAAGTACAGAGAGGAAAAGAGAGAACGGCCGCTCAGCCAGAGCCGGCGCCGTTGACGGCGTAGCTGCGATTCGCGAACACTGTCAGTGCCTCGACTGACACAGAGAGAGAGGAGGCCGCAGACGCACCGAGAGTTGCGCGAGCCGGTGAAGCGCCACGAGACGTTCGACAGGACGACGTTCTTGTCGTTCGTCTGCTGGCCGCCGTTGAGCTTGGTGAAGGCGTTGTAAATCACGTCGGCGCTCGTCGACGTGCGCACGTACTGGTCGTCGAAGGCGTCGGCTGCAGAGGAAGGAGATAAGTGAGCGACCCGGCTCGTCGAGAGTCGACGACGAGGAGGAAGGCGGGGAAGGGGAGGAAGCGGACGATGGGGTGGGACAGCCAAGGGCTACGACGGGCACGAAGGAGAAAGAGCGAGAGGCTCACCGATGTAGAGCGTCTGCGAGACGCCGTTCGAGGTCGTGAAAGTGGCGCCGAGGCCGCAGTACGCCGCACGGGCCGCGTTCTCGTCGCCGTTAAAGTCGGCGAGCATCGTGTTGAGCGACACCGCAAAGCCCGGGACATTGTCGTCGTAAGGATACAAGCACCAGCTGTGCCCTGTGTTGACGACGAGAACGGTCAGCTCAAGAAGAAACGACAGAGGAGACTTTGAGGAGGAGGACGCACCGTTGGTCGAGTCGGTCGCCGAGTTGGTGTGGTACCACGACACGATGGCGCCCGTGTTGGTCCCCGTGAAGCTCTTGACGCCGCTGGACGAGACGACGTCCGACTTGGTCGAAAGCTGGTAGTTGGCGGCGCTCGCGACGGCCTTCTTGACGCACTTGGTGCCCGACTTGGTGTAGCCGCTCTTGCAAGCTGTCACGGCGACGAACCAGAGTGTCAGGATCGTCGTCGACGCCTGAGAGGCGACAGAGGGACGAGGAAAAGGAGGACGTACTCCACGAGCACTTCTTGCTGCTCAAGCACACCCGCTGCGCATTCGCCGGGATCGTCTGCTTGCACTGCGACGTCTTCGAGCAGCTGACCGCACGCCGCTCGAGAGCCCCTGCGACGTCTGGAGGTGAGGACGAGACTAGGCGTCAGGTCTCGCGGTCGCTCGAGAAAGAGAGAGAGAGTCGGGGCGCACCTTCCGCCTGGGAGGTCTCGAGGGCCGTCACGACGTCGAGCTCGTCCACGGCGACAGGTGCGGCGCGTGTGACGAGAGGGGCGAGGGCGGCGAGCGCAGAGAGGAAGATCGAGGAGCGCATGGTCGTCGAGGTTGAGCGGATGTGGCTTGAGCGGCGAGGGAGAGGGAGGAGCGCGGGAAGGAGACGGTTGTCGACGAGAGCGCGACGGGCAGAGCAAGCTGGAGAGCACGCAGCAGGACCGGTGCAGCGAGGTGCGCCCCCAGCACTCTCGCCGACGAGGAGCGACCCTTGTTCCACCGGCGCAGAGGGCCAGCTTCTTCGAAGCAGGGTGCGCCGGCCGACCGCCCGTTGAGCGTCTCGATCGTAGCCAGACACGCATGAAGCCGGCTGCGGCCATGCGTGCGGCTGGGAAAGCCGGACGGCGTCGACGCAAGTCGATCAGGGTGCTCGAAGCGTTTCTAGACCGCTCGCGGGGAGGAGAGGGAGCGCGCCCTGTTTTCGGAGCGAGCGCGGCAAGCCCTGCGGCCGACTCGGTGCCACCTCGCGCGCATGCAGCAGTGCATGCTGTCGCTGAGCCCGACACGCGCATCTGCCCGCTCGCGCGGCGGTGAGAGCGGCGAGGCGAGGCGAGGCGAAACTTGCGGGGAAGAGGCCGCCGCGAGCGTGGCCAGCTCCACCGTAGCGGCGCAGCTGTGCGCACAGGTCGTGCGCAGGCAGGTGGCAAGACCGCCGAGCGGTGCACGCCGTCGCGAGGCGGCGAGTCGGAGGGAGGGGGAAGAGTGGGCGAGCGGCGGCGGGGGAGCTCTGGCGAGGAGGACGAGGTGGCGCGTCGAGAGCTGGCTGCCGCGAGCATGTCGACACAGTCTCGGCGGCTGGGACTCTTGTGCGGACGGAGTGAGCGGGCAGGGAGAGAGAGAGGAGGGAGGACGCTCGGCTCGGCTCGAGCGGCAAGGTCTCTGTCAATCGGCGAGCACTCGAACGATTGTCTCCCTCGCCGGTTCACGCATGCCCACTCGTGCCTCTGCTTCAATCGCGACGGCCGAAAGAAGACTGCAGAGCGGGGCAAGTGCGCTAGGCAAAGTCTCCTCGCTCCAACCTGCCGATCTCCTTCTCGACTGCGCCGAGCCCGGCATCGCTCCTTGCGGGTTGGCGACCAGCTGGCACGACTCGACAGGTCGCACTCGCCGACGCCGGCGCCGCGTGCCGGCCCGCGAGCGTCATGCGCGTCGCCCATGCTCGTCGTCGACGAGCCCTGCTCCTCGACCCTCGCTCCTTCTCATCGCTCCTTGCGCCACACGAGCAGCGGCCTGCTGAACCCACCTTCCTCCCGCTCGATGTGCTTCTCGAGCACGAAGCCGGCGGCCTCCATCTCGCGCTCGAACGGCGGCCGCAGCTCGATGCGCTTGAAGACGTCGCGCAGGTCCTTGTTGCGCTTGACGGCGCGCTTGTAGTTGTCCCACTCTTGCGCTGCGTGGCGAGAGCAGAGTCAGTATACCGAGACGGGCGCAAGGAAAAGAGGAGAACGAGAGGGACTCACGCTCGATGATGACGATGCCGCCGACCGGGAGGAACGTGTACAGCGAGCCGAACAGGCGCAGCATGCCCTCGTCGCCGTGATGCAGGTGCAGCCACTTGGTGATCGAGAAGAGCGTGACGACGTCGAACCGGGCTGCCGCTGGTGGCTCGATAGCTGGCGACTCGTCGGCGGCCGGCTCGGCGACAGGGCGCTCGTCCTTGATCGGCGGTGCGCCGCTGCCGCTCGACGCGCTCGCCGCCCGAGTGCGCATCTCGACCTGGAAGCGCTCGAACCAGCCGTCGAGCATGATGTTGCCCTGCAGAAAGTCGACGCGCGGGTCGCCGTCCTTGAGCCCTCGCGCGGCGGCGGCCGCCCAGCAGTCGTCGATGAGGAGCGGGTCGATGTCGACGCCGACGACACGGGCTGCGCCGAGGCATTCGAGGGCGTCGAGGGCAATCTTGCCGCTGTTGGTGCCGATGTCGAGGAGGGTGCGGCCGCGAAAGAGGGCTGGGTCGAGGAGCGAGAGGCGACCGTCGAGCGAGTTGGGGGCGTCGGCCGTGACCGCGGGTGCGCCGGTGGAGCCCGGCCGGAACGAGTAGTAGCTGCGGTAGTTGCCGTACGGCCACAGCTCGCGGTGGTTCTGCTTGTTCTTTGCCGACCCGGTCGAGCTGCGAGGGAGAGGAGCGGGATCAGCTCTGGGGGAGAGGACGGCGGCCAGAGGGGGTTGTGTGCTCACGTTGGAGGCGTCTCGCAGTGCGGCTGGCTCATCTCGTTGTCGGCGAGAGGGTGGTTGAGGCGAAAGTACCTTCATCAGTTGCCTCCGGCTTGGTCTCCCCTCCTCCTCCCGCTCACAGACAAACAGGCCCTGCTGCTGCCTCAGATCTACTCAGCTAGCCTGCAAGCTTGAACTGCACCCGACAGCGCGCGCACGACGTCTCTCCCCGAGGTCGCCCACCGCCTGTCCCTCGCTCGACATGGGGCAGCCACTTCCAGCCGACCCACGTGCGTCGCGCGCCTCTCTCTTGTTCACTCGTAGTGTACACGAACTGACCTTCACTCCTCAGCCCCGCGCCTGCAACCGCCCTCGAGCCCTCCCCAACGTCCCCCCACCACCGCGTCATTGTCACCCGAGCCACCAGCTCTGGCGACTCCTTCACCGCCAACCACTCGCACCCGCCTCCCGCATCACCAGCGCTTCAACTCGCCCACATACGGCCTCGATCCCGAGGTCGTCGCCCTCCTCGGACGCTCTCCTCGCGTCGAGCCGTCGCCTCCCTCCTCGTCCGCGCACTTCGTCTCGCCGCCTCGCACGCCCTTTGACAGCACCTCAGCCAGCGCTAGCACCGCGTGGGACCGGTGGCTCAACGAGCGCAGCAGCTACCGGCGCGCACTGCCGCTCTCGGTACCCTCGGCCGACCTCGTCAGCAGCCTCGGGCGCGTGCGGGACTCGGCAGAGCGGCTCCGCGAGGCCGAGGCGCGCATGGCCGGCGGCCAGACGGCGAGAGCGTCGGCAGCGCCCACGAGCCGGCTCCCCGACACGCTCACCAACTTTGCCGACTCGCTCGAGGAGCCGCGCCGGGCGCTCGAGCAGGTCCGGCAGCGCCTCGACGAGACGAGGCAGCGCGTCGCGGCCGTCGCGGCCAACACGAGGAGGCGAGAAGTCGAGCTGGACGAGGCGGCGGAGCGGGCGAGGGCGCAGGCGCGCGACAGCCTGGACCGCACGGTCGACTTTGCCTCGAGGTGCGCTCGCTTCTCTTCCTTCCTCCTGCGAGGCACGTCCTCACATTCTCTCGCTCCCAACAGACTTGATCACCTCGCCAACACGCTCAACTCGATCGCGCAACGTGCCTCGGCCCTGTCGCCAGCCCTCGAGCCGCTTCGCCAACCTGCTCGACCGGCGGACCTCGTCAGCTCGGCCGCCGAGCTCGAGCCGCCGAGCATCGCCGCGCAGACCAACAGCATCCGCGACACGGTGCGGCAGCTCATGCTCGCCTCGCGCCGCGTCTCGTCCGCCGTCGACCGCCACCGCGAGCTTGCGGTCGGCGCCTCGACCTCGCCGGCGCCGGCCCTCGACGAGCCTCTGCGCGTCGTCGTCCTCTCTTCCACTTCCTCGTCCGACCCAATGGCTCACCAGCCCGACACGTCGCCAAACCCGTCCGGCCTCCTCCTGCCCACCTCGACCCACTTCACCTCCTCGCCCGCCTCCCTCTCCCCTTCTCCCTCACCGGACGCCGCCTCTCTGCGCGCACCCTCTACCTCCTTCCCGCCCCGTCCACCTACCGCATCCGAGCGCGAGAACTACCCGGGCGAGCGCGCCCAGCTGCTGCGCATCGCGGCGCTCCAGGCCGACATTGCCGCCCGGGCAGGCGAGCTGCGCACCTTGCGCGAGCGAGGGCGCGAGGTCGACCGGGAGCGGCGGGCGCTCGAAGGTGGCAGCGGTGGAGCAAGCGCGGGAGCTGCAGCTGGAGCGGGTGCGGGTCTGCTCGAGGACAAGGACGAGGAGGACGATGACGGGCTGCGGGGCGCGCCGTTCGCGAGGGCCGAGCGCATCCCGCTCTTGCTCGACGGGCGCACAGGGAGGGGCCTCGCAGAGCAACACGATGAGGGTGCGGGTGCCGGCGGGAGGAAGCGCGCGAGGACGGCGGCAGAGCTGAGGCGCGAGTACGAGGTGTGGGCTTTTTGCGGGAGGTGAGCGAGGGAGGTCGTCGAGCGTCTCTCTGTTGTTGCCAATACCCTTTCGCCCTGCTCACAAAAGCTCGAGAGACGAGAACGAGCGAGTGATGCACTGCAAATGCGACAACAAGGGGTGCGGGAGGAAGACGATGCGAGATGTGCGACAGGAGAGATGCGAGGGGGTAGCAGCAACAGATGGTGTGGAGTGCGAGGAACGAGTGGAACAAGGTGGTAGTGTATAAAGAGACGGGAAGAACGAGGAGAGCGAGAGAGAGAAAGGGAGAGGGAGGGGGAGCTAGTGATCGGTCGACCCGCCGTTGACGTTCGCCGACTCGTGCCCTGCGGTGCCGTCATCGTCGTCCTTGCTCTCGACGAGCTTTTTGGTGTAGTCGGCGAGGTCGGCGGCGAGCGCTCGCAAGCTCGAACCCGACTTGACGAGCCAATGGTTGACTGCGCGAGGAGGAGAGGCCGGGTCAGATCGAGGCCGAGGCTGCAGAGGACGACGAGAGAGAGAGAGAGAGACGAGGACGCACTCTGACCGGACGTCATGACGGCCGGGTGGTCGCCGAGAGTGCTGTCGAGGCCCGAGATGGCGACCTGCGAGTTTGAGAAGGTCAGTCTAGTTCGCGCGCACAGGGGGGAAGAGGCAGAGAGGGAGGTCGGGACGCACAATACGGGCCGGGCTCAGGTCCTCCTGTCGCTCGTACTCGCGCATCTCGCGGGTGGCCTGGATGCCGTCGACCTCGGGCATCTGGATGTCGCACCACACGAGGTTGGGCCGGAACTCCTTGAAGCGCTCGATGGCCTGCGCGCCGCCGCTCGCCTCGGCGAACGTGACCTTCTTCGTCTTGAGGAACGTGACGAGGATGCGGCGCGCGATCGGGTTGTCGTCGACGATGAGGACGCGAGCGGGCGAGGGAGCTTGCTGGGCGGCGGACGAGTCGGCGGGCTTGTCGGCGGGCAGGCCCGACACGAGCGTTTTCTTGGCGCCCTGCGCGAGCGAGCCCGTGCGCTCGTCGTCCTCGACGAGCTTGGACGCGTCGGCGACCGATGGTCGGTCCTCAGGCTCGGCCGACGACGACGGCGTGCGGCTCTGCGGGTCGAACAGGCTCGCGAGCTCCTCGCTCAGGTTGCGCGTGACGGGTTTGGGCAGGCCCTGGATCGAGCCGGTGCCCGTAACGCCCTCGAGCGGGACGACGACGGTCGCGGTCGTGCCGACACCGGGCGCCGACTTGTACCGGAGCGTGCCGCCCATGCGCTTGACGATGCTCTCGGCGACTGCGAGACGACGAGGGCAAAGAGTCAGACGACGTGCTCAACAGGAGAGTGGGAGACAGGGACGCACTGCTGACGCCGAGCCCTGCACCGTTCGTGAACGAGTCCTCCTGGCGGAAGGCGACAAAGCTGTGCGGGCACTCGAGGGTCAGTGAGGGTCGCACAGAAGTACAGACAGGACTCGGCGACGCACAGGTGATCGCGCAGAAACTCCTGCGACATGCCCTTGCCCGTGTCCTCGACCTCGAAGCGGATGCGGCGTGCGCCGTCCGTGCACGGGATGCCCTCGGGCGCGACGACGAGCGTGATCGAGCCCGTCGACGTGAACTTGAGCGCGTTGCCAAACAGGTTGATGAGGACGCTGTGGGCGAGAGAGTCTGTCAGTAAGGCGCTCGAGCAAGGAAAGGACCGAGGGAGAACGAGGCGGACGCACCGCTTGAGGCCGCCGATGTCGACCTTGGCCTTGACGCCGGACGGCAAGCTCGTGCGCAGCATGACGTCGACCTTCTCGACAGCCGACGAGTTGCTCTGGCCCTCGTCGCCGGCGCGCATAGCGGCGAGGCGCTTGGCCTTGTGCCAGCACGACTTGACGACGTCGATGACGAGCGACTCGAGGTCGACCTCGGTCAGGCTCGCCGAGACCTGGTCGCCGTTGTTGAGCTTCGAGACGTCGAGCGTGTCGTCGAGTACTTCTCGGAGCGACTGGAGGCAGATCTCGGCGACTTCGAGGAGCGGGTCGATCGAGGCGAGTGCGCTCGGCTCGGTCATGGTCCGGATGAGCTCGAGTTGCGAGCCGATGGCGAACATGGGGGTGCGGAGCTCTGCGAGGAGGGGAGAGAGGCAGGTCAGTGAGCTGAACCGAGGCGAGGCGCCGGTGCGAGGGAAGGGAAAAGGGAGGAAAGGGACGCACCGTGCGAGACCTGCGACAGGAACGCCTGCTTGGCCTTGTCGGCGGCGAGGATGCGCTCCTGCAGCATGCCGGCGACGAGGAGCGCGCCGACGCTCTGGACGAAGCGCTGGTCGGTCGCCTCGTACTGGAAGTGCTGCTTGCGCGAGCCGACGACGACATAGATGGCGGGCTCGCCCTCGTGGTCGAACACGGGCACGGCGACGACGGCCCGGACGTCGGGCGTGAGGATGCCGGCGAGCGGCGTGTTGAGGGTCGGGTTCGGGTTGTCGGACGTCGGCAGAGGAGCCGAGAAGGAAATCTGGCCGGTCTGTGCGTGCGGGACAACGTCAGGAGGGGACAGATACGACGAGACAGCGAGCGAGGACGCACCTTGTGCCAGTCGGCGAGCGCCTGGGCGATCGAGTTGACGCCGGAGCCCGAGTTGACGACGGCCTCCCAGTCCTTCTTGCGGCTCGCCGTCGCGGCGTCCGACTGGCCGCACTCGGCGTCCATGATCGACACGAACCCTGGACCGTGCAGCTTGGCGTCGCGACGGTGAGGAGCGCTCGCCTTGCGCTTCTGCAGGTACTCGTCGCGGCCGGTGAGGGCGTTCGGCGAGGCGGGCGGCGTTGGTCGACCCGACTGCGCCGAGGCTGGTCGCGACTTGCCGAACTGGCTCGACGTCGAGGTAGGCGAAGGAGGCGGCGTGAGGTCGGTGGCCGAGTGGTTGAAGCCGCGCAGGTCGAGGACGAAGGCAAAGTCGGAGCCGGTCCACCGGTGCAGCTCGGCCGCCGTGCCGCTGAAGTTGCACGGCAGGGTGGTGGCGCTGCTGACGAGGTTGCGCGACGGCCAGACGATGAGCGAGTTGAGGACGTCGCGCAGGTAATCTTGCTGACCGTCGGTCGCGCGGCGGCGTTGCTGCTCAAACGCGAGCTCGACTGCGGATGACGAGCACGGTGAGCTCCAGCTCGACCTTGGAAAGAACGAGAGAGAGGAACGAGGGACGCACACTCCTTGGCGGCCATGTCGGCGAACTGCTTGAGCATGCGCTCTTGCCGGTCGGTGAGCTTTGGGCGCGGCGTCTCGTGGATGAGGCACAGGGACCCGACCGGCAGGGCGTCGACGTCGGCTTCTGCGGGAACAGGCTCGATCGAGGTGGACGGCAGGTAGATGTCTGCGTGCGAGGGACACAGGGTCAGGACGGGGTGGCCTCGACTAGTCGACCCGGCTCGTGTCGGGAAAGGGAGGGAGCTCACTGCTCGAGGCGAAGAACTGGATGCGGCCGTCTCCTTCTTGCACGAGCGGGCTGCGCCGGAAGCGCCAGTCCTGCGCCGTGTTCGGGATCTGGAAGCACCCGGCGCTGCGCGGCTTGGCCATGCCGTGCGGGCAGAACGACGCCGAGAGCGGTACGACGGCCTGGGGCGCGCTCGGGTCGCGCTCGTTGTCGTCCCAGCCGCTCGTCGACACGAGGAGGACGCGGTCGTCGAGGACGACGTTGATCACGACGGCGTCGACGTCGAACACGTCGCGGGCGAGGGATGCGAGCTCGTCGATGGCCGGGATGCGGCCGACCTCGTACAGCGAGTACCGGCGCAGGACGCGACGACGCTCTTGCTCGCGAGCTGCGGGGCGTGCCAGGTTGGTCAGCCCTGTCGTGCCTGGCGGGCAGGGGAGAGAGGGAAGCGAGGGACGCACGGCTTCGAAGCGCAGGGAGGTAGCCCTCGCGGCGGTAGAACGCGCGGGCAAAGTCGACGTCGGCGCCGTCGCGAGGCAAGGTTGGCGGCGGTGACGAGCTGGCGGACGACTCGCCGCCGCTGAACACAAAGTCCCGCGGTCGCTCGACCGGGGCCGCCTCCATGTCGGTCGCGCAAGAGCCGTCGTCGTAGCGGTGCACGAGGGCGGCCCAGGGCGGCGAGTCGGGCTTGGGCGGTGGTGCGGCGTCATGGCTGCTGCTGGACGAGGCGGCGGCGAACGAGGCCGAGGGGGAAGGCGGCGCGATGGCGACGAAGAGGGGAGGGGCCATCACCACTGGGGCACAGGCGCGGCGCGCAAGAGGTGGGGTGCTTGGTGGGTGCACGCAAGCTGGTGGACGGGCGAGCACAGCACAGCACGGCTCTGGCGAGGCTCTGGTCGAGAGCGGCGGGCCGGCCCTTCCCCCTCCCAAGCTCGTCGATCTTGCTTCTCCGCGCGCGCGTCTGCGACAACGGCCAGCTGGGGCAATCTCTCCGCACCACGCCGGTCCGTGCCTGACCTCGTCCTGCGGTCTGGCCGCCTGCTGCTGCCACAACGTTGACGAGTCGCCGCGTCGTCCTCGCCGCTCGCCGTTCGCATCGCGATGCGCCTCGCAGGAAAGCTCTCGGTTCTCCCACCGTCGACGTCTACGAGAGCGAGGACCCGCTCTCGACCAGGGGCAGGACGCGGAGAAGGCGGCGACGATCACGAGAGCGACGAAAGAGGTGGTCCGAGCGACCCAAGTCGATGACGCGCTCTGGCCGCCAACTTTCTTCCTCCGAGCTGCCGACGCCCGGCCCTCGTGTGGGCGACCGCTGCACACGCGGGCAAGGGCGGACACGAGAAGCTTCTCAGCGAGATTGAAAAGCGCAGGCGCCGAGCAGCTTCCGCCGAGGTGCAGCTGCCCACCTTCCCAGTCATGGCGAGCGTCGGCTCACGCAAAGCGATAATGCGCTTCGACTCTCGAGAGCGGGAGATCTTGCGCTCCTCGTAACGACGGGCTCCGCACGGCTGGTCGTCCTCGTCGCAGATCTACCCGCCAGCTCGTGCGCTCGCTCGATGGCCTGTCTCTGGGGCCCTCTCTGCGCTCGCGGCCGGCACGAGAGCAGAAAGTGACGCGTGTGTTGCAGACAGCGACGAGAACCCGCGCAGGCTCACCCTCGCTCGACAATGTCCCACCCGCTGCGGACGGTCGGGCAGAGAGGGCGTGAGCGGCTGGCGGCGTCGCGGAAGGCCAGCGCGCACGAGAGAGAGAGAGGGGTCGAGAACGCACTGGTAGACCTGGTGGAGGACGTCGATGGCGAAGCGGCTGTAGGTGCTCTGCGGCGTCCCGACGAGGCCGCGTCCCCACGCCGCGACCTGGGCGTCGAGCTGCGGGTACAGGAACTGGGCGAGCGGCGTCTTGTCGTCCTCGTTGCGGAGCCGGTTGAGCCGGCCGAGCGACTCGAGCGCGCCAAAGTCGGACAGGGTAAACGTGCACGGGAAGGCGGTAAAGAAGACGGCGAGGTGAGGGTCGTCGGCGCCGAGCTTCGAGTCGGTCGCGATGAAGAGGGGCGCGTTGAAGGGGAGGAGGTGCGTGGCGCTGTGGAGCGGGCGGCGACAGGTGAGGGTGGGCGACAGGGGCGAGTCGTCGAGGGTGCGGATCTTGGGCAGCGCCGGGAGCGGCGCGTGGTGGTAGGCGCCCTCGCGCTGCGGTCGCGAGTTGGCCCGCTTGACGAGCGTCGCCTCGTCGATGCTCTCCTCGCCGCCCCGCCGAACAAGCCGCTGGCGCTGACGAGCCTCGCTCAGGCCCCACGCCTCGTCGCACACGTCGTCGCCGAGCTTCATCTTGTCGCCGCACAGCTTGTCCCACACGCCGCGCATGTTGTCGTCGGCGTTCTGCTGGAACACGCCGTCGCCGACGCGCAGGTGCAGGCCGTGGTACCGCCCGGCGCCGCCGAGCAGGTCGCGCACCTCGTCGGCGACGGCGTCGACCGCCTCGGTGCGGAACACCATGGCGCGCCGGAACACGCCGCGCGCGTCGTACCCGGCGTCGCTCACGAGGCGCAGCCGGTTCGTGCCGAACATGCTGCCGACGTGGACGAGCTTGTGCGAGGCCGAGTCGCGCGCGAGCTGGTCGATGTCGATGCGGCTCGTCCACTTGTCGAGCGGGTCGGCGTCGTCGGCCGAGTCGTAGAACCGGTACTGGTACATCGTGTCGTCGCGGAGCGCAAACACGTCGCGGCGCTCGCCGTGGCGGTCGGGCTTGGCGAGGTCGAGCTCGCCCGCGAGCCATGCCATCGACATGTTGGAGCGGCGCTTGACGGGCACGAGCTGCTCGGCGTCGCTCAAGTCGACGAGGAAGCTCCAGTCGACCGTCGTCCAGTCCCAGAAGCCGTCGCACTCGCGCGGGATCGGGTCGGTCGTCGAGCCCTCGCCGAACTCGACGCAGTGCTCGAGGCCCTCCTTGGTCGCCATCTCGAGCCGCCGCTGCAGCTTGTCGAACGAGATGTACGGGATGGCGTGGCCGACCCACACGGGCGGGAGGAGGAGGGTGCGCTTGAGGAGGAAGGCGAGCGTGAGGGCGTTCTCGAGCGAGATGCGCTGGTTGTGGTAGCCCGAGTGCGGCGAGTACGCGAGGTACCGGTCGGCGAACGGTGAGGAGGGATCAGGGGAAGCGACGAGGGAGGGAGGGCGGACGGTGACGTCGACTGGGCCGGTGCCGCTGTCGGAGGAGGGAGGTCGAGGTGGACGGGGAGGAGGTCGAGGAGGCGGTGGTGCCGGCGCCGGCTCATCGCGCAAGGGCGGGCGCTGCTTCGACAGGTCCTGCGGCTCGACCGCTTCGACTCGCGGAGGACGCTCGACCGCCGTCGGCTGCGCCGGCGCTGCCCGCAGCGCCGACTCGTCCTCGAGGACGGCGACCGGCGGCAAGGGGCCGTCGCTCGACCCGCTCGATCGCCACAGGAGCAGGCCCGCCGCCAGCGCCAGCAGGACGACCCACCGCACGCGGCCGCCGCGCAACCTGCCGCTCAGCCCGGCGTGGAAGCCCCTCGCGCCTCGAGATGCGCCGGGCGGCCCTCCTCCCGGGGTGTAGAACGGCAGGCTTGGCGACCCCTTTCGAGGCGGCGGGCGGGACTGCCAGCGGTCGTCATCGGCGGTGCTTGTCGAGGGATGGTACGAGGAGGTGGGAGGCCGAGAGCCGCTCGAGCGGATGCGGGGAGAGGTGGGTGCGCGGGAGGTGGTCGCGGAGGACGAGAGCTGGCGGCGGTGCTGGTCGGGGTCGGGCCCGAGGGCTGCGCCGTGCGGCGGGTAGCGCTGCATATGGCGGGCGTGGCGGCCGCGGTCGAGGCTGAGGCTGTAGGGGACGCAAGATGAGCGATCGACTCGAGCAGGAGAAAGGGAGGGAGAACGGCTCGCGCACCTCGGTACAGGCTGGACGAGGCTCGGCGGGTCGAGCTGAGTAGCTGCGGGAGCTGCTCGCGCAGTCTCTGCAGTCGGGAGCGCACGAGCGGGAGCGTGAGGAGCGACAGTCGGAGGTCCGGCGCGGGTTGCAGCAGATCCTCCTCCCTCGTCGACCACACGCCACCGCTGGGCAAGAGCGACACCCGCCGGGCTCGCCAACTATGCTGCCAGCCTCGACCGCCCGCAACAGCTCTGCCCTGAGCTTTCCACTCGCTCTCGTCGTCCCTCCCCTCCCTCGAGGCGATGAGGACGGCCACGGCAACGCTTGACGCTCGCCAGCTCGCCTGAGCGCGCCATCACGGTCATGCGGCCTGTACTGTCTCCCGGTGCAGGTTGCGCGAGCTCTCGAGGCCGCCCGTCTCGGGCCGCCCCGTCGACTCCGACCGCTTCTTGACCGACGACGCGCCGGCTCATCGCACGACCCGGGCAGCTTTCCCGTCCACTTCTGGCTCGCGGTCGAGCTCACGCAGGGTGCGTCCCGCCGCTCTCTCCCTCTTTCTCCCGCTCAGCGACCGAGCCGACGAGGACGACGGGCGCGCGCGCAGGGCTCGGCACGTTCCGCCGTCATCCGTGTGCGTCGAGGTCAAGGTGACGAGCTTCGCCGAGTAACTCGCGCAGAAGGTCGGGCGCGATGCGCTCGAGACGTGAGCGCGAGCGGGCGGGATCTCGCGCTCTCGAGACCGTTCCTTCCTTCTCTCGTCTCTCGAGGACGGTCGTAGATGGCTCAGGGTCTGTGATTGACAACACGTAGGTACTATGCGCGACGAGACAAGCCGTCCTCCACGAAAGCGAGAGAGAGAGAGATAAAAGCGCGCCTTCGCACCCCCGCCGCCGACCTCAGCTCTCCCGACCCCGCTCAACCGCTCCAGCGCTCGCCGCTCGGCGCGCTCATGCGCCGCTCGTGCACGACGGCGAGCGGCGTACTGCGCAGGCCCGCCGTCGCGAGGCGCCTGAGCGGGTCGACCGGGCTGTAGGCCGGCGGCGGCGTCGACCTCGACGACGAGCCCGAGAGCGCGAGGCGCGCACGTTCACGCTCGGCAGGGGTGCCGGTCGTCGTCGCGCGGCGGAGCGGGCGCGCCCCTCCTCCGAGCCCGCGCTGCGCCGCCGCTCCAGCTCCTCCCGCCGCACCGCTGCCCTGCGCCGTTCCGCTCGGCGCGCTCGCCGTGCCGCCCGCCCTCCCGAGCCCGATCTCGCGCAGCTCGTTGGCGAGCGCGGCGAGCGTCTCGTCGTCGAGCGAGTCGAGGAGGTCGAGGTTGTTGGAGCGGTGAGAGTGCGCGTCGAGGAGCGCCGGGTGCCGTGGCTGCCGCTGCTGCTGCTGGGTCGACGAGCGCGACGAGCGGTGCTCGTTCGGCTGCTGTTGTGCGCGCAGTGCGGCGGACGAGGTGCGGCGGGTCGTTCGTGGCGGATGTGGAGGGGTGCGAGGGTCGGAGGTGGTCGCCGCGCCGTCGCGTGGGGTGGAGCTGGGCGACGAGGCGGACGAGACCGACTCGACAGGGGCGTGCTGGGCGTCGGAGTCCATGCTGGGCCGGGCTGGAGCTCGTTCGAGGCGGCGCGAGGGGTGTGCGAGGTGCGGCGGAGAGTCGAAGGGCGAGCCGGGCCGAGGAGAGGGTGGGGGGTGGAGGGGGAGCGAGACGAGCTCGGGCGGGTCGCACAGGTGGACGCGGGTGGCGACAGGGCTCTTGCGTTGCTCGTGGGCGTGGTCGCAGGTGGTCGAGGGTGGTGTGAAGGCGGGGAGAGAGAGAGCGAGCCGATGCTCCGCTTGGGACGACTCGGTGGCCGGCTCAAGCCCGCGGGCTCGGCTCATGCGCTCGGCGCTGCCGCCTGAGCTCGATGGTAGAGCTGTGGTGAGAGGCTGAAGGCGGCTGCATCTGGTACCGAGCGCTGCGGGTCGGTCGAGCTGATGAGGTTGGCGGCGAGGGCGAGCTGGACGACGACCACGCCGTTCAGGCGCCTGTTGCGACGGGCAGAAGGTGCAAGGCTGAGCTAGACGACCGAACGAGCTGCTCAAAGAGCCCACCCGAGCCCGTCGAGGCGAGGTCGCTCATCAGCTGGAACCTCGAGCTCGAGCGAGGATGAGAGGACCGGCTCGCTCCTCTCCCACCGCCACCAGCACAGCCCCAAGCTCACCATGGGAGGCAGCCAGCTCTCGCAGCTGCGTGCAAAGCTCAAGGACAGCGGCCTCAACCGCCAGTCAAACCCGCGCGACCAGCGCAAGCGCTCAAAGCAGCGCAACGACCACTCGGCCACCTCGCTCGTCCACCGCACCTCCAAGCTCCAGCAGATCCACGACCAGTTCAACCTCTTTGACGTCCGCGACGAGAAGACCAAGTTCGCCGTCGTCACCCGCTCGGGCAAGGAGGAGGGCGGCGTAAAGGGCATGCCCGGCCGCGCTCGTGCGGCCGGCATCGAGTCGGTTCGTCCCCTTTCACTCTCGTGGACAGCCTTTCCGAGTCCCTGGCACTGACTCTCGAGCGAGCGCGCGCCGCCCCCCTTTCCCGCAGCGCAAGAAGTCGCTACTCCCCATGCTCGACGCCCGCACCCACGCCTCGACTTTCGTCGACCACCGCTTCGGCGAGGCCTCGTCGACCCTCACGCCCGAGGAAAAGGCCCTCGAGCGCTTCACGGCCGAGCGCCAGTCGCGCCTGAGCGGCAACAAGAAGGCGCGCTTCAACCTCGAGGACGGCGACGACGAGGGCGGCGAGATCTCGCTCACGCACGGCGGCCGCAAGCTCGGCTTCGGCGACGAGGACCAGCTCGAGGACGCGGGCGGGTGGGGCGGGCTCGGGCCGGGCGAGGGCGCCAACCGCGAGCCGTTGATGAACCGGAGGAAGATGGGCGCAGAGCCAGAGCCGGAGGAGGTCCGTCCTTCCTTCCTCTCGCCTCGTCTCGTCAGTCGCCGTTGCAGGACTGACTCGACTTACGTGCCGCAGGATCCCGACCGCAAGAAGACGCACGCCGAGATCATGAACGAGGTCGTCGCCAAGGCCAAGTTCCACAAGGTGCGCCCGCTTCGCGCCTCTCTCTCCTCGTGTCGCGGCCTATCTCTGACACTATCGCTTGCGCACACAGGCCGAGCGCCAGAAGATGAAGTCGGCCGACGACGAGACGCGCCTCGAGCTCGACCAGGGCCTCAAGGACCTGCGCGGCATCCTCGCCGGCGGCGGCAAGGGCTCGGCGGCGAGGCCAGCGGCGGCCCCTGCAGCCGGCGCAGCCGGCGCAGCAGCAGCAGCCTTCGTCGACGAGATGGACGACGAGGACGACGAGGACGACGACGAGGAGGAGGAAGAAGGCGACTCGGACTCGGACGAGGAGAGCGACGCCGGCTCGACCTACGAGCTCAACGACGACGAGCTCGAGGCCGCCCTCGCCGCCGCGTCGTCCAAGTCGGGCGTCGACCGCGACCTCCTGCGCAAGCTCATCGGCTCGGCCGCCGACCGCTCCGAGTCGCCCGAGCCCGCACCGGCCGCCTCGTCGTCCTCCCGCGACGTCGCCGACGCGCCCGCCGCCGACCGTCCCCCTCCTGCCGTCGCACCAGCCGTCGACGACGACGACTCGCGCGACCCGTACGACCTGTACGTGCGGCAGCTCGCGCTCGAGCCGCGCGCGCAGGCGACCAACCGGCTCAAGACGCCGCTCGAGCTCGCGCAAGAGGCGGCCGAGACGCTCCGGGCGCAGGAGCAGCGCCGGCTCAAGCGCCAGAGGGGCGAGGCCGACCTGAGCAGCGGGAGCGAGGACGAGGGCGGCGAGGGCGCGGCCAAGAAGCGCAAGGAGAAGCAGCGCGCGCCGCAGGGCGACGACCTTGAGGACGACTACCTCGAGGAGAACTATGGCAGCGGCGCAGAGGGCGAGGAGCAGGTCGACCAGGAGGAGGGCGCGTTCGGCATGGGGCTCGAGGGCGAGGGCACCCGGCTCGGCGAGGACGATGAGGAGGCTAGCGAGGAGGGCAGTGAGGAGGACGAGGGCAGCGACGAGGAGGAGGACGAGGGCAGCGACGACGAGATGGACGTCGGCGACCTCGACGAGCCCGACTCGGACGACGAGGCGGCAGGAGTGGGCGAGACCGAGGCGCTCGTCGCGTCGACCAGCGCCAAGTTCGACCAGGCCGGCGAGCTGCCGTACACGTTCCCGTGCCCGTCGTCGCACGCCGAGTTTGCGCGCCTGTTGCGCTCGTCGGGCATCCGCGACAAGGATACGGTCGTCGTCGTCAAGCGCATCCGCACCCTGTACCATCCCGGGCTCGCCGAGGGCAACAAGGACAAGCTCCAGGTGTTCGCCAACGTCCTCCTCGACCACGTCATCTTCCTGTGCGCCTCGTCGCCGTCGACGCCGTCGACGTACCGCACCGTCAATTCGCTCCTCCCGCCCCTCCTCACCCTCACGCACGCCTACCCGCTCACGTCGGCGCCGCACTACATCAAGAAGTTGTCGCTCATGCACAAGAACCTCCTGCGCGGCCTCGTCCGCGGCCCGCTCGACCCGGCCGCCAAGACGTGGCCCGGCCTCGCCGAGTTGACCCTCCTGCGCCTCGTCGGCATGGTGTGGTCGACCTCGGACCTGTCGCACCCGGTCGCGGCCCCGGCGCTCCTCCTCATCGGCGAGTACCTGTCGCAGGCGCGTGTCCGCTCGCTGAGCGACCTCGCGAGCGGCCTGTTCCTGTGCACGCTCGCGGCGCAGTACGAGTCGCTCGCGCACCGCGTCGTCCCCGAGGCGGTCAACTTCCTCGGCAACGCCCTCGCGCTCCTCCTTCCTGTCTCGTCGTCGGTCGTCTCGGCAACGGCGTTCCCTGGGTCGTTCCCGACGCCCGACGTCAGCCAGGAGCACACCAAGGCGCTCAAGATCCGGTCGTCGGCGGCGACCAAGGACCTCTCGCCGAGCGCGAGCGTCAACCTCGTCGAGGCCCTCGGCGCGTCCAAGGGCAAGCTCGCGGCCGACAAGGCCGAGCAGCTCAAGGTCGACCTCGTCGCGAGCGCGCTCGCGCTCGTCGAGACGTACCGGGCCATGTACGCCGACAGCGAGGCGTTCCCCGAGCTCTTCTCGCCGCTCGACAGCGTCCTCAAGGCGGTCAAGGCCACCAAGGTGCCCGAGGCGATGCGAGTGCGTCCCCTCGTCTCTCTCCTCGCCTCTCAGTCGATCGAGAAGACTGACCTCTCGCTCCCTCGTGCGCAGCCCGCGCTCTCGTCGACCCAGTCGGCCCTCGGCAAGGCGCTCCGGTTCGCGCTCCAGTCGCGCAAGCCCCTCTTCATGCAGCACCACAAGCCGATCCCGCTCGCGACGTTCCTGCCCAAGTTCGACGAGGGCTTCAACCCGAACCGGCGGTTCGACCCGGACTCGGAGCGCGCAGAGGCGAGCAAGCTGCGCGCGCTCTACAAGAAGGAGAAGAAGGGCGCCGTGCGCGAGCTGCGCAACGACAACCGGTTCCTCGCCGTCGAGGAGGCCAAGCGCAAGAAGGCCGACGACGTCCAGTACGAGAAGAAGGTGCGCTCCCTCTCCCTCCTTCTCTTTCGTACGCCTCGACTGACTCTCTCGCCCCTCGACTGCAGATCTCGAAGATTGTGTCGAGCCTGCAGGACGAGCGCGCCGAGGAAAAGGCGCTCGAGCGGACCAAGGCGAGAGGCCAGCGGCGGGACAAGGCTCGTGCGGGCAAGCGGTAGCGTGGCCGTCGTCGGTGCTGCCGGACTCGGGCGCAGCTGTTTCTTGCGATGCATACGTTCCTCGCGTCGGTCTCTGTACGAGAGAGACGTGCATGACGCCAGCTTTCGGTGCGCCGTCAGGCGCCGCCCTCGGCGCACGAGGTCGACCGCCTCGTCTCGGCTCTCTCCCACTCTCACCCTGTCACTCGACCGCCCTGCTCTCTTTCGTGCTCTGCAAGATAGTAGCCTTGCTCTCCTTCTCGTCGAGGTCATCGGAGAGATAAAAAGGGAGAGGAAGAGAAGGGTCTAGTTGCGCTTCTCATTTTCGAGAGAAGGAGGTGCCGCTCAAGTCCCAGACGTCGAGTATCCGGCTCAACAAGGACGGCCATAACGACAGAACCCGGGATTAAACTACTCTCGAGGAGCTACAGCGTCTCGCAGCTACCTTCTCTTGCTCGACGAGGTCAACTTCTCGGTTTCGAGAGAAGTAGGTGAGGGACAGGTTCTAGACGTCGAGTATTCGTCTCAGCAAGGACTGTGAGAGCGGCGGAACCCGGGATTAAACTACTCTCGAGGAGCTACAGCGTCTCGCAGCTACCTTCTCTTGCTCGACGAGGTCAACTTCTCGGTTTCGAGAGAAGTAGGTGAGGGACAGGTTCTAGACGTCGAGTATTCGTCTCAGCAAGGACTGTGAGAGCGGCGGAACCCGGGATTAAACTACTCTCGAGGAGCTACAGCGTCTCGCAGCTACCTTCTCTTGCTCGACGAGGTCAACTTCTCGGTTTCGAGAGAAGTAGGTGAGGGACAGGTTCTAGACGTCGAGTATTCGTCTCAGCAAGGACTGTGAGAGCGGCGGAACCCGGGATTAAACTACTCTCGAGGAGCTACAGCGTCTCGCAGCTACCTTCTCGAGCCCGCGCCAGCGCCGGCTCCTCCTCCCGCCCCGGGTGCAGCCAGTCCACCTTGTGCTCTGCGCTTCGCTCCCGCGGTCCCGACGAGCGGCGGGCTGAGCGCCCTCAGACCAGCTGCGCCTGGCCCTCCTCCCGCACCGCTCGCACCGCCACCGAGTCGCCCTGCGCCGCCTCGCCCGCTCTGCACGCTCGACGAGCCGACGCTCGCCGTGTCGGCCGCTCGCACGAAGCCCGAGCCCGACGCCGAGCCGTGCGCAGGGCCCGTCGGCCGCCGTCGTCCCGCTGCAGCCGTCCCGACGAGGCGCGAGCCGGCGCCGGCCGCTCCTCCCGACGCTCCTGCGCCCGCCGCACCACCGCCGTCGCCCTCCGCTCGCGGGCTGACGCCGTCGCCGACCGCCTGCGCTGCCGCCGCCGCACCCTGCGCGCCCGCCTGCACCGCGCCGACCGCTCGAGCCGGCGACGCCGCCGCCTGCCGGCGCTTCTGGACGCCGCGAAAGTGCGCGAGGAGCTCGGTCCAGCGGATCGAGGGCGGGTCGGGCGTCGCTGCATCTGCGCGGGTGCGCGCGAGGGACGACAGGGTCGGGTTGGACGACGAGCCGGGGCCGGAAGAGGACGAGGGGCTCGGGCCGCTCAGGGTCGACGAGAGCGGGGTGGTCGTGCGGTGCGGGGACGAGATGAGCGAGGCTCTGCGTGCAAGAGAGAGCGGTCAGTGAGAAAGGAAAGAGGAGGGAGGAGGAGAGGAGGCGAGACGCACCGAGGGACCGTCTGGAGGAAGCCGAGCGACGACACGGCGCTCAGGCGGTTGCGCAGGGTCGCGAACGCGCTCGATTGCGGCAGGAGCATGAGGAGGCCGTACATGGCCTTGAGGAGGTAAGGATGCCGCTCTGGCTCGAGGAGCTGCAGGCGCAATGCTGTCGCTCGGGGAGGGGTCAGTGCGGCGGCGAGGAGATAGGCGAGAGGGGACGCACAGGTAAAGACGGGCGACTCGATGAGCTGCACGAGCTTGTCGATCTGGATGAGCATCGGCACCGTCATCTCGAGGTCGGCGCTGCGGGACGAGGTCCGTACGAGGGTTCAGTCTCTGTGGGCCCGGGCGAGCGAGAGGAGAGAGAGCGAGGACGCACAAGATCTGGAGGAGCGCGCTCGCCTGCTCGTACGCCTGCGCGAGGAGGCAGAGCGTAAAGGTGGCGACGGCGTTGTGCGACCACGACCGGTACAGCGTGACGAAGAGGTTTTGGCCGTCCTGCGTGCGGTCGAGGCGTGTCAGTGCCGCCACCTCCCGAGAACACGCGCACACGACGTCCGTGACGTCGAGCGGGAGAATGAGAGGCGAGGCGCACCTTTGAGTCGAGCGTGCGCAGGCGCTTGCGGAACTCGCTCAGCTCGGGCGAGGTGATCATGATGAGGTTGAGGTTCTGCACCATGACGCTCGCGAACTCGAGGTCCTGCAGTCGACGATGAAGCAGGTCAGTATCGGGTTCGTCGCAAGGAGAGAGAGGTGAGGGAGAGAGGGGACGCACCTCGTCCTTCTCGAGAATCTCGGCGCACGTGCGGTAGATCCGCTCGGCGTTCAAGCTGCCGCACAGCTGCCGGATGATGAGGCTGCCCCTCGTCTCGAGCAACTTGCGGTCCGTGCTGAACAGCTCGAGGAGGCTGCTCATAAGCGGCGCAAAGTACTCGTCGTCGCCGCCGCCTGCCGCTCCTCGTGCGCCGGCCCCGGGACCCGACCCGAGCGAGCTGATCTGCGCGAGGAGCTGCAGGTCGTACCGCAGGACGCGCTCGGACGAGTCGGACAGGAGCTTGAGGAGGACGGCGAGCGACAGGCCGGACGAGGTCGACGAGGCCGACGGGTTGCGCTGGCGCGACGTGCTGCGGGCGGCGGCGGCGGCGCCCTGCGTGGACGAGCCCGTAGGTCGGTCTCGGCGTGAGGACAAGGACGGGTCGTCGCCGGCGAGGATCTGCAACGAGAAGGGGAGGGCGAGGTCAGGATCGTTCTGCTCGAGCGCCGACGAGGATCAAGGGGGAGGGACGCACCTTTCTCGGCGCCTTCTGGTGCAGCATGAGGAGCCACTCGAGCGCCGCGACCCTCGTCTCCTCGTTGTCGCTCAGGAACTGGAGCGTGAGCTCGTTGACCGTCTGGCCGTACGCGAACCTCGCCGCGTCGGGCTCGAGCGGGTCGACAAAGTCGTGCGCGAGCGCGAGGCCGAGGCCTTGTGGCGGAGGCGGTGGGCCTGCGGCGAGGTGATGCGGGGCCGAGGACGAGTCGGAGGAGGGCGATAGAGGAGCGAGGGCGGACGACGGCGCGTGGAGGAGGGACGAGGCGTCGCTGCCCGGCTTGTGACGGTCGTGCCCTGGCCGAGGCGTCGCCGCCGACGAGCTCGACGGGAACGGGATGGATGAAGGAGAGGGCGACGCGACGTTGGGCGCGAACGCGACGGTCGACAGGGTCGTGTGCGGCGGCGAGAAGTCGGCGGCCGAGGCGGGCGACAGGCCGCTCGAGCCGTTGGCGCCGCCGGCAGACGAGCCGTCGACGGGTAGGGCCTGGATGACGGCGAACAGGAGGTCGTTCGTGTCGCTCGCAGCCTGCTGGATCTCCTCGACGTGGTGCGCGAGGGCCGACAGGATGACGGGGATGAGGCGCGGCGCGAACGGGACGACGACGCCCGGGACGAACGCGAGGAACTGGGAGATCCAGTGCAGGCACGTCGCCTGGATCTCCTCGTCTGCGCGCAACGTCGAGAGCGGGTCAGGGGAAGGCTTCGGGTCGAGCGAGAGGAAGGACGAGGACGGACCGGGAAAGCTGAGGTGCTGGACAAGAATCTCGACGATGGCGCCGTACTCGATGTGGACGCCTTGGCCGGGCAGCCACTCGGCGCTGCCGTCGCCCTCGAGCGGGTACTCGTCGTCGTCCTCGCTGTCGCCGAGGGCGTCCTCGTCGTCTTGGCCCTCGAGATCGTCGTCGTGCTCGGCGAGCGTCCTCGGCGTCGGCGTCCCCTTGCCGTTCCACTCGTCCACCTCGTCGCCGTCGTTGTCCGTGTCGCCGACCGTGACCGTCCTCGCCTCGCTCGCACGCCGCCGCCTGCGCCGCTCGCCGTCGCGCTCCCACGCCTCGCGCCGCGCCGCGAGCCCTTCGAGCTGCTGCTTCCTCGCCTCGCGGATCTCGCGCAAGAGGTCCTCGAGGAGGCTCTCGGTGCTGCACCGCACCTCGTCGGTCGGGTCTCCGAGGTACCGCAGGAGGCCGTCGAGAAAGTCGGGCAGGAACGTGATGAGCTCGAGGTCGGGCACCTGGTCGAGCGTGAGGAGCCACGAGATGAGGAAGGTGCGGGTGAACGGGTTGAGGACCGACAGGCGCTCGTGGAGGAGGGGGATGAAGCGCGGGAGGGAAAATGCGCGTTGCGGTTGAGGGCGGCTCGAGGCGTGGTCCTTCTCGGGGCCGGCAGGATGCGGGTGGTGGCCGTCAGGGTAGACGTCGGGCGAGTAGTCGTCGCCATAGTTGGCGCGCGAGATGTACAGGGCGGCCTGGTCCTGCACGATGTCCTTGAGCTGTCGGTCGAGGAGCTCGGCGCCGTTCTTGACCGACACCTCGGGGTCGGCCGCGAGCTGTGAGCGAGTTCGCTGGGTCAGTGGCGCTCCTCGCCTCGTCGTAGAGGCCGCTCTGGCGCACCTTGGACAGGGCGTCGAAGAGCTCGTTGAAATAGACGAGGATCTCGCCGTGTGCGACCTTGGCCTGCGGGAGGGACAGGGTGAGTCGCGGGCCTGTGGGCAGTCAAGAGGGACGCCGACGCACGATGTTGTACATGCTCTCGCACGCGTAGTAGCGGATCTTGGAATCGTGGTCCTCGAAGCAGGCGAGGACGGGCATGATGAGGGGGCCGAGGTAGTCGGCGAGTCGAGGTCCGAGAGCGATCCTGTGTACGCGCGCAAAGGAGGTCAGGCCCTCGCTCGCCGATTTCCGCGAGACGGGAGAGAGGGAGAGGACGCACGCAGTCGAGGCAAGGCCCATGATGCCGCCGCTGCGCGAGGCGTGCACCTTTGAGCCGGAAAGCTCGACGAGCTGCGTGATGACGACGCGCAGCTTGTGCTCGCTCTCGGGCGTGCCCGCCGAGGCCATTTCTCGCACTGTGGGCGCATTCGAGGGGGCGAGTCAGTGTTGCGCTGGGTCGTGCGAGGGGGAGAGGTGCGGGCCCGAGTGGGGGTGAGGGAGGAGGAGAGGGGGAGAGAGCGACGACGGGGCGAGGATGCCGCGGTCGCCCGTGTGGATCCTTCCTGGACACTCAGGGGACTGATAGGGGAGAGTTGGACGCACACACGGGCTCATAGGCGAGGGAGGCCTTGCGTCGAGCGTCGTAGGAGGCGTTTTGGAGGCCCTGCTTGATCGAGGGCTCCATGGTGGCGGGCGCGACTCGGGTGGACGGGGCCCTGCGAGCTGGTGCAGCGGCGGCAAGCGCAGCAGGTGCGACTGAGCGAGTGGGTCGAGCGGACGAGGTTGGCCGTCGCGTCGTCGTCGGACGAGGGCGTCTCACTCCTCGACAGCGCTGCACACCCGTTCCGAGCGTGTTGTTCCAGCGTAGAGCTACTCAGAGTACCTTGACAAACACTGTGCACCCACCAGCTGTCCGCCCTGAGAGAGCCGGGCGAGGTCGTCGTTGTCGGCCGTGCGGGTGCCGAGCTTGTTCGTTCCCTCTCGCTCTCGCCTCGCCCTCGTCCGCCGAGCGCCATGCTTGCCACTCCAGCGAGCCGCACGGCCGCACGAGCACCCGCCCTGCTGTGCACCTGCTCGCCGGCGCGCCTTGCCCCTTGGCGCCTCGCCGCAGCCTTTCCTCCCCCGCCTTCTTCAACCTCGGCGCACTCGTCCCGCCCGCTGTCGACCCGCGCCTTGCAACAAGCCGCACCGCCACCCCGTCACCCGAGCCATGCGCCCATACCGCAACCCCCGCGCCGCACCGCGACCACCTCGTCCGCACCTCCCTCGTCGTCGTTCGGCCCGACCGCGGCTTACGACGACCAGGTCGCGCGAGGCTTCATCCAGAACGACCCGCACCAGCGCAGCATCGTCGCCCTCCTCCAGGACATGTACGACCAGCTCGCCAGCTACGACCCTCCCCCAATCGGCCCGCTCCCGCCGCCCGTCCAGCCGAGCATGTGGGACCGCCTCATGCGCTCGCGCTTCTTCCGCGACATGGCCGACGAGCTCCACCAGGCCAACACGGCCACGATCCCGCTCCCGCCACCACCGCCGGGCCTCCCGAAAGGCCTGTACCTCTTCGGCTCGGTCGGCTGCGGCAAGTCGTTCCTCATGGACCTCCTGTACGCCCACCTCCCCGACAAGTACCGCCGCTCGGCGAGCGAGGGCGGCTTTGGCGCGAGGAGGGTCCACTTCCACCAGTTCATGATGGACGTCCACAAGAAGGGCCACCTCATCAAGCTCCGAGACGGCGCCGCCCAGGACTGGATCGTCATGGCCGCGAGGGAAATCGCCGGCGAGACGCGCGTCCTGTGCTTCGACGAGTTCCAGGTGCGTCCCTCGTGTCCTCTCGGCGGGTCGTCTGTCACGGCGAGGCTCGAGCGAGACGCTCACCCTCGTCCTCCCCGCGCAGGTGACCGACATTGCCGATGCCATGATCCTGCGCCGCCTCATGGAGGCCCTGCACGCGCACGGCGTCGTCTGCGTCATGACGTCCAAGTGCGTCCGCTCCCTCTTTCGTCGCCGTCGCACGAGGTCCTTTCACTGACGCTCGGTCCTCGCCCGCAGCCGAGCGCCCGACGAGCTCTACAAGAACGGCATTCAGCGCGAGCAGTTCGTGCCCTGCATCGAGCTCATCAAGAGCAGCTTTGTCGTGCACTGCCTCGACTCGGACATCGGTCCGTCCCTCTCTCCCTCTCTCGCCGTCAAACTCGGCCGTGACCTTTCCCCTGACGCCTCCCTTCCCTGCCCGACAGACTACCGCAAGCGCCCTCGCGAGCTCTCGCGCGTCTACTTCAGCCCGATCACGGACGCGACCAAGCGCGAGTTCGCCAAGCTGTTCCGCAGCGCGTGCGACCACCTGTCGCCCAACGAGGCCGTCACGACCGACCGCCAGCTGTCGGTGTGGGGCCGCCCGGTGCACGTGCCGCACTCGACGTCGCAGGTGGCCCACTTTGCGTTCGAGGACCTGTGCGGCGACGGGCACAGCGCGGCCGACTACCTCGAGATCACCAAGACGTTCGGGAGCATCTTTGTCAGCGGCGTGCCGCAGCTCGGGCTCGAGACCAAGGACCAGGCGAGGCGCTTCATCCTCTTTGTCGACGCGGCGTACGAGGCCAAGGTGCGCTCCCTCTCTCTCTTTCTCTCTGCCCCTCTCCTTCGTCTCGCCCCGCCGTCGAGAGCGTCCACTCACTCGTCCCTCCCCTCGCCCGCAGACCAAGCTCTTCGTCCTCTCGGACCCGCCTATCGCGCAAGTCTTCTCGGACGAGCGGCCGGCGGGCGCGGTCGGCGCGGGCGAGATCTCGGCGCACCAGCGCTCGATGATGGACGACCTCGGCCTGTCGGCCGACATTGTCGGCGCGAGCTCGATCTTTACCGGTGACGAGGAGGTGTTTGCGTTCGCGAGGGCTGTCGTGCGTCCTCATTCTCTCTTTATCTCCTTCGCTGTGACGTTCTCCTCGTCGGCGCCCGCGTCGGCCTTCTCAAGTCAGGCTCGTCTCGGCGCCCGCTCGAGGGACGACTCGCTGACTGTGCTCTCGTGCGCACAGTCTCGCATCACGGAGATGGGCACGGTGCACTGGGCGAGGTCGCAGGGCGTTGCCGAGGGCGCGCAGGGGCTCAAGGGCGAGCAGGTCGAGGAGGAGGGCGTCAGGCTGTCGGCGGCGGCGTAGCGAGCTGGTGCAGGGCACGGCGCACAGTCACACTCGGTCTGATATAGTCGTGCAACTAGCTCGTGAGCGCCTCCCGAGAGGGAACGACGAGGCGCGAACTTTTGGCTCGGACCCCCCTTTCCCTCCTTCCCCTCACTCGCTCCCACCTCGCCCTCGCCCGCCATGGGCCTCGACATCACCAAGGGCGCCCTCAAGCCCGCCAGCAAGCCCAAGACCAAGCCCAAGCCCGTGCACCACTTCCCTCACTCGCCCTCGCCCCCGACCCCGTCCTCGTCCTCCTCCCACCGCGTCACCGGCACCCCACACTCGCCCGCCGCCACCGCGCCCGCCTCGCTCGCCTCGCCGCAAGTGTTCACGCCCCGCATCAAGCAGACGGCGAAGCGCGGGCGGCGTCCCGGCGCGCCCGTCAAGGGGCGGCGCCTCGTCAACGAGGAGGACGCGCTCGAGGCGGGCAGGGCGCACCAGGGCTCGCTCGGCGCCGCTGCGCAGGACTCGACCTGGGACTACGGTGTGCACGGCGAGTCGGCGAGGGGCAGGCAGGACGAGAGCGTCGCCGAGTCGCCGCGCATCGTCGTCGACGCGACGGCGAGCGACTCGAGCGGCTCGGGCGGCTCGGACAGCGAGCTCGAGGCGCACCTCAACGGGCCCGACTCGCCCTGGTTCCGCCAGCACGCGTCGGTCGTCACCGCTCCCGTCGGCCAGGGCGGCAGGCGCTTCGGCCAGCCGTCGGCGTCGACCTCACGCTCGTCCGCCATCTTCGCCGCTCGCCGCGACCCGTTCGACTCGGCCCAGGACTACAGCCCTCTCGAGCACCAGCAGGGGTCGGCGTCGTCGGGCGCCGGGCTCGAGGTCGACGTCGACAAGGAGGAGATGACGCCCGAGCCGCAGGCGACGCAGGGCCAGGGCCAGGGCAGCTCGAGCCCGGCCTCCCAGCTCGAGAGCCCGGCTCCGACCGTCTTCGACGGCTACGCGCGCAAGGAGAAGGCGCGCGAGCAGGAGCAGGGGCAGGGCGACGGCGGCGGGCCGTGCGAGGGTCCGGTCGGCGGCGAGGTAGGCGTCACGGGCAGCGCGTCGCCCGACGTACCGCTGTCGCACAAGCGCCGCATTGACGACGTCCTTGACGACGAGGCGGACGAGCTCGAGGGCAGGCGCAAGCGCGCCGAGACGGTCGACGAGGACGAGGTGCGCCGTTCGCCTTTCCGCTCTCCCTTTCCCTCTCTCGCAGACCCTGACTCTCTTCCACTGCCCGTGCAGCTCGACAACTACGACGACAACCGCACCCTGTCCTTCCTCGGCGACTCGCAGGACGGCGGCTCCGCCTCGCCCGACCCTCGCGCCGGCACCTCGTTCTCCCAGCGCACCCTCGGCTCGCGCTCGACCACCCTCATCGAGACGTTCCTCCGCAGCGACACGCCCTACCACGATGACGACGGCGACGAGGCGTTCGAGCGCGACGAGTCGCCCCTGGCGGCGAGCGAGGAAGGGCGCGGGCGTCGCCAGAGCACGCCGTTCCCGCTCGGCAACGGCGACGGCGACACCGGCAGCGGCGGGCAGCGCTCGTCGTCCTTCTCGCCCGCGCCCGCCGAGCACCCGAGCTCGTCGTCGCTCGAGCAGGCGCAGCCGGCGCCCGCGCCTGCGCCGCGCCGCACCCGCACGGTCCTCCCGCCGTCGCTCGCCGAGCACTACGGCGCCGAGGTGACGCACCCGCACTACCACCACGCGACGCTCCTTGCCGCGTCGGCCGGTGCAGCGTCGCAGCAGGAGCGCGAGGACGGCCCGCTCAGCTGGGACGAGGAGAAAGAGGGGTTCGTGCGCCGGTTCGCGGCGGTGACGGAGCAGGTCGGCGAGCTGTTCGAGTGCGTCCTCCTCCTCCTCGTCTCTCTCTCTCTCTCTCTCGAGCGCATCACGATCCTGACCATCTTCTCGAACGCTCGCAGCCGCCAGGCGTCGCACTTTGCCGCCATCGCCCACGAGCTCGAGCAGCACGGCGAGCGCCTCGCCGCGACGGCGCACAAGCTCGACGAGACCAAGGAGCGCGTGCGCGAATGGGGCAAGCCCATGTTCGAGGCGGCGAGGGGCGGCGGCGAGCAGCGTGCGGCGGTGGCGGCGGCGGCGGGGGACGAGGGAGAGTGCGAGGGCGGGGAGGAGGTCAAGGGGAAGGCGGTCGAGGAGGGCGACAAGGGCCAGGACGGCGCCGAGGTGGCGACGACTGACGAGAATGGCGAGGCGTGAGGACGTGCTTGTAGCCGAGCTTGAGCTGTGGAAGCGCTTTTCCCGATCCTCGACCTGCGAGGAGAACTTGAGAAGGTTGCCGAGGAGAGCTCTTTCTCTCTCCGCTCAAGACGCTGCATGCTCGAGGTGCTGCTCGAGCAGGAAGTCTCTCGAGAGAAGCAGGCGAGACGAGAGAACTGACTCAGAGAACGACGATGCAGAGAGAGCGAGAGGCAGTACAGGAGGAAAAGGGAGAGAGAAACGACGACCCGAGACGACCCCTCGCCGCTCACACGTCGTACGGCCTGACGCCCGCCAGTTGCAGCATCCTCGCGCTCGGCTCGACGACCGGGAACTTGAGCTCGCCGTCCTCGGTCGGGCGCGCAAAGATGTTCTCGAACGGGTTGTGCGTCGTCGCGCCCTTGTCGGCAAACAGCTTTTGCTTGACGGCGCGGTCCTTGGCGTTGAGGAGCTCGTCGGGGGCCATGCAGACATAGGTGCAGCTGTGGGCGGCGGGGAGGAGGGGTCAGGATCGGGTCTAGGGAGAGCGAGGACGGGACAGGAGGAGAGGACGAAAGGGACGCACATGCGCGTGCGGTCGCCCGACGGCGGCCGGTTGTAGTGGAGCGTGCGCGAGTCCCACTGCAGAACGTCGGGGACGATGTCAGTCCGAGAGACGAGGGACGAGAGGGGACGTTCAAGGATAGAGAGAAAGAGGGACGGACGAGGATGAGGTCGCCCGGGTTGGCGCACACCTTGATCCACTCGCACCCTCGCTCGTAGAACCACTCTTGCTGCTCCTCGGTATAGCCGTACCCTGTGCGTCCAAGTCGAGAGAGAGAGTCAGTCCTGGCTCGCGAGGAGGAGCGACAGGAAGGAGGAGAGAGTGGGGCGCACAGTCGGCAGGTCCCCACGACGAGTGGTTGGCCTTCTGCTCCGGGTGCTGCTCAAAGTACTTCTCCATGATGGCGCCCGAGCCCTTGAGGACCATGAGGCCGCCGTCGTCGGGCCCGTTCGGGAGCAAGTTGACGATGCCCTGGGCGCAGAAAAAGCCGCGGCGGTTCGGCGACTGGTCCATGTGCTGCGGAGGGGGCGAGACGCAGGGGTCAGTCGCGAGGCTCGAGAGGGACGAGAAAGAGGGAGAGGGAGAAAGGAGGACGCACCTCCCACTTCTGCGCGGGCGGGAGGTCCTTGCGGTGGCAGAGCATGACGGCGGCGCCGTCGAAGCTCGTCGTGAGCTTGTCGGTGCCCCACAGCTCGGCGAATCCGTCGACGACGCCCTGCTCGCACCGGATGGCCCACAGGAAGTCCTCGTGGTAGACGCGCGAGGCAAACATGCCGCCCTTGACGTGCACGGGCAGGTGCGCGTTGGTCCAGGTCGCCTCGTCTCGACGGTCGAACCCGAGCTGGAACGCCTCGAGCCAGTCGTAGGCGCGGTCGGCGTAGGCGAGGGCGCGGTGCTCGGGGATGGCGGGCACGACGACGAAGCCGTCGGTCGCGAGGGCCTGCTTGATGGGCGACTTGTACGGCGTGTGGTCGAGGAGGTCGGCGTACTTGTGGGGCGGGAGCGCGACTGGGTCGCCGTGCTGGGCGAGGGCGAGGTCGATCGAGGGCATGGTGTCGAGGGAGAGAGGGAGGTGGGGGTGGGGGCGGTGCGGTCGACGACGAGGGGACAGAGGTCGAGCGCGGTGATCGGCGAGGGGGAGGAGAGTGAAGGCAAGAGGTGCAGGACCTCGGGCGACTGGCGGCTGTGCCGGCAGGAGGTGCAGCTCGCACGAGACGACTCGCCCGTTCCGACCCTCGGTTGAGCGGGGTGTGGGTCGGAACTTGGCCGCGCTCTCAGCGTCGGCCCGGGGCGGTGCAGCTCGGGCGAGTGCGTGGCTCTGCGAGGCGCTGGGCGAGCTGCGAGAGGCTTGCGGATGTCGACGAGCGGCTGCTGCGGGGTCCAAAGAGAGGCCGGTCAGCCGACGGGTGACACGGAAGCGCGACAGGGAGACGAGGGGACGCACAAGGTACTCGGTCTGCTAGTCTGCCGCATGCTTGTTCCCCCTCGCCGAGCTGCGCGGGCCCATGACGAAGCCGGCGAGCGCAAGTTGGCTGATGCTGAGGAGGTCGAGGTCGAGTTGGCGATGAGGGACGGGGAGCACGACGGGCAGGCGGTCGAGGGCCTTGCGTAGCGAGGCTCAGGCAACGTCCCCTAGCAAGCTAGTCGGGGCAGCGGCTGGTGCGAGAGCGACGCTGCGAGAGGACGAGGCGAACCCGACTTTCGACCGTCGCGAGCTGGGCAAAGGTCAGGCTCGAGCATCGTGCGCGCTCTCTCGACAAGGCGAAGGAGAACATCCGAATGCACTGTTGCTACAGTCTATCGCCTCGCCCCTTGCCCCTCTCGAAAGGGCGCCTCCTGCGCAGGACCCGCCCCGCAGCGCTCCTCGCCCTCGCTCACGCCTCCTGCTCGCTGAGGAACACGCGCAGCTTCTCGAGCGCACGGTACCGGTGTGAGATCTTGTTCTTCTCGGCGCCGTCCATCTCGGCGTACCTGTGCGGCAAGAGGAGAGAGTCGTGGGTCAGGAGAGGCTCGTGACCGATTCACCGCGGGCCACAGCGCAAGCGTTCGTCCCTGTGGACGAGCGCCGCGCACAGGACAGCAGAGAAAGATCGACGCACGTCTGGCCGTTGCCCTCCTCGGGCTCAAACACCGGGTCCCACCCAAAGTTGGTCGGGCCCCTCGCCGGCACAATCTTGCCCTCGGTCCGGCCCTCGAAGATGATGGGCTCGCTGCCCGGGCCGGCCGAGTAGGCGAACGTGCAGATGGCCGTCGCGCGCTTCGAGGGGAAGCCGGCGAGCATGTTGTTGAGGCCTGCGCGGGGCGAGGGGAGGAGGGACAGGAGTGAGCGGCAGGACGAGGAAGGGACGGTGTCGAGCGAGGACGCACCTTCGTGGCCGACCGACTTCATAAAGTACTTGATGAACGGGCCGGGAAGGCCGCCGAGCGCCTCAAAGCCGAGCGCGGTGTCCTGTCGGCGAGGAGGACGAGGTCAACTCGGCTCGCTGCTCCTTGACCTGGCGCCGCTCGCGCTCGAGAGGAAGGAGGGACGACGCACCTCGGTGATGCAGGGCCCGCCGATGGCGTCTGCGGCGGCGCTGACCTTGGCCCTCGCGACCTCCTGGGTCGTGCCCTGGATCTCGGGGAGGTCGAGGTCCTGCGACTCGACGGTGAAGGGTGCGGGTGCGCCCGAGCTGTGGGCCGAGGCGAGGAGGATGGCGCGGACCTCCTTGAGCTTGTTGGCGTTGCCCGTGACGAAGAGGATGGACCTGGGCGAGGACGACATGGTGGGGGGAGGAGGGCGAGGTCGGCGGGCGAGGTTGACGGGTCGGGCGATGTGTAGAAGGTTGTTCGAGAGTTCTGATGCAGCAGTGGCAGCTCGGCTCAGCAGGTTGAGCGAGGGGATGAGGGCCAAGAGCAACGACGAAAGTCGGCTCGAGCCAGAGCTCCTCCTCACTGGCTCCTCGTCGGCTCCTGTGGCCCATGCTAGCCCTGGAAGCTGTCAAGGCGGTAGCTCGGATACCCTCGCGGCAGGCCGGCGTCCTCGCACCACGGCATCGCTGCTTCACAACTTCATCTCCCCGACCTCGCTTCGAGGTGAGTTCTCGTCTAACTTTCTCTCCTATGGCCAATCTGACCCGCTCAGACCCACCAGAGCAGCATCTTTGTGTCCGACTCGCACGACCCGTGGTTCAACTTGGCGTTCGAAGACTGGCAAGTCCCCCACTCCTCCTCCTCGAACCCTCGTTGCCTCGCTAACGTCGTCCACGCAGGCTCTTCCGCAAGACCGACCCCGACCGACGCATCCTGTACCTGTACCGCAACTCGCCGAGCGTCATCATCGGCCGCAACCAGGTCCGCCCGTCCCGTCTCTCGAGCCCTTTCCTGCATCGCCGACTCACGAGCGACGACCTTGCAGAACCCGTGGAAGGAGATCAACCTCTCTCAACTGCGCACCCTCGAGATCCCGTTCGTGCGACGAAAGAGCGGCGGCGGCACCGTGTACCATGTGCGTCGGCCTGCTCCTTCCCCTCGAGCGAGCCAGCCTGACCTCTTTCCCGCTCATCGCAGGACCTCGGCAACACCAACTACTGCGTCTTTGTCCCTCGCACCGAGTTTGATCGACGCTCAAACGCCGAGCTCGTCACGACCGGGCTGAACTCGCTCGGCGTGCCGGCGTACGTCAACGAGCGGCACGACATCTGCGTCGACGGGTTCAAGATGAGCCCTCTCCCCTGCGCATTCCGTTCTTGAGCAGGGCCTGACATGCTCCTTCGGCGCAGTGCACGTGTCGGGCTCGGCGTTCAAGCTCGTCAACAAGCGGGCGTACCACCACGGCACGATGCTCATCGACGCCCAGCTCGGCAACTTGCGCGGCGTCCTCGGCAGCAACAAGGTGCGTCCCGTCTCCTTCCCTCGGGCTGTCGTTTACCTTGACCGACTCGAGGCCTTCGCAGGACTCGATGGTGACTAAGGGCGTCGCGAGCGTGCCCTCGCCCGTGCGCAACCTGTCCGAGTCGAGCGGCGAGGTCGACCACGAGCGCTTCGTCGAGGCGGTCGCCGAGCAGTTTGCGCGCAAGTACGGCGTCAGCAACGAGGTGCAGGTGCGTCCCCAGTCTCTCTTTCTCGGACGTGGTCGTCAAGCTGGGTGACTGACGAGCGAGGTTCGACCTGCAGCGAATCGACGAGGGCGAGCTCGACACGAACGAGTACGTCCGCGACGTGGTCGACGAGCTCAAGGTGCGTCTCTCGGTCCTCTCTCTCCTTTCCGACCCGAACCTGGCTCACTCGGCCTCTCACGCAGTCGTGGGACTGGCAGTACGGTCAGACGCCCGAGTTCACGCACGAGATCAGCGGCTCGTTCCCGTTCGGCAACATGGTCCGTCCTCCTCCCTCACTACAGTCTGCGTCCGCTCCCTCCCGACCTGACCGCCCCCTTTTCCCGCGCTCGCCCGCGCCACAGACCCTCTCGATCAACTCGCGGCACGGCCTCATCTCGTCGGCGTCGCTCTCGCATCCACCGCGGCCGCTCGAGTGGTGGCGGGCGGCGACTGAGCTGTGTCGGCTGCTCGAGGGCGACCGGTACGAGAGTGTCGAGCGGACGAGGGAGGCGGCGGCGAGGCTGAGAGGCGACGAGGGGGACAAGGTGAGGCAGTTGCTCGAGTGGCTGCGGGGCGAGATGTAGCGGCCGTGCCGGAACCTGTATCGAAGTTCTGCTGTGTTGCGGGCTCTTGCAGCGTGCTTGGCGAGGCGAGCGAGGTCGAATTGGTCGAGGCCGGGAGGTCGAGCTGAGGAGGCGAGCTGAGAGGGGGGGCCAGAAGGGCGACCGGGCTCGGAGGCCTGGCCAGCGGGGCTCGAGGCTGGTCCAAGTGGACCTCGCAGCAGGTTGGCGGTGGCAGCTGGCCGTACGATGCGGATGCGCGAGCGGGAGAGCCAGGGAGGAGCAACGAGGAGGCGACCGCCGGCGAGCGCGACCTCCTCTCTTTCCCCTCGTTGCTCTCATCCGCGTGGAACAGCCGCTCCTACAACGTGCGCTACAGCTCTCTCCCACCCGGCCTTTCCCCCAACTCGCCCGCCATCAACCCGCACCAGCGCGACCTCGAGCCGGCCCGGTTTCGACGCACTCGGCGCGCGCAAAGTCTGCCGCTCGCCGTCACGCAGCACTCGTCGCCGCAGGACGGTCAGCGGGTGGCCAGGGTGGACATGCATGTCGGCACGGTCGAACGGGCGGATTTGGGGCACTCTGGGGCGGGCGAGGACGGCGGACGGCTGGGCTTCTCCTCCCTCCGCTGAGCACCATTCTCCCTCATCTCGCGGTTCACCCGCGAACCGCTCAAACGAGCTGACTCTTTGCTCCCACATACCTCCCTACCCTCTCTCTCCCCCCACGACGCACCCTCGTCCCGACCCGCCCTCTCGCACCCGCCGTCGTCGTCGCCCTGTGGAACACGCTGCCCTTGTTGGACCTCTCCTCTTGCTCAGCGTCATGGCCGAGCAAGTCGAGAAGTCCTTCCAGAAGCAGCCGCTGTTCCACAACAGCAAGGTCGCCACCACCTCGCGCAAGGTCGCCGGCAAGGACCGCAGGTGGACCAAGGAGGTCGGCCTCGGCTTCAAGGTGAGTCCCTCCCGCCCTCCTCTGCGTCCTCCTCTCGCACGTTGAGCCCCTCGGCTAACTCTTGCGCGCCCGACAGACCCCCCGTGAGGCGATCGAGGGCACCTACATCGACAAGAAGTGCCCGTTCACCGGCCTCGTCTCGATCCGCGGCCGCATCCTCACCGGCAAGGTCGTCTCGACCAAGATGACCCGCACCATCGTCATCCGTCGCGAGTACCTCCACTTCGTCCCGAAGTACTCTCGCTGTGCGTCCCTCTCTCTCTCTCGCGGTCGGACGGTCGGCCGAGTCGAGCTGACCCTCTCCCTCGCCCGCAGACGAGAAGCGCCACAAGAACATGAGTGTTCACTGCTCGCCGGCGTTCCGCGTCGAGGTCGGGGACTCGGTCACCGTTGGCCAGTGCCGCCCTCTGTCGAAGACCGTCCGGTGCGTCCCTGTCCCCTCCTCGAGCTCCTCCAGCCTGGACGGACCCATTCCGCCTGATGCTCTCAAGACAATCACTGACCTCGTTGCCCCACACAGCTTCAACGTCCTCCGCGTCCAGAAGCAGAAGGTCAAGGCGTTCTCGCGCTTCTAAACGGAGCCAGGGCCGTCTGTCGGTAGGGAGCAGGGGAGGTGGAAGACGCGCTGTACTCGATCCGTGTGCGCGTGCTCTTGCACCGGCGTTGGAGGAGAGGGATCTGCGAGAGTTTGAGAGCGTGCGCTCGACTCGGCGCGACCCTCGTCGGCGTCGTCGAGCGCTGCGCCGAGGTGCTCGTGGGCTCGTCTCGCTTTCCTCGCTGGTCGGCGGCTTGATTTTGTCGCTTGCGCTCTTGATGGCTGTCGACGAGCCTGTCGCCGCCAAACGCGCGGCAGCTGGCGCCCTCATTCAGCCTGCGGCGCGACTTCCCCGCCGGCGCACACTCCTCGCGACTCTCTCTTCCGCTCCTCAACCTCGCGTCAACGTCGCCCTCTCGCCAGGCCACGCGACCGCCCTTCACGTCATCTTTGGCATCGTCTCGACTCTCCTGCAGCCGGTCCAGCACCGTGAGTCCCCTCCCCGTCCCCCCCTTGTCCTCATCAGTTGGGCGATCGCCCTCCTCGATTTCTCCTCGAGGACGCACCGAGGGCCGCGCAGAAGCTGACCCAGCCCTCGCACACCCTCTGCAGGCTACCATGGGCCGCGAGCTCGACCGTTTCGCGGTCTCCCTTCCCGACTACCTTCACTGCCCGGTTTGCCTCGGCGCCGCCTACCCGCCCATCGTCTCGTGCAGGAGCGACCACATCGTGTGCCAGGAGTGCATCGACGAGATGCGCCAGGACGAGCGCCCTGCGCAGTGCCCGTCGTGTCGCGAGGTCATGCCCGTCCACACCAAGGTCTCGCTCGGCTTCAAGCGAGCCATCGAGCGCTACGGGTGCGCCCACAGCCCCCTCCTTCTCTCTCACTGTGCGAGACCTGACTCTTGCTGGTCGGCGCAGGTACAAGTGCGAGCGCGAGGGCTGCGAGTGGGTCGGCAGCGTCGGTGACCTCGCCCAGCACCTCAAGAACTCGGTGCGCCCTCTCTCCCTCTTCCTCTCTCGGCCCTCTCGAGCCGCCACTTACACGCTCGTACGACGCAGTGCGAGTACCGCAAGATCAACTGCCCGCTGTGCAAGTACGGCATCTTGGCCAAGGACCGCATCGCGCACGTCCACGACTGCCCCGAGGTCTTGATCGTCTGCCCTCGCGGCGGCAGGGAGTGCAGCGGCATCCAGGCGTCGGGAGGGCACGGCCTGTTCCGCCGTCGCGAGCTGCCTGAGCACGACAAGGTCTGCGCCATGTTCAGGTGCGTCCCTCCTTCCTCCTCCTCGTCCTCCCAGCGGTCGCCCTCTTCGAGCAGCAACGACGGCGAGCTCACCCTCCTCGTCTCGGTCCTCTCCCTCTACCTCTCGCCTCGCAGGTGCCGCGTCGGCTGCCACACCTACACGCTCTTGACCAACCGCGAGCCGCACGAGAGCGAGTGCGCGTGGTCGCGCGCGCGCATCGCGACCCTCGAGCAGAAGCTCGTGCGCGCTCAGGAGCAGATCGCCGAGACGCGTGCGACGCTCGAGCTGCGACTCGCCGCAGAGCAGCAGGCGGGCAGCGTCGCTGTCGAGCGCCAGGACGAGCAGGACGAGGGCGAGCGCGCCATCGGTCAGAGCCCGCCCAAGCGCCCTCGTTGCCTGGGGCTCCTCGAGCTCTACTCGGACGACGAGAACGGGCCGGGCGAGGGGCTGCGCAAGGGCGCCAAGGGTCGAGCGGCGGCGGGCGGCGGCGGCGGTGGCGCGGGCAAGAAGCCGGTCGCGAGCGGCAGCGGCGCGCGCGCTCCGGGCGTCCTCGCCCAACAGCCGCAGGCGTCCTGCAACCGCGGGCCCGGGACGAGGATGCGCCTCAAGTGAGGCTCGTCCTCGTCGTCCTCGTCCGCCCTTTGCGCCTCACTGTCCCCTCCTTCCCTCTCTACCGTCTTCCCCTCTTTATCATCGTTCCTATCCTACCGCCTTGCTCTCCTTGTCGTACCCTCCGTGCAGTGCAGTGTATCCGCTTGACCTGTCTGCGCCTTCGTGAGCTGCGCGAGCGCCAGAGAGAGGCTCGAACCGGGCCTGCAGCACTCGCTCGGACCGCTTTGCTCCCTCCCCAGCAGCCGACTTTCGTGCTTGTCGTCGCAGAGAGCAGCTGTGCACAAGTACTGGGCCTGCAAAAGCGGCTCCGAACAAAGCCAGACATTCGGTTCCCTTTGACCCCGCTCGCGCGCGCACACGCCTCGCGCCTTTCTCCTCCTCCTCTCGCGCCCGCTTGGCTCGAGTCGCTCGCCTGCTTGTCCGACTGCACTCTCAGCACTCTTCGTCGCCCTCCAAGCCCATCTCCCGCCGCCCCAGCACGGTCCGTCCCCTCTCCCACCTCCAAGCTCCCCTCATCAGTCGCCGCCTTTCTTCCGACGAGGAGGGACTCGGGGACTGCGATTCGGGTGCAAGGGAGCTGACACAGTCCTTGCGCGCACCCCTGCAGGTCATGACGGGCCCCGACCTCGACCAGTTCACCGCTGTCCTCCCCGACCATCTGCACTGCCCCGTGTGTCTCGGCGCCGCCTACCCGCCCGTCGTCGCCTGCTCGCGCGAGCACATCGTCTGCCACGGGTGCCTCGAGAGCATGTGCAAGAAGGGCCTGCAGCCGCTGTGCCCGACCTGCCGCGAGCCCGTTCCGGCGACGCTCAAGATCTCGCCCGGCTTCACGCGCGCCATCGAGAGCTACAGGTGCGCCCACCCCCTTGCCTTCCTCGCCTCGAGCTCGTTAGAGCTGACCTCGCGTCGAACCCGCAGCTACAAGTGCGACAAGGGGCAGTGCAAGTGGGTCGGCAGTGTCGGCGACGTCCCGCAGCACCTCAAGGACTCGGTGCGTCCCTCTCTTGCGCTCTTTCACTCTAGATCGCGCCCTGACTTACCTCGAGCCACCCAGTGCAAGTACCGCGAGGTCGAGTGCCTGTGCTCCGCCAAGTACCTCGTCAAGGACCGCGCCGCGCACGGCGTCGAGTGCCCTTTGACGTCGCTCTTCTGCCCACGTGGCGGCAAGGCGTGCTCGGGCGTCACTCGCAGCGGCATGTTCCTTCGTCGCGACCTGGCGGCGCACGAGAAGGTGTGCACGATGTACAAGTGCGTGGACCCGTCCCTCCTCGAGATCCTCGTCCTTTGTCGTCCGCGAGCTCACGCTTTACCCCCTCCCTTCCCGCCTTCGCTCCCTGCCCTACCTCTTCGCTCTTTCGACGACAGGTGCCCCTACAACTGCAACACGTACACGACCGCCGCCAACCTCGTCGCGCACCAGAAGAGCTGCTCGGCGTTGCGCCTGCGCATCAAGTCGCTCGAGCGCAAGCTCGCCATCAGCGAGGACCTCGTGCGCACGTACCAGGAACTCGGCAAGAAGCGGCACGCTGTGCAGAAGGGGGCGCAGGGTCGCGCGCCCGAGGGCAGCGGCGACGATGACGTGGTCGTCGAGGAGCAAGGCCCGGCCAAGCGCAAGCGCGTGCGGCAGGCGAGCGCGCTCGAGATCATGACGCTCGAGTCGAGCGACGGCGACGACCTCGAGGCGCGCGTCCCGGGCGAGGCGATGGGCCGCTCGGGGCGGCGCAGGGCGGCGTTCGGGACGAGGGGTCGCAGGGCGTCGTCGGGCAACCGCAAGGGCGCTCAGAGCGGTGGCGACCCGTCGCCGTCGTTGTCGGAGAAGGGCATTGTGGTCGAGTGAGTCCCGCATCGTCGTCGTCCTCGGCCTCGCTCTTTGTACCCCGTCCTGCTTTCTCGTCCTTTGCTCGCCTCTCGCGTCCCTGTTTGTACACTCTCCTGCCCTGCATTGCACCCGCTTGACCTTCTGGCACCGTATCGGCTTGCGAGCGCGTCAAAGAGAGGAGCAAGTTGTCGCCGTCGAGCCGACAGCGCGAGGAGCGAGAGGGAGAGCGGCGCGAGAGAGAGAGAGAGAGGTAGCTCGAGAGCGACATTGGGTGCAGCTGGGCGAGCTTGCCGTGCCCGTGGCTGAGCCGGAAGAAGCAGGCAAAGAGCCATGACGAGGGAGAGCGAGGCCGTTGCCCTTGGACGCAAGCGCTGCGACAAGTTGAACGAGCGCTCCTCCCCCTCCTCTTCTCCCTCTCGCCCACTCAGCTGCGCCTCACCCCGACCGAGCCAGCCTCGCCACCACTCTCGCACCTGCTGTCCACCCGGCGACAGCCCATGTCCCGCATCCCCATCCCTGCCTCGCCCTCGCTCAACCCGCCTCACGCTCCCTCGCCCGCCATGTCGTCCCGCGCGCCCTCGCGCCGCCCAGAGTCGGTCTACTCGGCCTCGGGCTCGAGCTTCGTCTCGGCGTCGACCGTCCCGTCCACCCCGCCCCCGGGCGCCCAGGGCGACAACCTCGCAGAGACGCGCAAACGCCAGGGTCGCCGCGACGAGGTCCGTCAGCCTCTCCCCCTCTTGTCGCGTGCGGTGGGGCCAGCGCAGTCGAGGAGAAAGGCGGAACGTGCCACTAGACTCGGCGCCCTGCAGCGGCGAGGCGAGGTGGAGCGAGCGCGCGAGGTGTCGGCTCGGAGCTCATCGGCGGCGACTCGAGCGCGTGGCAGGGCTGGGCGAGCGCATGCACGGGCGCACTACCTGCGACAGTGCACGCTCGCATGCAGTCCACCCGCACAAGGAGCCCACACTGACCCCCTTCCCCTCCTCCCCCGCAGGCCATCCGCAAGAAGATCGAGTCGGAGCTGTCGCGCAAGCGCCCGCCCTCGAAGCGCTCGGGCCAGTCGAGCCAGCAGCAGCAGCATTCGTCTTCGTCTCGCGCGCCTCGCCCGCTCAAGGGTACCGTGTCGGCCTTGCGCCCGCTCCCCGCCCTCACGGTCCCGCACGGCATGAGCGTCTCGGACGCGAGCCAGCTGTGCGCCGCCAAGCGCACCGACTGCGTTCTCGTCGTCGACGAGGACGAGCACCTGTGCGGCATCTTTACCGCCAAGGACCTCGCCTTCAGGGTCCGTCCTCGCTTTCTCCTCCTTGTCTCTCGCGACCCTCGTCCCTGACTCGCTCTCTCGTTCCTGTGCAGGTCGTCGGCGACGGCCTCGACCCTCGCACGACCCCGGTCAGCGCCATCATGACGGCCAACCCGATGGTGACGCGGGACACGACCTCGGCGACCGAGGCCCTCCAAACCATGGTCACCCGCGGTTTCCGTCACCTCGTGCGTCCCTCTCTCCCCTCTCGACCCCCGAACAGACGAGCGAGATTCCTGACCTCGTCACCCGCACACAGCCCGTCTGCAACGAGGAGGGCGACGTCGTCGGCCTGCTCGACATCACCAAGGTCTTCCACGAGTCGCTCGAGAAGCTCGAGAAGGCGCACGGCTCGTCGCAGCGCCTCTACTCGGCCCTCGAGGGCGCCCAGGAGCAGTTCGGCGGCGCCGACGCCGGCGCGAGCAACCCGCTCCTCGCGTACGTCCAGGCGCTCCGCGACAAGATGTCGTTCCCGGACCTCGGCTCGATCCTCGACGCGCGCACGACGGCCGCGACGGTCGGCGTCAAGACGAGCGTGCGCGAGGCGGCGCGCATCATGCGCGAGAAGCGCACGACGGCCGTGTGCGTCATGGAGGGCGCCGACATGAAGAAGATTGCCGGCATCTTCACCTCGAAGGACGTCGTCCTGCGCGTCATCGCCGCCGGCCTCGACGCCAAGACGTGCAGCGTCGTGCGCGTCATGACGCCTCACCCCGACACGGCCGTCCCGACCCTCAGCATCCAGGACGCGCTCCGCAAGATGCACGGTCCGTCCCCCCCTCTCTCGCTCTCTCGTCAAGCGGGTTTCCCCAGACCTGAATCGGCCTCTCCCCCCTGCTCGCAGACGGCCACTACCTCAACCTGCCCATCGTCGACGAGGCGGGCGCCCTCATCGGCATCGTCGACGTCCTCAAGCTCACGTACGCGACGCTCGAGCAGGTCAACACGCTCCACGCCGACGCCGGCGGCGCCGCCGACCCGGCCGGTGGCCCCCTGTGGGGCCGCTTCTTCAGCGCCGCCGCCCAGGCCGACGACGACGGCGACACCGAGTCGATCGTGTCGGGCCTCGCCGGGTCCGAGGCGGCGTCGTCGTCGCAGGCGCCGTTCCAGACGCCGACGCGCCCGGGCTACCACCGCGGCCTCGACAGCGTCGACACGCCGGGCAGCGAGCTCTTCCCCGCCGACTCGGCCAGCGTCGTCAACGACGACGCCTCGTCCGAGGTCGGCCTCGGCGCCCCGGCTCGTCGCGGCGGCGCTCCTCCCGCCGCGTCGAGCGTCGGCGCGTCCCAGGCGCCGTCGTCGATGCAGCAGCAGCTGCCGATCGTCGACGACGGCACGTACCTGTTCAAGTTTGTCGCGCCCGGCGGCACGACGCACCGATTCCAGGCCCGGTACGACTCGTTCGAGTTCCTGACCGACATCGTGTCGGGCAAGCTCTCGTCGGACCCGTTCTTCGTCGTCGACGGCGCCGCTCAAGGCGACGACAACGAGCAGCAGCAGCAGCAGGCGCAGCCGGACCCGAGCGACTTCCAGCTGTCGTACCGCGACGACGACGGCGACCTCGTCCTCGTCACGGCCGACGGCGACGTGACGGACGCGGTCGCGACGGCCAAGCAGCAGGGCAAGGACCGTGTCGTGCTCCACGTCAGCGGCGGCTCGTCATGGAAGGCGGCCCTCGCGAGGCGCGACGCTGCCGCCGCCGCTCCTGCGGCCGAGCCGGCGCCGGCGCTCGTCAAGAAGCTCGTCGTTGTCGAGGAGGAGGCCGAGGGCGCCGAGCACGACGCGCCCGTGTCGCCCGTCGCCAAGGAGGACGACGCCCCTCGTCGCGCCGCCCGCAAGGCCGCCACGTCGTCGTCGTCGTCGAGCGGCGACGGCGACCTCGTCGCGGGCGTCCTCCCCAAGGAGTACCTCCTCCCGGCGTCGATCGGCTTCCTCGGCGTCGTCATCGCGACCGTGTTCATCGTGTCGCGCGCGAGCGGCAATGCGAGGTAGAGTGGGCGAGCGCCCCGCCTGGCTCTCGGACCCCTTCCCCTTCCTCCCCGTCCTCGCCCTCTCTCTCTCTCTCTCTTTCGCCTTTCGAGCCTCCTCTCTCTCTGTACCAGCACCCCCTTGCCTCTCTCCTTCCCCTCACCTATCCCTATCACGCAACGACACAATCACGACCCTGTGCGCCTCTCCTCGCCCGCCTTCGCGCGACGCCCGCCTGTTGGTACAGCTCCTCGTAGAAGCCTCGCTCGCGCGCCGCCGCCGTGCAACTAGCCGAATCTTTCGCTCTCGCTCTCGCTCTCGCTCTCTCTCGCACGCTCTCTGCTCTCGAGCGAGTGCGGCCAAGTCCAAGTCACGCCAATCCGATTCCTCCTCTCGCCCTGCGCTACGACCCTCTCGCGCCGCGCCTCGGCTCGACACCCGAGCTCAGACGATGCTCTCGAGCTCCTTGGCGTACCGCAGCGCGGCGCCAATGACCTGTGCGCGGTCGAGCTCGCGCGCGTCGTCGCTCTGCGGCGGTGCGGGGGCGGCGCCGCCGGTCGCCATGGTCGAGGGGACGCCCGCTGCTGCTGCTGGGGCTGCCGACGAGGGTGCGAGCTGCGAGGGGTGCGAGGGCGACGAGGGGAAGTGGAGCGTGTGGGTCGAGGGGTCGAGGTGCCAGTTGCGCTGCAGGGAGGGAGGCGGCGTGTCAGGGCACCTCTTCCTGTACACTGCGACTCGCCGATCCCCGAGGGGCAAGCGAGACGCAGAAGAGAGACGGCGCGGGCGCGGCGACGCACCTGAGCCGCAAAGCTCTTGACCTCGTCGTCCGACTCGAAGAAGAGGAGCGTGCGCGCGTCGCGCAGGGGCAGGCTCTCGTACGCGCGCTCGTCGCACGCCGCGATCTCGGTGCGCACGGTCGCGAGGAGGGGCGGGGTGAGGTGGGCGAACTCGGGGAGTGGGAGGTGCGAGGCTGAGGAGGAGGAGGGGGTCGAGGAGGAGGAGGTGGTGGGGCGGCACAGGGACCAGACGCGCGAGTACGAGCCCTCCATGAGGCAGCGCTCGAGCTGCGGGTAGCAAGGGAGTCAGGGTCGGGCGGACGCGAGAAGGAGAGGGAGAGAGGGAGGGGACGGACCTGCATGACCCAGGCGACCTCTTTGCTGTCGACGACGTGCTTGCGCTCGAGCGTCTCGAGGACGGTGTGGAAGTCGGCGATGCGGTTCTGGCTCAGGAGGCGCAGGAGCGAGAGGGCCGTCAAGGGCGCCTCGTTGTGCGAGGTCGGGAGGGTGGTGGCGAGCTTGCCGGCGTAGAAGGACGAGAGGAGCGAGAGGTAGCGGTCGAACGAGGCGAGGTCGTCGGTGCGGACCGAGAAGAGGGCGCCGAGTTCGAGGATGTCGCCTGCGGGAGGGAAGGGCGTGAGTGGTGGTCGGGGGGAGAGAGGGAGGGAGGGCAAGGAAAGGGGACGGACGGGCCGTGGTGAGGGCGCCCTGGTCGACCTTGTCTGAGTCGGGAAACAAGAGGCCGAGGTCGGAGAGGTGGACCTTGAGCTGGGCGAGGAGCTGCTTGACGGCGGCGTTGTCGAGCGAGTCGGGGCCCTTTGCCCACTCCTGCTGGAGGCGGGAGTAGAGCTGGGTGGCTTCTGCGCTCATGGTAGTCGAGTCGAGGTGGAGGTGCTCGAGTTCACGGGACGGGGTGACGAGCGTGCGCTTGTTGGCGGTGGTGGACGAGAGGTCGGAGGGGGACGAGGGGCGGGGGCGTTTCGGGACCGCGGTGGACGACGAAGAGGACGGGGTGGCCAGGGTGACTGGTGGGGGTAGCCTCGAGTGGGCTGGGCTGTGTGGACGAGTGGAGGAGGAGGAGGAGGAGAGGAGCAGCTCGCTGACGACGCCGTCTCATCTCGACGACGACGACTCGGCTCTGTCGCTCCTCCCACACACCTCTACGACACACACTGCACACCCAGACTCGCACACCAACCTCGCACACCCACCACCGAACCCACCCTCGACCCGCCCACCAACCTGCGACCTCGCTCACCATGCAGCACCCGTCTCAAGCCACAACCCTCATCCCCGACATCTCGCGCCTCAAGGCCGGCGAGATGAACCTCGGCACCTCCATCATGGCCGTCGCCTTCCCCGGCGGCGTCGTCATCGGCGCAGACTCGCGCACCACCATGGGCTCGTACATCGCCAACCGCGTCACCGACAAGCTCACCTACCTCTCGGACCGCATCTACTGCTGCCGCTCGGGCTCGGCAGCCGACACCCAGGCCGTCGCCGACATCGTCACCGCCCAGCTCTCTCAGTACGAGATGACGCACGGCGAGCGACCGGCCGTGCACGTCGCGGCCAACATGCTCGAGGGCATCGTCTACCAGAACAAGTGCGCTCCCCTCTCTCTCTGTCTCCCTGTGAAGCTCGACACTGACACGTACTCGCCCACGCAGGGACCGCCTCAGCGCAGGACTCATCGTGGCGGGCTGGGACCCGATCAACGGCGGCACCGTGTACAACATCCCGCTCGGCGGCGGCCTCTTCAAGGGCCCGTGGGCCATCGGCGGCTCCGGCTCGACCTACATCTACGGCTACTGCGACGCGACCTTCCGCGAGGACTGGGGACAAGCAGAGACGGTCGAGTTTGTCAAGAATGGCGAGTCCTCTTTCCTTTCTTTCTCCCCTTCTTCCCTGCTCTCCTCAATCTCTCTCACGCCCGCGCTCCATCCCCCTCCTCGTACCTCGTACTGACCCGAGTAACGCACCCACAGCCCTCGCCCTCGCCATGAGCCGTGACGGGTCCAGTGGCGGCACGATCCGCCTCGCCATCATCACCGAGGGCGGCGTCGAGCGCGTGTTTGTGCCCGGCAACGAGCTGCCGCCGTTCGGAGACAAGCTGTAGCTCGGCCTCGTCGCGTCGAGTCGAGTTGAGCGCGGTCGTCGTCGTCGTTTCTGTATTTCCCTTGCAAGGACTTTGTTTCCCGCCTTCCCGCGCTCGAGCCTCGTTCTCTCTCTCCTTTCTCTCGTCGGCAACCTCTCCTCTCGGTCTCTCTCTCGTCTAGCATCCGAGAGTGTGCGAGAGCGGGCACGAGCAGCGTCCGCTAAGGAGCCGCAGCGAGAAAGAGAGCGAGAGCCTCTTCCTCCTCTCTCGCGCCTCTTGTCGCACTCGCGTCGTCCCGCGATCGTCCCGCGAGCGAGAATCGGTCCTGTACTCCTCCTGACGAACCTGCCGCCCAGTTATCGAGCGGCAAAGAGCGCGAGAGGCCGCACGTCGGTTTGAGAAGGTTGACTAGCACGAGCGCACGGGCCTCCCGCTCGCCTCATCGACCTACCTCGCCGGTGGCTTGCTGTCCTTGCGTCCGTCTTCCGAATCTCCCTTGATGTCGAGCGTGCGAGAGAGAGAGAGCGTGCGTGAGAGGCGCAAAGCTCCCGAACCCCCTTCTCGCCGTGCGTCACCAGCTCGTTCAGGCCTTCACTGCTCAAATCCGGCACCCTCATTCGATCCCGAGTACAGCAAGCTCTCTCTCTGGCCGCAGACTGAGCTTGACGACGCCTCCCTCGAGCGTCGTCGGCTGCACCTTCGACGAAAGCTGTCGAGCCCTCCCCTCGGGCGCTCGAAAGCTAAGCGAGATCACAAGAAGTCAAGTGTGAGCTTGTAACCTCATCCGGAAGCTATTGCCGAATAGGAATCGCTAAGCGAGGAGGGAGGAGGGCGCCGTTCGCAGTGTCACCTCCTCCCACCCGCACCCTCACGACTGGGTGGGCGATTTGCGCTTCGCCCGTGTACCTGAACACTACAGCAACGACGGCGAGCTGCACCCGCACCACCGCGAGCGGCCGCCGAGGGCGCAGGGCTCGCCGCGTCTTCATCAGCAACTCGCGTCGTCCGACCGGTCTCGGCTCGTGGCAACGGCTCATGGGCATGTGGGAGTCGTCGTCGACGGCTATGGCAGCATCAAGGAGACTACTGGGCCAGGCGGCCGCGCGGCGTGGGCTGTGGGCGACTGGTGCGTCCTCCTCCCGCCTGGCTCCCCGTGTTTGGCGCCCCTCTCCCTCTCCTCTCGCCCCCTCCACTACCTCGCGATGCAGTGCAGGGGTCCTAATGGACTGACCTAGTCCCTTTGCAGGTGGAACGGCTGCGCACGGTGGTGAGAGCGGCCTTCTGGGCGGCGCGAGGCGGGTTTTTGGACTTTGAGGCGGCTCATCTTGTCCTTTGTAAGTCCCGCGCACTCTCTCTCTCCCTTGCAGGACCTTCACGTGGGTCTTTGCTCCTCGCCGAGCCGCGCACTGACCCTCTCGACCTCGCGGCGCAGGTTAGTCGCGCCCTCGATGGCAGCACCCCCTTCTCGGCCCCGAAAGCTTCCCCTCCCGCCCTTGCTGCGCCGCACGACGGCTCCCTTTCCTGTCCGAAAGCTCTCCTCGTCCCTCTCGATCGTTCCCCAGACCGCTCAGAGTTCTCGTTCGTCGTCGCACTCGTCCCGACGGCTCAGCGAGTCGAGCCGTCGCGGACGGGTCTCTACGAGGCTGCGCCCGCCCTCACGTGCCCCTGAGGGCAGCGGGCGCACTGCGGTGAGCCGCTCGCACGGCGCGCACCCCTGCGGAGCGCCCGTGCGCCCGGCCACCTACTAAAGACAGGGGGATCCTGCGCACCCTCGCTCAAACGCTAGCTCCTGATCTAGCAGGGTTACGGCCTTGTGCGCGCGCCAGATCGAGCGAGGACGTGTCTGCGGTGCAATCGAGCGCGTTTCCCGACCTACTTTGTCGTGTACAGCGCGAGCTGGCCTCCTCGGCTGGGTCTTCGAGTCGGTCGAGGTCCGAGCCGAGCGCGCTCTTCCTGTCGGCTTGCTCGCCGGCGAGGCCACTCTGTATAGTACTGAGAGCATGCTCGAAGCGGAAGAAAGCGCGGCGACCGCTGTGGACAGCGCAGGATCGAGTTCAAGGTCCGCTCGCCGCTCGTGTCCCTCCTTCCCCTCCTACCCGTCGGCCCTCACGACAGGGCTCGCTCAGACTGGCTCGAGTCGGTACCTGCACATCACGGCATCATACTTCTGCTTCATGCGCACCACTGCGAGCGCTCGCCGCCGGCGCAGAGCGCGTCGCGTCTTCATCAGCGACCCGCGGTGGGCGCCCTCTGTCGATTGGCGACAACGACCTGTGGACCGGTGTGCGACCTCATCATGGACTCGAGGAGGGTCAAGGAGCACTTCAACGAGGCGGCAGCGCTCTGTGAGTCTCGTACGACGTGTACGTCCTCTCCTCCCCGCCTCCCTCGTGTTTGGCCCCCCTCTCCCTCTCCCCTAGCCCCCTCTGCCACCTCGCGACGCGGTGCAGGGGTCTCGATAGACTGACACGGTCACCTTACAGGCGGACCGGCTGCGCAAGGCGAGCAGGGCGGTCCTCTGGGCGGCGCGAGGCGGGCTCTTGACCTCGAGTCGGCTCGTCTTGTCCTTTGTACGTCCCGCGCACTCTCTCTCTCCCTTGCAAGACCTTCATGTGGGTCTTTACTCCTCGCCGAGCCGCGTACTGACCCTCTCGACCTCGCGCCGCAGGTTAGTCGCGCCCTCGATGGCACCTCCCCCTTCTCGGCCCCGAAAGCTTCCTCTCGCGCCCTTGCTGCGCCGCACGACAGCGCCCTTTCCTCTCCGAAAGCTCTCTCGTCCCTCTCGATCGTTCCCCAGACCGCTCAGAGTTCTCGTTCGTCGTCGCACTCGTCCCGACGGCTCAGCGAGTCGAGCCGTCTTGGACGGGTCCTTACGAGGCCGCGCCCCCCTCTCGTGCCCCTGAGGGCAGCGGGCGCACTGCGGTGAGCCGCTCGCACGGTGCGCACCCCTGCGGAGCGCCCGTGCGCCCGGCCACCTACTAAAGACAGGGGGATCCTGCGCACCCTCGCTCAAACGCTAGCTCCTGATCTAGCAGGGTTACGGTGTTCTGCTTGCGTGGGATCGGACGAAGAGGTGTCTGCGGTGCAATCGAGCGCTTCTCCCGAGCCAGTTCATCTTGTACAGGGCGAGTTGTGAGCCTCGCCTCCCTTCTCAAGTCGGTGTCGGCGAGGTCGAGAGAGGTCTTTCTGCTGGCTCGGTCCGGCTCGAGCACCTCCTTCGGACGCTATCTGACAGAGCCCTGTCGAGCTGCTCGAGAAACAGGGGCAAGGGAGCGAGTTCTCAAGGGCATCCGGCTGCTCGAGAAGGCTCGCTCGGACCTCTCCTATGCGGGCGGGTCTTGCTCCCTCGTGTCGGCGCGGCCGTGTAAAGGTCGTCGACGAGTGCTCGGAACGGACCCCGGCTCGAGGGCACTCCCTTCCGCTCGTGCCCGCTCGACCTTTGCGCTCAGAAGGAGGTCCAGGAGGAGGGACTCGATTTCTCGCTGTGCAACCTCGCTCTTTCTCGACGGTGCGAGGCTCGATCGACCTATCGAGACGTTTACTTGACGATGGGCCCAAATCTGCAGACCGTTCCAGGTAGTGCCCGCGCGACTGTGCGCTCGCGAGGAAGTTCAGGAGGAGCTACTCGATTTCTCGCTGTCAGATCTCGCTCTTTCTCGACGGTGCAAGGCTCGATCGACGTATAGACTTGACTGCTCCGTCCCGAGGCGGTCCGACACCCTGCTGAGAGCTCCGAGCCGACAGGAAGGCGGTCGACCCGAGTCGACGTACTCGGCGCCCGCAGTCTGGATCCAAATCACCTCCTCGCTGCTCGTCCAGGGCTCGCACGCAGTTCGCTATGGTCGAGATCTATTGTCATGGCTCTGCATAGTTGTGCACCCGACCCTCGCCCCAGTTGCAGCTGTCTTGCCCGCACGAGAGCCGCGCACGGCGACCGACCGGCGGTGCACGTCGCGGCCAACATGCTCGAGGGCATCGTCTACCAGAACAAGTGCGCTCCTCTCGCTCTGTCTCTCTCTTGGCAAGCCCGACACTGACACGTCCTCGCGCACGCAGGGACCGCCTCAGCGCAGGACTCATCGTGGCGGGCTGGGACCCGATCAACGGCGGCACCGTGTACAACATCCCGCTCGGCGGCGGCCTCTTCAAGGGCCCGTGGGCCATCGGCGGCTCCGGCTCGACCTACATCTACGGCTACTGCGACGCGACCTTCCGCGAGGACTGGGGACAAGAGGAGACGGTCGAGTTTGTCAAGAATGGCGAGTCCTCCCTTCTTCCCCCTTCCCCTTCCCCTCCCTCTCTCTCATACCCTCGCTGTCTCCCTCCACGTGCCTCGTACTGACACGAGTAACGCACCCACAGCCCTCGCCCTCGCCATGAGCCGTGACGGGTCCAGTGGCGGCACGATCCGCCTCGCCATCATCACCGAGGGCGGCGTCGAGCGCGTGTTTGTGCCCGGCAACGAGCTGCCGCCGTTCGGAGACAAGCTGTAGCTCGGCCTCGTCGCGTCGAGTCGGGTTGAGCGTGGTCGTCGTCGTCGTTTCTGTACCTCCCTTGCAAGGACTTTGTTTCCGCCTTCCCACGCTCGAGCCTCGTTCTCTCTCTCCTCTCTCTCTCGTCGTCAACCTCTCCTCTCGGTCTCTCTCTCGTCGAGCATCCGAGACTGTGCGAGAGCGGCCAGCATCGAAAGCAAGAGCGAGAGCCTCTTCCTCCTCTTTCGCGCCTCGTCTCGCACTCGTGTCGTTCCGCGATCGTCCCGCGAGCGAGAATCGGTCCTGTACTCCTCCTGACGAACCTGCCGCCCAGTTATCGAGCGGCAAAGAGCGCGAGAGGCCGCACGTCGGTTTGAGAAGGTCGACCTGAACGAGCGCACGGGCCTCCTGCTCGGCTCGACGACGCACCTCGCCACGGCGGCTGCCGCTCCTCCAGCGGTAGCTAGGTAGAGGCGTGCTTCCGCTCCCTGCGCGACCGTCTCCAACGTACCGCGCCGTCTCGTCGCTCTCGAGCCTCTCGTTTACGCTGCGTGCCGCCGTCTCTCGCTTCTCTCACGGGCCCTTGCGCTCCTGCGAGCCCGTCGTCTGTTCGAGCAGAGTCGCGGGTCGACGGCCTGCGCAGCAGTGATGAGCTGGCGCCGAGCGAGAGATGAATGGCCGCGCCTCGCAGCCACGAAAGGCTCTCTCAGGCCGCAGCACGAGGAAGGACAACAACAGGAATGCGATGCAGGCAGCCCCTCCCTCCCCATGATGCCGAGATACAGGTCCTTCCACAACGCGCTCGACCCTCGCTAGCCGAGCGACCAGTCCTGCGCGAGGCCCTTGAAGTCGATCAAGCTGCGCGCGAAAAGTGCGAGTCAGTACTCGACCAGGCTCGTCTGACGAGAGAGAGAGAGAGAGGAAGAAGGGAACGCACGCCTCTGGCGTCGAGCAGTCGATCGGCGGCGGTAGCTTGCCGCGGTTGGCCTTCTTGTACTGGAGCGTAAAGTCGGGGTCGGTGAACTCGTTGAAGAGGGCGATGGTCGAGCCTTCTCGACCGCGGAGCCAGGTTGCTGCGAGAGGGGCGAGGCGAGAGAGGAGAGAGGGAGGGGGAGAGGAAAGGAGAGGAGGTAGAAGAAAGAGGGAGAGTCAGTTCGAGGCGACGAGGAGGAGTGCAGGCGAGCGAGGATGGGCGGTGTGACGCAAGGGCTTCTGTCGGCGAGGCGCCGCACCGAGGAAAGGAGGGAAGGAGGAGAGCGAGGAGGAAGAGGAGGAAAGGCGGACGTACGAATCTTGCCGAACCCGCTGCGCGACGTCAAGATCTGGAAGTCGGTCCCTGCGCGACCCTCACGACATGAGCGAATCATCCTGCTCGTTCGAGATCTTCGTCGAGAGAGGGAGAGAGAAAGCGTCGGGCGCACCGGCAAAGATCCAGCTCTCGGCGATCGTCCTCATGAACCCATCTGCCGCCCGCTTGATGCTGACGAGCCCAGTGCTCGAGTCCGTCTTGATCTCGACGTGCGCCTGCTTGAGGCCCGTCACGACGACCTTGTCGCCGAACCGCCGGAGCGCGTCGCGCTCGAGCGCGTGCGAGTCGGTAATGAGGTAGTACAGGACCTTCTGCGACGGATGCGCGTACGTGCGCGCGACGGCCTCGGCGCACGTAAAGTACTGCGGGTGGAGCGACACCGAGTTGACGGCGTCCTTGTAGTCGGCCCACTGCGCGCAGTCGAGGCGAGCGAGGGTCAGTGCACGGGCGATCGAGACAGAGGGCGAGGAGAGGGGACGCACCATCGACAGGTCGCCCGTGCGGATCTGGATGCCGATGACAAAGTTCTCGGGGAGCGCAAACAGGCTCGTGTACTGGGCGATAAAGGCGAGCGCGGCGGGCTTGGGCCGCAAGAGGTAGTTGATGAGGCACGAGTAGGCCGTCGTCGCCTTAAGGCCCAGGTCGTCGAGGAGCGGCGCCACCTGCTTGTACGTCCACGAGCGGATGACGACGCCGCGGTTGAAGTCGAGCTGCAGGTGCGCGAGAGGCGTGAATAGCGACTCGAGGCGAGGGGAGGAGAGGGAGACGAGCGAGGCGCACCTGGATCCAGGGCGACTTCTTGTTGCCGCCATAGTTGCGCACGAACCTCGGCATCCACTGGTCGATGTGCTCGGGCTCCCAATTGTGCGCGTCGACCTCGCGCCGCTTCTTGGCGAGCGTCTTGTTGGCGTACACGGCCGGGTGCGCGCTCGGCGTCGACGACGACGCGTTGAACGGCCTCGACCAGTCGATGTGGGGCGAGTCGAAGAAGAGGTCGACGGGTGCGGGCTGCTCCCACGAGACGGCAAAGGCGCGCCTGGTGAGGATGCTGTACAGGAAGGTCGTCGTCATGCCGAGGATGCTGCGGGCCGCCGAGCAGAGTGAGCGCCAACTCGGACTCGGGTTCGGCGAGAGTGAGAGTGGGAGATAGAGACGGACCGGTCGGCGAACCCGCCGCAGTACTCGCCTGCGCGGCAGACAAACTCGAGCAGGCTCGGCTCTTGGTCGCCGGCGAGCATGTCGGCGTGCATCTTGGTGTACTCGTCCTCCCAGGCGCCCTGCTCGCACGCCTCGACAGGTCGGCCGGTGCGCCACTCGTGCAGGAGGTCCTCGTACCTGCGCGGGGAGGGAGCCAGGGTCAGCTCGAGGTGGACGAGGAGGGGGCGAGGAGCAGAGGGAAGAGGGTGGGCGCACTTGTCGTAAGAGCCATCGACGAACAGACCCGGGCCTTCTCCTTCGGCCGGCGCAAACGAGTGCGACGGCAATGCAGAAGCAGGCTTGATGCGCCTCGGCGGGTCGTCGCCGCCGAGCCCGATGCCGACGCCGCCCTGGCTCGCCGTGCGGCTCTTGAGGAGCCACTGTCGGGTCGTGTTCTGCGCCTGCATGTCGAGAGGGTACAGGTGAGCTCGGTTGGAGAGGAGAGGGCGAGTGCGAGAGAGAGAGGACGGACCGGCGACAGGTCTTTGAGCATGCGGGCGAGGCTGCTGTGGATCTTGGGGGTCGCCCAGCTGTACCGCCGCAGGTGCCGGTCCTCCTTGCTCCAGGCGATAGCCGGCAGCCGCTCGTCCTGCTCGTGCTCGATGAGGTCGTCGTCACTGAGCGGAGGTGCCGGCGGTGGTGCGAGGTGGTCGTCGGCTGGAGGAGCGAGGTGGCGCCAGACGTGCAGGTCGGGGATGCGGTCGGTGTAGGGCTCGAGTGCGGCGGGTACCGAGGGGTGGTGGGCGAGGGCGAAGGCGAGGAGGGTGGCGAGAGGGACGAGGGCGCAGACGAGGGCGCGGCGCCTGCGGGGTGGGCGTGGGCGGTCGTACACGTCCTGGTCGTGGGGGAGGAGTGGACTGGATGGCCCTGCACTGCCTGGCAGGCGGATGCGCGGCATGGTCGAGGTGTTTGAGCTGATGAGAGATGAAAGGGCGACGACGCGCCTCGTCGCGTTCTCCGCCCTGCGCCGCTCTCCTCCCCTCGCCTCGCTCTCGTCCACCGCGTGCTCCACAGCTGCACACGCCCGGCTCAGCTAGCCCTGCGCACCGGTGTGCCCCTCCCGCACCGCGTCGCCACTCGCCCACCATGACCCTCGGCTTCGACCCCGCCAACTTCACCACACCCGTCCCCGACTACCTGCTCTGCGTGCGCTGCAACAACGTCGCCGTCCCGCCTCGCGTCATCTGCGCAAAGGAGCACCTCAACTGCTCCACCTGCTACGACGACGCGCGCGCCAACCATCCTCACGCCTCCTGCCCGGCGTGCCACAAACACGTCCGCAAAAACGCGCCCCGCTCGGCCATCATCGAGCGTGCCATCCGCACCCTCGAGTGCGTCCACCTCTCTCTCTCTCCCGGGGCCGAGGGTCTCGCAGCGAATGTGCGCCAAAGCTCACGAGTTCGCCCGCCCTCGCCAACAGTTACCCGTGCAGGAGGCGAGCGTGCGACTAAACCGGCAGTGTGTACGACCAAGAACGACATATTCCGGACGAGGTGCGTGTTCTGCACGGCCCCAGCCTCGGCAGCAGTTGGCCTGACCCCCGCCCTCGCCCCCCTCGCAGTGTCCCTACCGCCGCATCTGGTGCCGCGTGTGCGCCCAGGCCGTGGTCTCCAAGGACGAGGACATCCACATCGAGAAGCACTGTCGCATGGTCTTCGTCGAGTGTCCCCGGCGCCCTTGCCCGGCCGGCGGCAAGATGCGGCGTCACAAGTTCGCCGCGCATGAGAAGGTCTGCTCGATGGAGATGTGCGTCCCACCTCTCTCGCCGCCAACCTCGACGACGCAGAGACCTGACCCGCCTCTCCCGTTGTGCGCAGCTGCGTCGTCGCCGGCTGCCCGACTCGCACGACCAAGGCCAACATGCCCGCTCACGAGGCGGCGTGCATGGCCCAGGTCAAGCTCGTCGAGCGCCTCAAGGACGAGGTCCGGCGCCTCAACAGGAACATTCGCGAGCGCGAGGACAACGAGGAGCTCCTGAGCGAGGACGACGAGTGGGTCGACGACGAGGAGGAGGAGTACGAGGAGGAGTACGAGGACGAGAACGGCGAGGAGTCGCCGGAACCCGATTACGCCAGGATCGGGGGGGCCTTGCAGGCCTTCCGCGCCAGGGCCATCGCCAAGTACTGCGTGATGCCGCTCGCGCCCACCTGCGCGCCCGCCCCGACCTCGAGCATCTCCCGCCCCGCCTCGTCCTCGACCGCCGCCGCCGCCGCCGCCCCCTCGCCCAAGCGCCGCCGCACATCGCTCGCACCCGTCGACAACACGGCCTCGACGTCGACGTCGGCGAGCAGCAGCAGCAGCACGACGGCCAAGCGGCCGTTCAAGGTGCACGTCGTCGACCTCGAGGAGGGCACGAACGAGATGATCGAGTTGTGAGGAGGGCTCGAGGGCGTGCGCCGAGGAGGAGGCGGGCTCGGGGCGGCGAGGGCGAAGGCGCTGTAGCTTGTTTAGCTCTGCAACTCGGGTTCGAGCTCCTTTTGGCGACCTTCTCAAACTCGGCTCGTCGCAGTTCTCGTTTCCGGCTCTCTCTCACGCTCGCGAGACTCGACAGGGATCGAGAGAGGACTCTCTGTGGCACGACGAGCTGGCCGAGCTGCTCGAGAGCGCGTCATCGTCGCCACCCTCGCTCGGATCCTCGAGTTGGGCTTTCCTCTGCCTCGCTCGGCCTGCAGCTTCTCGTCGACTCTCGCTCGCGTTCCTCTCGACGATGACGACGACGACAAATGGGTGCGGCGAAGAAAGTGCGGCGATGCAAGACAGGTACACGAGTACAACGCGAGGGAAGAGCCGAGGGCGAGAGGGAGGGCTATGTGGCAGTACAGCACCGAGGAGAGGAGAGGAACAGGGAGGAGAGGACCGTAGAGACGCCGATGAGAGAGACGCAAAGAGCGAGGGGCGCCTCTACTTTCTCCGCCGCGCCTCGTTCGGGTTGCGCCGCCCGCTGCCGATGATGGGCAGGCCCATCTTGTCCAACCGGACCTCGCCGCCTGCGCCGTTCTTGCCGCCGCGCCTCCTGCCCTTGGGGTTGTCGACGCCGCCCTTGCCGCCGCCGATCCCGAGCATCTGCGCCTCGAGCGAGCCCGCCTCGGCGAACCAGCCGGCGCTGCTGCCGGCCGGGCCCGACCGCTTGCCGCGCTTCTCGTCCTCGAGGACGCTCTTCTGCAGCGCGCGCTGCTCCTTGTCGCGCCGGATCTCGGCCGACTTGACGCCGCGGACCCACTCCTTCTGGTCCTCGCGCACGACCATCTCGGCGTTGACGCCCCCGCCGGCCTTGCCCATCTTGGGGTTGGCCATGCTGAACTGGGTCCCGCGCAGGCGGTAGTTGAAGTTGGCCTTGAGGTGGAGGATGTAGCCCTGCGGGTGCTGGGGCGACACGGGGACGTAGGTGATCGAGGTGCGCAGGAGGGTCGCGCCGCCGCACGAGGGGCAGAAGCGCTTGTCGGGGTTCTTGCACAGCCTGCGGGTGCGCACACACAGTCAGGCTCCTCGCGCTCGAGACGACGACGAGAGAGAGAGTGAGAGAGAGACGCACTTGAAGCAGGCGTGGCACCGCAAGACCCAGGTCCGGACCTCGCGCACCCTCTTGCCGCCGCTGCCGAGCACGTTGAGGCCCATCTGGAGCGCCACGTTCTGCATCGCAAAGTCGCCCGTCAAGACGGCCGCCTTCATGATCGTCTTGGGCTTGGGCGGCTGCGGCGCCTTGCTCGTCGACGCGTGCGCCGACGCCGCTTGGGCCTCGGCCGACTCGAACAGGCCGAGGTCGCGCACCTGGTGGTCGTGCACGTTGTCGGGCGTGATCCACGAACCCGCCGACGAGTCCGACTCGGCGTCAGAGACGTCGCCGGCGTCGTCGGCGTCGTCGGCGCCGTTCGAGGTCGAGGCGGCGGCGGTGGAAGATGCGGGTGCGGATGAGGGTGCAGGTGCGGGTGCGGGTGCGGGCGAGGAGGATGAAGTGGAAGGTGCGGGTGCGGGTGCATCGCTCGCGGGCGCGGGCTCGTCCTGGCTCGCCGGCTCATCGACCTTGAGCGCCTCGACCTCGCCGGCGAGCTCGTCGACGCCGGTCGCCGCCGCCGCCTCGTCCTCCTCCTTGCCCTTGCCCTTGTCCTCCGTCTGCGCCTCGCCCTCGACAGGGCCCCCCTCCTTGTTCTCGCCGGCCGCACCAGTCGCGGTCGCGACCGCCTCGTCCTTCTTGTCCTCCTTGGGCGGGCCCGTCAACTGCTGGCCGGGGAACTCGCGTACGCGCCAGGTGCCGTTCTCCTCGAGCTCGATCGTGAGGCACAGGGCAAGGACGCGGATGTCGGCCGACGAGAGAACGGCGAGGTCGCCCGTCTTGCGCGCGAACGAGGTGACTGCGAGGCGAGCGAGGGTGGTCAGATTGGGGCTGCGGTGAGGTAAAGAGAGAGAGAGAGAGGGAGAGGACGCACTGCGTGCGACCGACTCGGCAGAGGGTTCCCGGACCTCGAAGCCCTCCCTCGCACGGTGGAGCTCGTCGGGGTCCTGGCCGTCGACGAGCGTGTCGGCGGGGAGCTGGAGCTTGGCCTCGTCGAGGACGTTGCGACCGCGCTTGTCGCGCAGCTCGTGGACGACGTCGGGCGTGACGAGGTAGTGGGCGGCCGTGTTGCGGAGCGACGAGACCGGGGCGGTCACGAGCGGGGCCGTGTCGACGACGAGGTGCTTGATGGCGCGCGAGCCGACCCAGCTGTCGGACTGCTTGGGGACCTTGTTGGTCATGGTCGAGCAGGTGCGGTGTGTAGGCGGGAGCTTGACGAGAGAGATGAGGTGAGGCGGAGGGAGGAGGACGACGAGGCGGCTGGCGCTCAAGGGGGGAGCTGGGGGAGCGGCGCGAGCTCGTGGATGGCGTGTGGGCGAGTGCTGGTGTCGGTCTATGGGCGCACTGGAGCTCGCGAGACTGGCGAGCGCGAGATGAGCGCGCAAGGCGAGGTCGAGCTCGAGCGGCCGGCTCGTCCGCACCTCGCCCCGCTCACTCTGTCGCGCCATGTACTCTGTCCAGGCTTGACTGTGCGATGAGAGTCTACAGATACTGCCCAGCTGCAGCAGGAAAAGCCCTGAGGGGTGCGAGGACGAGGTGTCTCTCGTTCCGCTGATGCCGTCCGCTCTCTCCGGCCGTCGCTCTCATCGCTTCCTCACCCATACACACCACCATGTCCGCTCTCAAGATCGTCGCTGTCCCCGGTGATGGAATCGGCAAGTCGCCCGCCCTCGTCGCCACCGCCTCGTCGCCCCCGTCATCTCCCACCGCCTCGACCCGCGGCTCCACCTTGACTCGCCGACACGCCCGCTCCGCCGCACGAGCACGAGTTGCGCACCTCCATCGTCGCCGCTGGCTGCGCACACGGCGTGCGCTCACCCGTACAGCGGCGCGGACGCGAGATGCTCGTCGCCCGCCGGCTCGCCGCCGGCTCGCCTGCGCGAGGACCAAGGAGCAGCTCGTCTCGGCGTTCCAGAGCACCTACTGACTCTCTCTGGACCTTGTCTGCAGGCCCCGAGGTGACGGCGCAGGCCGTCCGCGTCCTCGAGACCATCTCGGCCCACTCGGACCTCAAGTTCACGGTCGAGTCGCACGACTTTGGCGGCATTGCGATCGACAACCACAAGAACCCGCTCCCCGACTCGACCCTCGACGCCTGCAAGACCGCCGACGCCATCCTCCTCGGTGCGCCGCCTCGCTCCCTTCCCTCGATCCGCCCTCCAAGCCCCCGGCCGCTAACCCCGACCCTCTCTCGTCCCGTACAGGTGCCGTCGGTGGGCCCAAGTGGGGCACGCACCCGACGCTCCGCCCCGAGCTCGGCCTCCTCAAGCTGCGCAAGGAGCTCGGCCTGTACGCCAACATCCGCCCGGCCCTGTTCCCGGCCCCGTCGCTCGTCGCCCACTCGCCGCTCAAGGAGCACATTGCCCAGGGCACCGAGATTGTCGTAGTGCGCGAGCTCATCGGCGGCATCTACTTTGGCGAGCACCGCGAGGCCGTCGCCGGCGCGACCGAGGGCCCCGACGCCCAGGCGTTCGACGCGTGCACCTACTCGGTGCCCGAGGTGCAGCGCATCACGCGCCTCGCGGCCTACCTCGCCAAGTGCTCGAGCCCGCCGTTGGCGATCCACTCGATCGACAAGGCCAACGTGCTCGCGACGAGCCGGCTGTGGCGCCGCGTCGTGCAGGAGACGATCGACCAGGAGGAGCCCGACCTCAAGCTCGACCACCAGCTCGTCGACTCGGCCGCCATGCTCATCTGCGCCAACCCGCGCAAGCTCAACGGCATCGTCCTCAGTGCGTCAGCCTTTTCCTCAACTCCCTCTCGCGCGGTCGAGCCCTCCCTCCCTCCTCCTGCTCGTTCAGCAACCCCGACTGACCCGCACCCTCGCCCTCTCTCGCAGCCGAGAACCTGTTTGGCGACATCCTGTCGGACGAAACGTCGGTCATCCCGGGCTCGCTCGGCCTGCTCCCCTCTGCGTCGCTCGGCGGCATCCCCGACGGCAAGTCGCGCATCCCGGGCTTGTACGAGCCCATCCACGGCTCGGCGCCCGACATTGCGGGGCAGAACATTGCCAACCCGATCGGCACCATCCTCAGCATCGCGCTCATGCTGCGATACTCGTTTGGCAAGGAGCACGAGGCCAAGCTCGTCGAGGAGGCGGTCCGCGTCGTGCTCGACGACGAGAAGGTCGGCGGGTGCGGGTACCGCACCAAGGACCTCGGCGGCGACAAGACGACGACCGACGTCGGCGACAAGGTCGTCGAGGTGCTCGCCGGCCTGCTCCAGAAGAAGTAGATGCGGCCCGCGCGCGCGTGTCCAGTTTCTCTCGCTCGAGGCGGTACCAGATCAAGCAGTGCAACGATGAAAAGACGGCCGGGTCGTCCTCTCTCTTCCTCTCTCTCGCATGGCGCGTGCGTCGGCGAGAGGCTGCTCACGGCGCGAGCGAGCGAGAGCGGTCGAGAAAGATGTGCGTGCTCGAAGACAGGTCGGTGACGAAAGCTCGCATCGCTCTGCGCTTGGGACACAGGGCTTTTAGAGCTGTCGTACAGCAGTCGAGCGGCTCGGCAACGCTCTGCAGAAGAGGCGGTGGTCGCGTGCGTCGAGGGCGCCCGCTCCCATGATGGCTCTCGCTCTTGTCCAAGCCGCCGCTCTCGCTCTTCCGCCTCGCGCCTCTCTGGGCGAGAGGCAGTCCCTCCTCCTCGAGCAGGAGCACCGACCAGCACCCCTCCCGACCGCCGCCATGACCAAGTAGACGCCCAGTCACCCGGCCACGACCCCCAGCTCCCGAGCACACCAAGCCCCAGGCCCGCACCACGCCTCGCACCCGCACCCTGGTCCTGCCTGCGCCCCGCCTACCGCCCCGACCCACCTCTCCAACAGCGATGCACCCCTCGCCGCTCCCCCGGGTCGACCCGGCCCCAGACCAGGCCGAGGTCGTGCTCATCGCCGACGACGCGGCCCGCCCTCGTCCTCCGCGACCCGTCGCCCGGTGGCTCGTCAAGATCCAGCACGAGCGCCACGGCGTGCCGCAGCCGGCGCACCACGCGGCGCACGACCAGGGCGGCGAGCTCGACTCGGACCCGCTCGCGCGACCGCGCGCCGGCGGGGACGTCGAGTCGCGCGACATGGACGAGGGCGTGCAAGGTGTCGACGAGGAGGACGAGTGCAGCACGCCGCTGCAGCGCAGGCCGGCGCACCGGCTCGGGCGCCGCTCGAGCGAGTTCTGCCCCGTCGCCGCCGAGGCCGACATACTCCCTCCTCCCCTCCCGCACCCGCTCCAGCAGCAGCATGCCGACTACGAGCCCGCCATCACCGACGCCCGTTCCTCCTCCTCGTGCCGCTACTCGTACGGCGACTTCAGCTCGGCATCGTCGACCGCCTCGTCGTCGACCTCGCACTCGGGCTTCTCGTCGCACTCGGCGTCGAGCTTCACGAGCGCGAGCTCGACCCAGACGTTCTCGGCCGCCGCCTCGGGCTGGCCTGTCGCCGCCTCGACATCGTCGGCGTCGACCTCGCCGTCGCGGCAGGGCAAGACGCCCCAGGTCGCGACATTGCCGCTCCAGAGCCTCGCGGCGGCGGTCGAGCGGGCCGAGGGGCACGAGGCGGCGAGCGACGGTGGGACGCCTGTACCCGAGGCGCAGGTCGAAGTGCTCGACCTGCCTCTGCCGAGCGGCGCGGCGTGCGGTGCGGTCGGGCCGTCCTCACCAGCGACGGCGGCGCGCGAGGACAAGCCGCTCCCGCCGTGTCCAAAGGCCGCCGAGCCGCCTTCCCTGTGCGCCCCGCCGACGCTCCGCCACGTCGAGCCGCACCCCGCACCGACCGGCGACGCCCACCCTGCCCTTCCCGACCTGCCGGCCGCCGCCTTCGCCCGCCCTCCTGCGCCCTCGACCGCCTCGTCCGCCATCGGCGCCGACGACGTTCCCGTGACGACGACGGCCCCGCACGCCAACCCGCACGAGCTCGCGTCCGACGCCGACTCGCTGCGGCCGCCCGAGAACTTTGCCATGGTGTCGCCCAAGCTGTACCGGTCGTCGTTCCCGCGCGACAAGCACTTCCCGTTCCTGCGCAGCTTGGGTCTCAAGAGCGTCATGTGCGTCCACCCTTTTCCCCTTTGTCTACCTGTCCCTCGTCGAGAGAGCGCGACTGACGTTCCTTGGGTTCGTGGGCGCAGGGTCCTCGTGCAAGAGCCCTACCCCGAGGAGAATGTCGAGTTCCTGAAGGCCGAGGGCATACAGTGCGTCCGCCGTCTCACTATTCTTCTGCGCTCGACGAGCGCGCCTCACGAGCGTGCTCGGGCGCGAGGACGAAAGTCGAGCGTCACTGACTCGCCTCGTCCCCTCTCTCTACCCCTCCCGCCCGTCCTCTCATCCTCCCTCATCTCCCTCTCCCTCCCCTCGCTCGTCACAGGCTTTTCCAGTTCGGCATCCCGGGCAACAAGGAGCCGTTCGTCTCGATCCCGGAGGACAAGATCGTCGGCGCCCTGTCGACCATCCTCGACGCGCGCAACCACCCGATGCTGATTCACTGCAACAAGGGCAAGGTGCGTCCTCTGTTCCTCTCATTCTCTCCTTCCCCCTCCCCGATCCTCCCTTGCCTCGGTTTCGCCTCCGTGACCCTGACTGACCCACCACCTGTTCATCGCCCGCAGCACCGCACGGGCTGCGTCGTCGGGTGCCTGCGCCGCATCCAGATGTGGTCGCTCGTGTCGGTCTTTGACGAGTACCGGCGTTACTCGCACCCGAAGAGCCGCGCCATGGACTTGCAGTGCATCGAGGCGTTCGGCGGCTTGTCCAAGGTGCGCTCGAGCCTCTCCCTCTTTCTCCCCTTTCTCGCCCTCTCGTGTACGTGTAGGACAGGCACTGACCTCGAGTTGCGCAACATGCAGGTCTGGGACACGGTCGACCGCGAGCACCTCCCGCAGTGGGCGACTCTCGACCCGCCGCCCCGGCCGCCTCCTGCGCTCGCCGTCGCGTCGGACGACGACGACACGGCGTCGACGAGCTCGATTGACGGGCCGTGAGCGCGTCGGGTCCGCCTCCCCCTCTTTCTAGCCCCCCTTTGTACCCGTCTCTCTCGAGCGAGCGCGCTCCACTACCCCCACCTCTCATCCGTGCACATTCCCCACTCCCTCGTCGTCGTCCTGCCCTCGCGCTCTCGTCGTCGCGGTCGTGGTCGTCGTCCTCTCTCCTCTCTCGTTGCAGCAGCCCCCCATGTTGTAACTCGTACCCTTTTTTTTTCCGGCCCGGGCCCTCGCGTGCGCTGCCGTTCTCTCGGCGGCCGCAGCGCAGGCTCGGCGCCACCTCTCGAATCTCTCTCTCGTGCCTCGTAGCGGGAAAGCGAGAGCTGGAAGAGAGATGCGATGCAGCTGCGCTCGAACGACTCGTACAACACGTCCTCCTCGCCCCTCATCTCGTCGCCCGCCCACCGTCCACCTCGCGCCCTCAGTCCTGCCCAAAGTAGTAGCCACCGTACGTCGCCGCCTGGGCTGCGACGACGGCCGCGAGCGCGACGGGCCCCGGTCGGCGCGCCGAGAGGGCCTTGCGGCCGTTGAGGAACAGGTAGACGAGGGACCAGGCTGCGGGTGGGGGTGCGGCGGCGGGCAAGGGCTGGGTCAGCTCTCGCGTCGAGTCGAGTCGAGTCGAGTCGAGGGGCACAGAGAAAGAAGGAGGGGCGCACCGGTGGTCGTGCCGCTGCCGTTGAGAGGGTCGCCCGCCGAGATCATGTACCTGCGCCGTGCGTGATCCTGTCAGATCTCTGCGCAAAGCCCGCTCGTTCGGCCCAGAGAGAGGAGAGGAAAGGAGGGGGCGCACCCTGATCCACCAAAGACGGCCGCAAAGAGCGGCAGCTGGATGAGCTGAGGGAAGCCGACCGGGCTGCGGACGCACAGCGGGAGGGCAGCGAGGCTGGGTGCGAAAGGGAATCAGTGTGGGTCGCGTCGCAGAGCTTCGTAGCGCTCCTGCAGGTGTGCGCGAGGCACCCCTGGCGCAGGACCGCTGAACGAGGCGGGGAGAAGCGGACGCACAGCGCGCCCGAGGTGGACCAGGCGACGGCGGGCGACTCGGCGATGCTGACGAGCCATGGCGGGAGCTTGGCGGTCGGTGATGGCGCTTGAGCGAGTGCTGGTGTCTTCTTTGGCGGCTGGGCGAGCGACATCGTGGCGAGACGAGGACGAGCTGATGAAGACACGGTGCGACTCGCCGAGGCGGTGCAAGGTCGCAGGCTCACTCGCGGCGAGCACGAGTAGTCTTCTTTGCTTTCCGTACTCTCTCGTAATCGCTCTCGGTAGCGCTCGTTCTCGACGCACAAGCGAGAGGCCGAGGCGACGGCGACGGACGGCAGGGAAACGCAAAATTGCAGCGACTCGGGGGCGCGCAGGGACTGACAAAGGGAAGTGAGGGAAAGGGCGAAGCGAGGAAGGAGGGGCGAGAGAGATCGGCGGAGGAAAGCGAGAGAGGAAGGGACGAGGGGGAGAGGGCGAGGGAGAGAAGGTCCGACCGCTCAGTACCTCGAGCGGCCCGCCGACGAGTACGCGCTTGCGTCGTCGTGGACCGGCGCCCACCGGTCGTCCCTCACGCTGCTCGACCGGCTCGCCGACCAGCTCTGCCGCGTCGCCGGGGCAAAGCGCTGCTCGTCCCTCGACCGCCGCTCGCCGCCGCCGCCGCCGCCGCGTCCACCGTCCCGCTCGCGCCCCGCCAGCCGCGCATACCGCCTGATCTCGTCGCGCAGCTTGTCGGCGAGGTCGTCGCACTCGCGCTCGAGCTCGCGGCGCCTCGTGCGCTCCTTGTCGAGCTCCTCGCTCGCGCTCTTGAGCGCCTTCTCGACGCGCTCGGCCCGCTCGCGCAGGGTGGCGTTCTCGGCATGCGACTGGGCGAGCAAGGTGCGCTGCGTGGCGGCTTCTTGGCGGGCCGAGGCCTGCTGCTCGAGCTGGAACGTGCACGCCGGCTCGTGCGGGACGAGGTTGGCGGCCGAGGTGCGGGTGCGGCAGAACGGGAAGTTGCGGCAGCTGCGGGGCGCGACGACCTCGTCAGGTTTGCGAGGACTCGAGAGGGAGGGGAAGGAGAGAAAGAGAGGGACGCACGGCCTGTTGCGGCAGAGCTTCTTGGCGTGCTCGTCGGCCTGGCTGCGCGGGTACATGCCGCTTCTGGGTGCGCCGAGGCAGTCGGCGCCGCCCTCGGGGCAGGTGATGACCAGCTCGGTGCACAACTCGTTGTGCTCGAGGGCGAACCCGGCGCGGTACTGCTCGCCGCAGCGCCCGCAGCGCAGGAAGCGGAACCGGCACAGCTTCTGCGGGCGCGAGAAGGGGTCAGTGCGAGTCTCTCGTTGCAGAACTGAGTAAGGAGAGGGACGCACCTTGGCGTGCTCCGTCTCCTGGCTGACCTGGCCTTTCCACGGGCAGCCGGCGTCGGCGTACCGGCACAGGAACCTGCGAGTCGAGGAAGGGAGAGTCAGGGACGTGCGCCGAGGGCCCTCGTACAGGCATCGCGGGCGCCAACCACAACTGTTCAGGAGAACAGGCGACGCACGTGTACTGGTCGAGCTTGATGACGACGGCCCTTGATGGCTGCGACGACTTGAGCATCTCGTCGTGGCAAGTCGGGCACTGCGTGTCGTGGACGCTGAGGGGCCAGGCCGAGCGCTTGTCGCCGAGGCAGCTGGCGCACAGGAGGTGTGCGTTGCGGCAGACGATAAAAGCCGGGATCGCGGCGCGCTTGCAGATTGACGAGGGAAGTGAGGGTCAGCTGGGTGGCCAGGAGGAGGAGGTTCGGGAGAGAGGGACGCACCAGGGCAGCAGACTCCTTCAGGCACGTCCTCGACAAAGCGCGGGTCGTGTACCATGGCCATCGCTGCGCCCGGGCGAGCTGACGAGATGACGAGGGCCGGTTCGAGAGGAAGTCGAGGTCGAGCTGGTGCGGCGGCGACAGGCCTTGGGCAGGGCGGGGCGCGCCTCGTGGCGCTCGAGGTGGATGCTGTGCAACTCTGCCGCGCTGTCGGGAGCAGCTAGCGCGAGAGGCGAGCGACAGGGAGAGGTTTGCAGGAGAGGGCGCGAGCGGGTGCGGGGCAAAGCTGAAACCGACAGAGCTTGCTCTGCTGCAGGCCACCGAGCTCACTGTCGACTGTGCAGTGCAGTCCGGGTGGATTTCGAAGGTGCGTCCGACCCTCGACGGAGAGGCAGAGCTCGCCGCCCAAATTCCCACTCGCCGCGAGCTGCTGCGGCGAGCAGACGAGGCTGCCGAGTCGTGCGCGCTCGTTCTCGGACAGCTGACGACGCCGTTGTACGCGAGCGTCGTCGTGGCAGGGACGGCCAGCTGCCTCCGCTGATCCTCGTCTTAGCGCGCGTCGCCGGCCCGACCCTCTCGCGACCCAGCAAAGCTCGCTCGTCGACGCCGCCAAGAGTCGACTGAGCGGGAGCCGCACGGGATCACCTTTCACTACGTCTCCTTGCTCGCTGGAGGAGAAAGACTGTCAGGGAGACTGGCGCGTCGCGAAGGAGGAGGAGAGACGGACCGGCGAGAGGCACGCACCGTCTCGACGTCCACCGCTTGACCGACCGGTTGGAGCGACGACCAGTGATCGAGTCCGAGTGACCGAGAGCAGAGACGAGAAAGCGTGGCGCAGTGTGCCGGCAGAGCGAGCGCGAGGAGCCGCGAGCGCGAAGCTAAGTCGGAGCGCGAGGCGTGCAAGCGGGCGGTGCCCCCGCCGGGTCGCGTGCCTGCAGCTGGCGGGGAGGTTGAGGCTCGACGAGGCGCCTTGTTGAAGCGGCCCGCAGCTGAAGAGATGTAGCGAGGCCACAAGCCTCATCAGCTCCCGAGGGGGAGAGGATTCCCCTGGGTGTCCCACCCCACCTGCTCATGCCCGGCCCATACAGCAGACGTACAGCCGTGGCGCACTGGTCCGACGCAGCCCGTCCGAGGTGTGTGTGCCGAGGCGAGGGCAAGGTGACGAGGGGAGGGCGAGGTGGAGGCGAGTTGAGCGCGGGCAATGCGGCGAGGCGGCACGGTGCTGTGCTGAGGGGGCGAGGGCGAGCAAAGTCGGCTTGTGCGAGTCGGTCCTGGAGCAAAGCCGAGCGAGCGCGCGGTGAGGACGAACAAGCCGAACTCGGCCTTCTCCCCACCTCGTCGTCCTCGTCGGACTTCTGCTCCTCTCCCTGCCCAGCGCCTTGCTCGAGAGCCTCCAGTCAACATGATCGACCACCCACAAGTCATCAACGAGCGCGTGCCCAACGCCCCCTACTTTCAGCCTCTGGTCGAGCCCTCGGTCGGCACCGCCCTCTCGCCCGACGACTGGCCCCAGAACAAGCACCTCCCGCTCCTCTTCCAGCCCCTCAAGGTCGGTCCCATCACCCTCAAGAACCGGTGCGCCCCCCTCCCACTCTCACCTCCCCCACCGACCACCGCTCACCTACTCCTCCAGCATCATCGTCGCGCCCATGTGCATGTACAGCTGCGAGCAGGACGGCTCCGAGGCCGGCGTCCTCACCCCCTTCCACCTCGTCCACCTCGGCGCCTTCGCGGCACGCGGCGCGGCCCTCACCATGGTCGAGGCGACGAGCGTCTTGCCCAACGGCCGCCTCTCGCCCAACGACTCGGGCCTGTGGTCCGACCGCCAGGCGCAGAGCTTGCGCCAGATCTTCTCCTTCATCCGCACCCAGGGCTCGGTCCCGGCGATCCAGCTCGGGCACGGTGGCCGCAAGACGTCGACCCTCGCGCCGTGGCTCGACACGTCGACGATCAAGCCTCACCTCAAGTCGCACGTCGCGACCAACGGCGACGCAGGAGGCTGGACCGACAACGTCATGGCGCCCTCGGCCGTCGCCTACAACGACGAGACGTTCCCGCACCCGCGCGAGATGTCGGACAACGACATCGCCGAGCTCAAGGACGCGTTCAAGGCCGCCGTCAAGAGGGCCGACGAGGCCGGCGCCGAGGTCATCGAGCTCCACTGCGCTCACGGCTACCTCGTACGTCCCTCGTCTCTCTCGTGCGCGGCGACGCGAACTCACGACTCGACCTTCCCGCAGATGCACAGCTTCCTCTCGCCCCTGTCGAACAAGCGCACCGACCAGTACGGCGGCTCGCTGTGCGTCACACTTCCTCCTGCTCTTCCGACCTCTCAAAGGACCCTCAAGGACCCGAACTGACGTCGCTCTCGCGCTCGCAGCGAGAACCGCATGCGCCTCCCGCTCGAGATCCTCAAGAGCATGCGCGAGCTGGTCCCCAAGACCAAGGGCCTGTGGATGCGCATCTCGGCGTCCGACTGGTGGCCCGAGGGCGAGCAGGACGACAAGGGCGAGTGGATCTCGTGGGGCATCGAGCAGTCCAAGGTGCGTCGCCGTCTCTGCCTCTTCTCTCTCTCTACGCGCTTTCCTCTCGTCTCTCTCTGACACTCACACGCCCTCATCCGCAGATCTTCGTGAAGGAGGCCATCAAGCTCGGCGTCGACCTCGTCGACTGCTCGTCGGGCGGCAACACGCCGCGCCAGAAGATCTCGGTCGGCCCGGGCTACCAGGTCCCGTTCGCCGAGCAGATCCGCCACTCGCTCTCGGACGACGAGAAGATCCCAATCTCGGCCGTCGGGCTCATCACCAACGGGCCGCAGGCCGAGGAGATCCTACAGACGGGCAAAGCCGACGTCGTGCGTCCCTCCCTCTTTCTCTCCTCGTCCCACCTCCCGACCGACAAGGTCCTGACTCTCTTTGCGCCCCTTCCCCGCAGATCTGCGCCGCCCGCGAGTTCCTGCGCGACCCCGCCCTCGTCCTCAGCTGGGCCCAGGAGCTAGGCGTCGTCGTCAACACGCCCGTCCAGTACCAGCGCGCCTACACGCGCATGATGGTCAAGCACGACGAGCGCGAGCCCGTCAAGCAGCACTAGATGGGCGTGCGCGGGAACGAGGAGGAGCGAGGGAGGAGGAGGCTTGCGCTTAATGTGGAAGGACGAGGAGGAGGACGGACGCTCGGACCTTGTAGATAGACAGACGCTTGAACCGCTCGAGCGCAGCTTTCACACTCTCGTCGTCACGCTCGACAGAAAGACTGAGAGGTACAGATTGCAGCTCGAGCTCGATAAAGTAGAAGAAGATCTGACGAAGAGGAACGAGCGCGACTCGCGGCCTGCGCGAGCTGCGCCTCCTCCCTCCCCTCGCCCTCGTTCGCCCCGTCCCTCCTCGTCTAGACCCTCCACGTCCCCTTGACCTTGGCGCGCAGCATGCGCCCGACCAGCATCGAGACCGAGCCGGCCATCATCGTCGTACCTGCAGGTCGAGTCGGGGCGAGAGCGTCAGGTTCGCTCGATTCGTGACAGAGAGGCGCGGCGAAGGAGGGGTGACGGAGGACGTGAGGGAGATAGGGGAGGAGGAGAAAGGAGAGGAGAGAGACGCACCGGCAAAGACGATCGGGTGGATCCAGTCGCCGCCGTTGTTCGAGAGGAGGCGGCCTGCGATCGGGTTGCACCCGACGCTCGAGCCGGCGACGATGAGGAAGGCGATGCCCTGGCGGAGCCTGTGGGTCGAGACTCCATCTCAACTCGTGCTCGCTCGCTCGTCGAGAGAGGAAGGACGAGAGGAGGAAAGAGAGGCCGACGCACCCGATCTCGCTCAGGTCCCTCGACATGGACACCGTGAGGGGGCTCACGAGCGCGATGAACGCGCCGCTGAAGAAGCCGTAGAGGATGGCGTGCGCGATGAGGAGCGCCTGGGTCGTCATGACGCGCATGAGGAAGGCCATCGCGGCGGCGCCGAAGCAGCACACGGCCTGGACGTTGAAGGGCCCACTGCGGGAAGAGAATACCGTGCGTCAGTCCTTGCGCTGCGAGAGGCGCCGAAAGGGGGCGAGGGGCGGAAGGACGAGGGGAAGAGGCGACTTGAGAAGGTCGCGAGGGACTCACACAAAGTCGGCAAACAGGTTGGGGATGATGCGACCGAAGGACGATCCCGCGTTAAATAAGGCGAGCGCATAGGTGACGACGTTGGGCGAGGCGCCGTGGTACTGAAAGTAGAGCTGCTCGTAGAAGTTCGGGAACCAGATTCTGCAGGGGCGACGACGACGGTCAGTGGCTGAGCTCGACGTGCTCGTCGGGCCCGAGAGAGAGAGGACGCACCCGAAGGAGATAAGGAACGCGCCTAGCGCGAGGCAGGTGAACGGACCGTCGAACATGTCCTTGAGCGGCGGCGGCGGCGGCTTCTGAATGTGTTTGCGCGCCGGGTTGGGGCGCATGATGGAGTTGGCGATGAGGAGACACGCGAGGACAACGTAACCACCTGCACGGGCGAACGTGAGTCAGTGTCGCCGCCGTCGGGCTCGAGAAGGGGGACGAGGGACGCACAGGCCCTCACGCCGTTCTTGAAGCCGACGTCCGGGTCGGCGAACAGGCGATTGAGCATGACTGCGTGCGCATCTCGATTGTCAGTGACTCTTCGCCGACGAGGGAGAGAAAAGGCGAGAGAGGGGACGCACTCGGGAAGCACACACCGCCAGCGCTGCTCCCGCTCGCAACGATGCCGATCGCGAGCGCCCGCCTCTTCGCGAACCAGTGGCTCTGGACGGTCATCGACGGGAGGAACAGGAAGCCGACGCCGAGGCCGCCGAGGATGCCCTGGACGCCCATCATGGTGCCGTAGGTCGTCACTTGCGGGATGAGGAAGATCGAGAGGAGCCACATCGCCGAGCCGGCGGCCATGATGCTGTGGAAGTAGCCCTTGTCGAACAGGGGACCGACGACGAGCGAACACAGGAAGAAGAGGCACAGCTGGCACGAGCCGATCCAGGCGATGTCGGACGACGACTTGGTCGGGAACAGGAACTGCGGGCGGCTCGACGACTTGTCAGGGCCTGGGCTCGTCTGGCAGGGAGAGGGGACCGAGACGCACCTGCTCGTAGTACGCCTGGACCGCGCCGAGGGCGTTGACGACGCCGAACGACGAGAACAGGACGAGGAACCCGCCGACGACGTTGAGCCACGCGCGCAGGCCGCCGTCGGGCGGCGCCGCCGCCTCCTCGGCCGCCTCGCGCAGGCTCTTGAGCGACGGCGAGGGCTTGGACGTCGAGTCGGCGTGCGAGGGCGGGTACGAGTGCGTCGAGGGCGCGTCGGCGGGACGAGGGTCCGAGGTCAAGGTGGCGGCGGGCAGGATGCGCGTCACGCTCGCGACGTCCGTCTTGGCCTCGTCGGTCGAGCGGAAGGTGTCGAAGCTGTCGACGGCTGAGCCCGAGCCTGTGTGTGCGGGCAGGGGACGGCGTGAGTCGAGGGCGACGAGAGGGAGCGAAAGAGGGGTCCGGGCGCACCTTGCTGCTGATGACCTGCCGCGCGCTCGTCCTCCTCGGCCTGCGCGTGCATCTCGACGACCGTGTGCGACCGAAGGGAGCTCGGGCGACTCAGCGCGAGAGGCTGGCCGATCTCGACCGTCTTGTCGCCGTCGACCGGCGGAGCGAGCTCGACGGCCGTCTCGCTCGTCTCGGACCTCGCCGACCTGGCTCGAGACGGGACAGGCGGGACAGGCGTCGACGAGGTCGGCGGGGACGGTGCGCGGCGAGGCGTGGCGGTCTGGTCGCCGTCGTCGTGGTTGCTGAAGGAGGACCGAGCGTCGCTCACGGTCGAGGTGGTCGAGCGGGCGTCGTCGTCGTCCTGCTCGCGAGTCGGGGTGCGGCGAGACGGGCTTGCTGTCGAGGCTGAAGAGCGAACGCTGCTCGGGCGGTTGTCGAGGGAAGGGCGTGGCGAATCCGACGACGGCGGCTGCTCGGTGCTCGAGGTGGTGCTCCAGAACGACGCGTCTGACGAAGCGAGGGACGCCTGGCTCGCCATGTCGACCTGCTGATAGTGTCGAGTGAGCTTCAGGAAGAAAAGAGGGCGTCGAAACGACGGCGAGGACGCACCCGTTGCTCGCGGCGACAGAAGCGGACGACGGAAAGTCCGTACGCTCGCCGGCGCCGAGGAGGCACCCGATCGTGCGGCGCGTTTAGCGCGGGTGCTGCGCGTGCAGGTGGCGAACGACCGCAGATGCCGGACAGGAGCGAGCGACGGACCGATCACGGACGAGGTGCGAGCGGGCAGAGGAGGCCGACGGCGAAGCGTCGGGGGCGAGCCGAGGCGACAGAGCCGACCTCGTCGCCGTCCGAGAAGCAGAAGCAGAGAAGCAGCAGCACCGGGACGAGCAGAGAGAGGAGACGCTGGAGGGAAGAAGAGGCGACGTTCCAAAACTCGAGGCGCGGGAGACTACGACAAGGGTCTGTGCGCCACGCGAGCCGCACCGTCCCACCACAGCCTCCTCGTGCCCTTCCACCGACGCCCTAGCGCACCCCATAAGGGCGTCCAGTTGGCGCCGAGGCGCGACGAGGAAGCCCAGGACCCGCCCTCCCGGAAGAGAGGCGAGCCGGCGGCGAGGAACAGCGCGAGCTCTGTCGGCGCGGGGTCCATCTGGGCTCGTTATGACTCAATCCCCAGCAATCCGTTCCTGAGAGGGAACTGAGGCCTGCGGCACCGACGCTGCGACCTCCTGCTCTGCCCTCGTGAGGAGAGACAGAGGGGGAGAGGCCGAGTTCGGGCGAGGTGATCTCTGCTGAGAGCCTTAAGACAAGCCGGGGGAGGGGAAGGGGATGGGGGAGAACAGGGTGCAAGAGACGAGGTCGCAGCCACTCGCGCCGCGACCAGCGACCGGCTCGAGGACGAACGGCGTCGAGCCGAGCCGAGGCGGCGACGAGGGTGCGCAACCACGAGCAAGGCCGCGCGCGCGCGCAAGGCGGTCGTTGAGCAGACCATGACGGAGCTGTGGGCACAGGAAGAGACGTCAGCGGCCCGCCAGGGGGGGAGAGAGAGAGGGGAGGGCGAGAGGTGAGGACGCACCTCGCGAGAAGAAAGCTCGGCGCTGCCGCCGGGCAGTGTGGGCAGCGCGAATGTAGCCCAGCTGGCCGAAACGAGAACGCGTGCCCGTACCGGCGAGGCAGAGCTCGTCGAGGGCGGCCTTGAGCGGGAAAAGGTGTCGGCTCGCGCGAGTGGGCGCAGAGGTCCGGGGCCAGCGCAGATCTGGTGCCAAGGTCGGCGTAGATCACGGCGAGCCCATCGCACGTGGCGCTGCTGCTGTTGGGAGCAGAGCGAGCGAGGTGACGGAGGGAGAGAGAGGCGAGGAGGAGGAGACGAGCGAGGCGCCGCCCTTGCCTCCTCGTTCGGGTCGAGTTGAGGGGGCTGCAGTTGCAGGAGTACATCACACAGCTCGACATCCACCAGGCTAGCGCAGAGAGACGCTGTGAGGAGAGTGAAGGTTTTCCTCCCGCCGCCGTCGTCCAACTGGTCAGTCGTCTTCTCCACCTCGCACGCTGCTCCAGCTCGGCAGCTAGCGCTCTCCTGACAGAGTGCTCCCTGCACCTACGCCACCCACCATGGCCATCGACTCGCCCGCCGCGTCCCAGGCGGGCAAGCACCCGCGCCTCGCCTCGCTCGCCCGCACCAACGACCTCGGGTCCCCCGCCCGCGGCCACGCCAGGCAGCAGCAGCAGCTCGGCGCCATCGGCGGTCGTGCTGGCCCGGGCTACTCGCCCTACGCCCGCCGCGTCGCCACCCGCGCCGCCGCCCAGCTCGCGCCAGACTCGGGCGACGACGACGACGACGTCGACCCTGCTCCTCACGACCACGGCGCCGACGAGGCGCACATCGACCCGAGCCCGGTTGCCCAGTCCAAGGGCCTGTTCGGCAAGGTGCGCAGCCTGCCCGGCCGCATGCTCGGCATGCTCTCGCGCTCGTCGAGCTCGAAGCAGCTCGCCGGCCCCGCGTCCTCGTCCTCGTCGCTCGCCCAGGTCCGCGCAGAGCTCGACCAGGTCCGCGCCAAGGACACGCACGGCATGTCAAGGAGCCACACGTCGCACAACCTCGCCGCGCCGCGCCTCAACCCGCTCTCGTCGGGCCCAGCTCCCCTCCCCGCGTCCTCGTCCATGTCGGCCCTGTCGACCTTTGCCCAGCCACAGGGTGGCAGGTCGAGCCACTCGACCCTGCGCCTCCCGCCCACCACGGCGTCGACCCTTGGCAGCGGCGGCACCTCGTCGCCGTCGTTCCTCACGGCCGCCAACCTCGGCCGGCACTCGACCCGCGCCGCGTCGCCTGCGCCCTCGACGACCGCGTCGCTCGCGACCCGCCAGCAGCGCAATCGCTCGCCGTCGCCCCTGCGCACCGGCCTCGCCGGCTCCATGTCGGCGTTCCAGCTCGCGCAGCCCCCGTCGCCCACGTCGGCGTCGGCCATCTTCAACAACCCGTCGTCGGCGCTCGGCAGCGGCGCCGTGTCGAACCCGTTCGGCCTGTCGTCGCGCTCGCCGTTCGCCCCGTCGCGCATCCGCCCCTCGCCCTCGGTCGGCGCTGGCGCCGGCGGCAGCATCGCGGGCTTCTCGGCCTCGTCGGCCGCCGGGTCGACCGGCCACCCGCTCTTCCCGTACGCGTCGACGCTCCCGCGCGGCACCTCGCCCGGCCTCACGTCGTCCTTCTCGCTCCGCGAGGGCCTGTCATCGGCCGCGTCGGCGTCCGGGTCGGCCGCCGGCGCGACGCTCAAGCGGCCGTACGCCCGCGCCATGGGCGGCAGCCCGCTTGGCCCGCGCTTCCCGCTGTCGGGCGCGAGCGTCGCCGACGTCGAGATGCGCGCCGAGCAGGGCATGGCGGGCGGCAGTGTCGGTGGGGCCGAGCGCGCGAGGAAGAAGCAGCTCGTGTGGGACCCTGTCCAGGGTCTCGTGAGCCGCGAGCGGCTCGAGAAGGAGAAGGCTGCGTGCGTCCCTGTCTCTCTCTCTCTGTCCTTTGTCCTCGTCGAGTTTCCCTGCCGCGGGCGCATACAGGCGATGACGAGTCCTGACGCACGTTCTCTACACGTCAACAGCGAGGCGCCGGCGCTCCCCAAGAACGAGGCCGAGCGCATCCTCGAGGTGCTCGAGGGCATGGGCAGGACGCCGTTGGGCGACGCAAAGCGTGCGAGCGTCAGGGTGCGTCCTCGTGCCACCTGTCGGGCTCTCCCTCTCCTTCCTCGACCTGACCAACCTTGCTCCCGCCTTGCAGTCCAAGCACGTCAACGTCCCGGCCACCTCGCTCGACTCGGGCAACGGCCGTCTCGCCCGCTCGTCCACCACGCCCTCGATCCTCTCGTCCACCCCGTACGCCGCTCGCTCGGCGCGCCTCTCGGCCGACCCGACCGAGGTCGCGTCGTCGTCGTCGCGCCCGCAGCAGAAGGGCCTGCAGGCCGTCCTTCGCGCCCGCGAGGAGCGCCGTCGTGCGCTGCTCCAGCAGGAGCGCGAGGAGCGCGAGCGCGAGCGTGCCGAGGACGCCGAGCGCGAGCGCGTCCGCGAGCAGCGCCGCCGCGACCGCCGCCGGCGCATGGACGAGCTCGCGATGATGAGCGACGACGGCGAGGGCGACACGGACGTGTTCAGCGCCGGCGGGAGCACGAGGGCGTCGCGCTCGGACCGCGGCGGCGGCGGGAGCGAGTACGGCGAGCGCGACGACGACGACGAGCTGCGCAGCCCGAGGCGCGTCACGCGCAGCGCCGCCAAGAAGCCGAGCGCGCCTGCGTCGTCGTCGGCGAGGGACAAGGGCAAGGGCAAGGACCGCCTCCTCGAGCCGCCGACGCCGTCCGGCTCGGGCTCGAGGCGCTCGACCCGCGCGAGCTCGCGCACGTCGACGTCGTCGGCCAAGGCCGGCGCCAACGCCAAGTCGCCCTCGCCGGCACCGACGCCGCGCAAGTCGTCGCGCAGTGCGCGTGTCGAGGAGCGCGACGAGCAGGACGAGCAGGACGAGGACGACGCCGAGATGACACCCGCGCCCAAGCGCACCAAGGCCAAGTCGCCCGGCCGCTCGGCGCCGCCCAAGTCGCCGTCGCCCGCTCCGCCTGTCCCGTCGCGCGAGTCGTCGACCGCCCCGGCGACGGCCAAGATCTCGTTCCCGGCCCCGTCGTCGTTCCCGTCCACGGCGCCCTCGACCGCCTCGGGCCGCTCCTCTCTCCGCCCGGGCAAGAACCACTCGTCGCGCAAGCACGAGACGAGCGCCAAGGTGTTCAGCGCCAAGGAGGAGGACCTGCCGCCGCTCGACGACGACGCCCTGAGCAAGATCCAGATGCCGTTCCCGGCCAACTTCTCCTTTGGCCCCGGTGCCGGCGCTGCCCCTACTGCGTCCGCCGACGACAAGAAGAAGGACGAGTCGGCGCCGGCCTCGGGCTCGAGCCTGCTCAGCCGTCTCGGCGCACCTCCTCCATCGTCTTCCGCCGCCGCCGAGCAGCCTAAGTCGGCGCCCGCCTTCTCGTTCGGCGCCCCGACCGCCAAGCCCGCCGCACCTCCCGTTCCCTCGTTCAGCTTCCAGCCGTCGAGCACCACCTCGACCGACAAGAAGGATGACAAGGCAATGCCGACCGCCGCAGCCGCAGCTCCCGCCGCGTCCGACTTCTTCGCCAAGCCGTCGCCGGCGCCGCCCAAGCCCTCCTTCTCGTTCGGCGACGCCGCATCGTCGCGCGCGAGCAGCGTCGCGACGGACGGCACGGCCGGCACCGGCGCGAGCAAGCCCAACTTCTTCGCCAACATCGTCAAGGACAAGGAGGGCAGCGCGCCGCCGCCCGTCCCGGCGTTCAGCTTCGGTGCCGCCGCGACGGCCAAGAAGGACGACGACAAGGCGACCAAGCCGACCGAGGTCGGCTCGTCGACGAGCGGCGCCGCCAACCCCAACACGTTCGTGTTCGGCACGCCCGTCGCGCAGCCCGTCAAGGAGACCAAGGAGGACAAGGGCGGCGACGAGTCGGAGGCGGCGCCATCGTTCTCGTTCGGCAACCTCAACCCGAAGCCGGTCGAGAAGAAGGTCGATGAGGTGCGCTCGAGCCCCTCTCTCTTTCTCTTCCCCCTTCTCTTCCTTCCGTCCCTGTACTGACGCTCTTCTCCCACACTCTTCCTCGCAGAAGAACGACGCGCCTCCCACCGCGCCGTTCGCGTTCGGCGCCGCGAAGCCCGCCACCGCATCCTCCTCGTCGGCTTTCAGCTTCGGCGCCTCTTCGACGTCCACGCCCGCCGCCGACAAGCCCGCCGCGTCGACCCCCTTCGGCTTTGGTTCGCCTGCGCCTGGGGCCGCCACCTCGGGCGCTCCTGCCTTCCAGTTCGGCACGACGCCGGCGACGCCGCAGGCCGAGGACAAGAAGGACGCCCCGTCGGCGCCGACTTTCGGCGCGAGCCTCGGTCCGACGCCGGTCCCGGCTGCGACGACCGACGAGGCGGGCGACTCGGGCATGGAGGACGAGGGCTCGCCGGCGCCGCCCAACCCTGCGCCCGCACCCTCGCCGTTCGCGTTCGGCGCCAGCAGCGGCGGCTCGGGCGCCGCGGTGTCGCTGTTCGGCAAGGCGCCCGCTCCTGCGTCAGGTGCCTTCAGCTTCGGCGCCGGCGCCGCCGAGAAGAAGGAGCCCGCGTCGCCGTTCGGCGGGCCCGCCACGTCAACCTCGACTGGCCCAAGCCTGTTCGGCGGCGCCGCCTCGGCGTCGAAGCCGGCCTTCTCCTTCGGCAACGGGGCCTCGCCCTCGCCCTCGCCTGCGCCGCCGTCGCCTGCGCCCGCCGCCGTCCCGTCCTTCAACTTCGGCGCCCCGCAGTCGTCCGCCAACGGCTCGAGCGCGGCGGCGGCTCCCTCCTTCACGTTCGGCGCGCCAGCCCAAGCGTCGAACGTGTTCGGCTCGAGCACGAGCTCGGCGCCGGCCGCAGGCTTCGGCGCAGCGACGCCCGCCTTCCAGTTTGGCGCCGGCGCGTCGCCCTCGCCTGCACCCGCCTCGCCCGCACCGGCCGCCTCGCCGTCCGCCTTCAGCTTCGGCGCCCCTTCAACCGCGCCGGCCATGGGCTCGACCCTGTCGAACGGCGCCGGCGGCGCGTCGTCGCCTTTCGCGTTCGGCCAGCCGGCGCCCGCCTCGCAGCCGACCACGCCCGGCGCTGCACCTCAGCCGCCGTTCGCGTTCGGCGCGCCGGCGCCGTCGCCTGGAGCGGGAGCGGGCGCAGCGGCGCCGTTCGCGTTCGGCGTGTCCACGCCAGGCGCTGCGCCGCCCATGTTCGGCGCGCCCGCCGCAGCCAACGGCGCCGGCGGTCCGTTCACCTTTGGCGCGCAGCCTGCAGCGGCAGGTCAAGGGGCCCTGTTCAACATGGGCCCCGGCGGCAACGAGTCGTCGAGGCCGTTCAAGGGCCTCCCGAGGAGGAAGCGGTAGTTGGGCCCGCCGAGCAGGGAGGGGGAGAGCGAGCTTGTGTAGCATTACACGATATGCAGACAGTCTTTGCCCGTCGTGGCGTCCTTATCTCTCTCTGCGTCGCTCTCTCTCTCTCTCTCGCGTGCGCTCAGTCCCCTCGAGTCCGGTTCTCGCTCGCCGTCCCGCTCGGACCTGCTCTTCTCGCTCTCGCTCTCGCTCTCGCATTTCTCAGCCGGGCACACAGAGAGAGTGCGAGGTGGCCGAACAGTGCTAGTACAGTACAGGGACAGCATGGTCTACCCGAGAACAAGAGAGAGTACAACGGCGGGGGAGGAAAGGCAGGTGCGCGAGAGAACAAGGGATAACGACGACGACGATGAGGGAAAGGGGACGAGGACGCTCAGGCCATGCCCATCGACATGCCGCCGCCCTTCTTGAGCGCGCTCTGCTTCTTGGCCTTGACCTTGGTCGCGCGCACCTTTTTGGCGACGGCGGGCTGCTCGTCCTCGACGTCCATCGACATGTCGGCCTCGCGCAGCGCGTCGGCCATCGACAACTCTGCCTCCTCGACCTCGCTGTCCTCGTCCATCTCGCCCTCGCTCGCGCCGTCCTCGCCCTCGCCGGCAAGGTCCTCGCCGCCCTCGAAACCGACCGTGGCACGGTGCCGCTTGAGGTTGGCCTCCTGGCGCGCGCGCTTCTTCTCGGCGCGCGCGGCGAGGAGGACCTGGCTCGCCGTCAGGGCGCGCTTGGTCTCGTCGCTCGGCGCCTGGATGCCCGGCGTCAAGAGGTGCGACGCCCGGGTGACCTCGAGCGAGTCGTTGGTCATCTGGCCGTCCTTGGCGGCCGCCATGCGCGCCTTGAAGAAGGCGCGCTCGCGACGGGCCTTGACCTCGGCGATGCGCTTCATGCCGGCGACCGTGGCCTGGACGAGGTCGCGGTCGTACACGACCGGGACGTGGCGGCGCTTCTCGAACGCGAGCGTCGAGTCGACCGTCATCTCCTTGCCCGCCGCCTTGCGGAACGCCTTGGTCCACTTGAGCTTGCGCGGGTTGCGCTTCATCCTGCGGGTCGCGAGTGTGTGCGGCAAGGCGAGGCGAGGCGGGGCGAGGCGCGAGGGCGGTACGGGGACGGAGGGAGGGGCGGGGGGAGAGGTGGACGAGGGAGGGCGGGAGAGCTTGGTCAGGTCGTGCTCGGGCAAGAGAGAGGCGGACAAGACGACGCACTTGAAGTTCTTGCTGCACTTGGACCGGCAGAAGCGGAAGCACTTGGCGTCGTTGCGCACGAACATGGTGCCTGCGAGGGCGAGAGTGCGAGGTCAGCGCTCGCTCCTTGGCTGGTCCGACCTTCATCATGTCGGTACCCTCTCGCCTGCAGCTCTGTGCGAGAACCGCAGCACGAGCGGGACAGTGGGAGCAGGCCGGAGCCGGAGCTCGGAGAGGGGGAGGGAGAGATGAGGGGGGATGCACCATGACCGGGGTAGCACGGCGAACCGCAGACATAGCAAGGCTCGATCTTCACTGCGGTAGGAAACGTGGGCAACAGTCAGTCAGGGCTCTCTGAGGACGAGGGTGGAGCGTGGGGAGGTCGGGCGAAAAGGCGCGGGCGGGGAGAGGGGCAAGGGGGACGCAGGGAAGGTGCTGCGCCTCCCTGGGTGGGCGTACAGGGCTGGAAGGGTGACTCACTGGTGCTTGGAGGTGGCTAGAGGGTGGGCGGCGGGTGATGGAGGCGAGAGAGTCGCGTCTCTCCTGCTCGAGCTCGAGTCGGGCGGTGGCGGTGAAGCTGCTCCTGCTCTCGACCACAGACTGCCTCGCTGGCCGCACACGCTCGTCTCTCACACAGTCACACACCGAGTGCGCGCGAGAGAGAAATGACTGGCAATGCAGGGACGCGCTCGACTCGACGAGGATGCGAGGTCGACGACGACGGCGACGACGGGGTATCGCAAGGGCAAAGAGGGGTATCACAGCTGCACACACTCGTCACATGTTCCTCTACGCACGCGAGAGCGAGGTCAGTCGCGAGGGAGGGCAGGAAAGGGAAAAGGAGAGAGGCGACGCACCAACCCCCTCCCGTTCGCCCTCGCCCTCTGCTGGCTCAGCCACGACTGCGGCTGGTACGTCCTCGGGCCCGCCGACGTCGACAACGACGACGACGCCGTGCCGTCGGCGAGGCGCTCGCGCATCGTGCGCAGGCCGAGGTCGTGCCACGCCGAGAGCATGAGCTGGTGCTCGCGCTTGTACGTGAGCTCGAGCTCGGCGAGGTGCGTCTGCGAGGACCGAGGAAGACGAGGGGCGAGGGAGAAATGGAAAGAGCAGTCAGTTCAAGAGGACGAGGAGGGGGGAAGAGAGAGAGGGCGAGGGACGCACCTTGGACCGCTGCAGGTCGTCCTCGAGCTGACCCTTCTGCTGCCGCAGCTCCTCGACCTCGCTCTGCGGGCATGAGGTACGTCAGTAAGGGTACGAGAGGGGGAGAGAGGGAGAGAGGGGGCGCACCTCCTTGTCGGCCTCGGCCGCCTTCCTGAGCATGCGGTCCTGGTCCCGGATGAACTGCTCGCGCAAGGCTCGTGAGTTCACCTCCCCTCGCAGTCGCCCCGACAGAGAGAGAGAGAGAGAGGACGCACCGTCTTCATCTTCTGGATCTTGTCCTGCTGCTCGCGGACCGTGTCGGCCTGGTCGGCGACCTCCTTCTCGAGCGCGGCGAGGCGTGCGGCGTCGGCGGCCGAGGTGGACGCGCCCTTTTCCGACGCTCGTAGGTCGCTGTGTGCGTCAAAGACAAACAACAACCGGGCAGAGTCAGTGACGAGGACCGACTCGAGCGCGAAAGAGGACCGGCTCGAGCGCACCCGTTTTCCCTCTCCCGCTCGAGCGCCCGCTCCCTCTGCTCGATCCCGTCGCCCTGCAGCCGCACCTTGTCGACGAGGAGCGCGTTGAGCTGCTCGCCGTGCGCGCGCGCCCTGTCCTCGGCGTCGCGCAGCGCCTTTTGCGCGCGGTCGAGCTCGGCGGCGAGGGCGTCCTTCTCGCTCGAGACGGATGCGCGCAATGAGGTGAGGATGTCGCGCTGCGACTTGTCGACGAGGGTGACTGCGAGGACGACGAGGGTCAGGCCTGGGCGAGGAGAGGGACTCGAGGAAGAGGCAGGGGACGCACGGTCCGACTTGGCGATGGTGAGCTCGCGCTCCTGCGACGCCGCCTTGACCTCGAGCTCGGCGAGCTCGCGCCTTGCCGCGTCGAGCTCGTCGACCACCTCGTTGAGGCGCTGTCGAAGGGCGAGTGCTGCTTCGGGCCTGCGAGACGAGGGGGGAAGGGCGAGTCAGGACCTGTCGCAGGGTCCGTGCGCTCGCGAGAGAGAGGAGAGGGACGCACCCGTCGCCGAGCTTGGACCTGCCGCTCATGATCTCCTCGAGCCTCGCGCCGAGGACGAGCTTGTCGCGGTGCTCCTTGAGGTAGTCGCCCTCGTACCGCCGCTTCATGCGGTTCGCGTCGTCGAGCAGGTTCTCGAGGACGACGAGCCGCGACGAGTCGGCCTGGTCGCCTCGGGCGCGGTCAAGCTCGCGCTGCAGGCGCCGCACCTGGAGCTTGAGGTCGGTCGTCGTCGTGCCGCTCAGGGCGTCGTCGAGCTCGTGGCCGACTCCTCCTCCCTCGTCGTCCTCGTCGTCTCCCTCTCCTGCACCGCCTCGCCGCGCACCCTTCTTCGCCCCTTGCCCGAGCTCGAGCTCCTTGACCCGCTCTTCAAAGAGCACGAGCGCCTCGCGGTCCTTGGCCCGGCCCTCCTCGCTCGCGGCGAGCTTGTCCCTCGCGCGCTCGAGCTCGACCCGGAGCGCGGTCGCCTCGCGCTGGTGCGCCGACGACTGGACCTCGAGCGTGTCGAGCTTGGTCTTGTACGAGTCCATGAGGGGCTTGAACGTGGCGAGCTTGGCGTGCTCGTCCTCGAGCGCGGCGTACTTGTCGAGCAGGTCGGCGTTCTGCTCCTCGAGCGTCTGCGCACATGGACCACGTGTCAGTCGCTCCACCTTGCCTGACGGAAAGGGAAGAGAATGACGAGCCGCGGGCGCACCTTGAGCATCCTCCTCGTCTCGCCCGCCTCCTCGAGCTTCTTGCGGTACTTGTCGATGACGTTCTCCTGCTTCTTGGCCTTCTCGCTCGCGTGGCGGTACTCGTCCATCTGGTCCTTGAGCCGTGCGGCCTCCTCGGCTCGGGGTGTGAGGTCGTCCACCTGCGGGAGGGGGCCAACAGCGTGAGCGAGGAGTCGGGACGAGAGGCTGGTGAGGGACAGGGCGGACCTTGCGGCCGAGGTCCTCGAGGAGGGACGTCTGTCGCTCGACAACCTGCTCCACCTCGCCGAGCTGGTTCTCCGTCTTCTGCCTGCGGGTGCGCGCCAGAGTCAGGGCCGCCACAAGGCGAGACTGCTCGAGAGAGTGAAAGAGGGACGCACAGCTCGCCTCGCAGCCGATCAATCTCGGCCTTGTACGCCTGCTCGCTGCGCTCCGACTTGTCCTGCTGCACCTTGACGGCCGACTCGTCGACCTTGGCCTCGCTCTCGGCGAGCTTACCGAGCGTCTCCTCCTGCGGGTGCACGTTCAAAAAGGTAAGTGCCGTCGACGAGGCACAAGGCTGCGAGAGGGAGAGAGAGACGACGCACATGCTCGTCCTTGAGGGCGTTGAACTGCTCGACCAGGTCCTCGTACACGACCTGGAGCGCCTCTTTGTCGTGCATGACCCGCGACTTCTCGTGGCGCAACTCGTAGAACTCGCTGCGGGCGAGGCTCATCTGGTCAGGCCGGCGACAGGAAAGTAGTGAAGAGAGACTGGCGACGCACTCCTCTTCGTCGTCCTCGCCCTCCTCGCGTATGTCGGCCGGCCGGACCTTGCTCATGACCTGCTCGATCGAGTACATCAACTCGCGCTGGACCCACTCGTCGAGGCTCTGGATGCGGGCGATGTGCTGCTCCTTGAGGTCGGACTGCGCGCCGTGCGGACAAAGGACGTCAAGGGAGTCGGCGAGGGAGAGTAGAGAGGTGGGAGCGGGGCGCACCTGGACCGAGAGGGCGAGCACGAGGCCGATGAGCTTGCACACCTCGTCGTCGCTGTCGAGCGCATCGTTCTTGGCGACGAGCTGGAGGTTGGGCGTGAGGAGCGCCGCGGTCGACGAGTGCAGGACGTCCCTGTAGGCGCGCGAGCGAGCTGAGCCGTCACTTCTCGTGGGTCGAGGAGAGGGAGAGACACGCACTCGAAGTAGCGCACGACGAGCTTGTACTCGCGCTTGAGGTTGTTGAACCGCAGGACCCAGTTCTCGGACAGCGCTTTGGCGTTGGCGGCCGAGGTCGAGACGAGGCGGAAGTGGTCCGGGTCGCTGTGGGGGCGGTCCTCGTCGTCGGCTCGCGTCGCGGGATGAGAAGGGGAGGGAGGTTGACGCACATGTCGAGAAGCACCTTGGCGAGGACCGCGCCGTCCTTGAGGTCGTCCAGTCCTGCGACGCTGCTCTTGGCCTCGGCGACACCGGGTTGCGCCTTGACCCACTCGACGAGGGCGTCCGGCAGGCGCGCATGGTCGGTCGTCGAGGCGAGGGACGAGAAAGTGCTCTTGCGCGGGGCCGGCATCGCGTGCTGTCGGTGTGCTGGGCGAGTTGAGCGAGGGTGCCGGGTCGCGGTGGAGTGGGGTCGAGCGGGAGGAGCGAGGGCCGCGAGGCGATGTGCGCCGCTCGTCGAGGGTGGACAAAGGCACCAGGAGCTGGCTGCGCTGGTTCTGCAAGCCACTGAGCGTGCTGTGTGAGGATGAGAGAGCGAGGCGGTGTCGGTCGCCAGATGAGATTCGCGCGACGCAAGTCGAGCTCTCACGCTCTCGCGCGCTCTCGAGTGCTACAGGGAGGGTGTACGAAAGCTGACGCAACAAGGAGTGGCACGAATCGGCTCGTGAAGAGAGGGCGGCTTTCCACTTGCTCCTCCTCGAACGCCTGGGCTCGCCCGGTCTCGACGGTGCAGCGCTGGTGAAGGAGAATGCGATTGCGAATACTGTACCGAGTCACCAGTGTCTGTCCCTCGCCCGTGAGAAGCCCCCCATCGTCATGCCCATCCAGCAGGCCCGACCGCCGCCGCTCCAACGAGGTGCAGGCCCGCCGCCGTCGCGACGCCCAGCACCGCCCAGCTCGCTCTCCCGAACCTCGCGGCCGCTCCACTGCTCGGCACCTGGCCGACGCTTCCTCCCGCCTGCACCGCCGTCGTCACCGTGTTGGCCGGCACCAGCGTCGTCCGCAGGCTCACACCGCCAGATGGGCCGTAGATGCCGGCTGGTGCGACCGTGAGGTTGCCGTCGTGCGCAGGGTCGGACGAGTTGCTCGGGAACGACGGAAGGCGGGCCGAGGTCGAGTTGGGCGGCAGGGCAAAGCCGACCGAGGGAGGCGAGGCGCGGTACACCGAGTAGACGTTCTTGAGGAAGGCAGCACCGACCTGCGCGACAGGGAGAGATGCGTGTCAGTACGGAACCTCGTCGACAAGTTCATCTTGCCGGCATGAACGAAGGGCTCAAGGCGGAAGAGAGGAGGGGACCGAGCCGACGCACGACCCAGCTGATCTTGCTCCCGCTGCCAAAGTTGAGGTTGAAGAAGGCGCCGAGGCACGTCGAGCGGTTCGTCTCGGCGTCGATGCCGAACGGGCCGAGGTTAAAGTCGACGGCCGACATGTTGTACGTCTGCGGGAGAGCGAGAGAGGGAGAGAATGGGTGGGGCGAGGTCAGGAGCTGTCGACGACGGCGACGGCGGCAAGAGAGACGGAGAGAGAGAAGGGGACGCACGATGTTGCCAAAGGTGAGCGCGATGGACACGTTGTTGTCGCACGGGTACGAGTAGTAGCCTGCGCGAGGGGAAGAGGATGTGCGTCAGGGTGGGACCCAGAGCCAGGCGGACCACGAGTGCCCGCCAGAGCAAGAGAAACGTCTCTGACGCACCGTTGTAGTTGCCCGTCGCCGCCTTTGCGCCCTCGACCTGGGCGTACACGCTCGCGACGACGTCTCGCGGCCCGCCGATGAGGGTCGTGCCCGTGTCGATCGCGACCATCTGGCCGTCGCCCTGGGCCCAGCTCGTCGCGTTGGTGCCGTTGACGGCGACCGCGTCCATGCGCACGACCCAGTAGCTCTCCATGCCGGCCGGGATGTCGAGGTAGTTGATCTCGCTCGAGTACAGCGACGCGTTGAGGTAGCCGAACGTGAGGGACCCGCCCGGCTCGACCGCCGACGCGTTGGCGACGTCGATGTACCGCGTGAGCGAGACGCCGAAGCCGGGGAAGGGCAGGGCGTTGGCCTGGTACAGGTTCTGCCAGAAGGGCGTGACGGACGACGCGGCGAGAGGCTGCCACCCGAGGCCTGCGCGGACGGCGGACAACAGGATCGAGATCGTCAGTCCCGAGTCTCGTGCGACACCGGATGACGGGCGAAAGAGGACGGCCGACGCACCCATGAGCCCGCTGATCTCGCCGCCGAGGATCGTCTCGCTGACGCTCTCGACGAGCGCAAACGCCTGGCTGCTGACGTTGTACCCGGCGAACGACACGTAGTCCTGGAAGATCTCGCCCTGGGCCGAGCCCGAGCCGTACTTGACCGAGAAGGACGTGTTCATGTCGAGCGCCGTCGTCGACAGGGTCGAGTTGTAGAGCGGGATCGTCGACGAGCAGCCGTCGTCGGACGAGCAGTAGTCCGAGGCGACCCACAGGTCGGCCGAGCTGCAGGCGAGAGGCAGCGTGAGGGCTTGTTCGGGAGGACAGCTCGAGAGAGAAAGGCGAGGGACGCACCCAGTGTCGAGGATGCAGTTGAGGTACTGCGCCGGCACGCCGATGCCTATGGGCGCGTAGTAGGACCTGCAGAGAACACGGGGCGTCAGGATGGGGCGCTCAAGGGAAGCGGGGGCGAGACGTGGGACGCACAGGTCGGCATCGTAGTTGACGAGATGCACCTCGCCGACCGACGAGGACTGGGTCGGGATCCTCGTCGGCGCCGTCTTGGTGCCAGACGACGTCGATGACCCGCTCCCGCTGTCGGTCCCACTCGTCGCCGTGCCGAACCCGGCCGTGCGGAACGCCGTGGCCGACGTCGTCGTGCTCGCCGTCGTGCGGCTGCTGAGGGCCCCGCCGACGCCGAACTGCCGCCGCTCAAGTGCCGCCGCCTCGCCGCCCTCGACACCTCGTCGCCGTGCCTCGACGCCGACCGGACTTTGCGACGCCGCGACCGCGCCGTCTCGCCTGCGGAGGCGCGCCTCGCTCTGGCCGTACTTGCCGAGGAGGCGGCCGCGCTCTCGGACGGCCCAGCTGCGCACGATGTCCTCCTGGTCGGCGCGGCTGCGGCGCGACAGGTGGTGGAGGTGGCCGTTGCGGCGGTGCAAGGGGAGGTGGATGCCGCCTGGTGGTGCGGGTCGTGCGGCGGTCGCCTCGGGTGCGGGTTGCTCGAGGCTGGGCACGGCAGAGCGAAGAGTGGCGGTGGACGGGTGAGTGGGGCTGGGCGATGGGGCGGCGGTCGAAGCTGTCGCCGCGAGGGCCGAGAGGAGGAGGGCGACGAGGTGAGGGAAGGGAAGGGGAGTTGGCGGGAGCATCGCGGGCGTCGATCGGGTGCTCGACTGGTCTTGTGTCGAGTTGCACGGTCGCACCAGACAGGCTGGGGTGGTGGACGGCGAGGCGTGGACGCGGCGAGCCTCGAGAAGCTGATGAAGGCGCGCTTGTTGAGCGGCGGGGCCGTGTCGCGGCTGGCGGGGCGGGCGTGTTGCGACGTCGGCTGTGCAGGTGTGTGCCAGGCGTGTACAGCCGGTCGTCGCTATAGCTCAGAGCGGCGGGTGGTCGAGCAAGGGCGAGGACGAGCCGCTCCTCGCAGCCTCTCTGTCTTGGCGCTCTCGCTCCGCTTCCAGCATCCACGGCTGCTGCGCGCGCGCACTCGGGTTCGCTCAAACGCATCCGCGTTATTATCTGCCGCGCCGCAAGCTGTCGCCCTGCTCCTGCGCTGCGCCGCCGAGCGCCCTCCTCGCTCGCTCTCGCGAGCGCGACCGAGCGTCGGCATGCAGCTGTCCGGTCCGCGCTTGCGCCTCTGGCCTCTCCTGTCCTCTTCAACCGCCTCGGGGACGCCGCGCAGCTCCGCGTCCGTCTTCCCCACGGGCGACGCCGGCTCCTCCGCCCGGTCCCTCGCACCTTTGCTTTCAAGCTGGACGCTGCGCTTCTGCTTTTCGCTGCTCGCCACAGAGCTGTCATCATCGAGCCGAGTTCAGCCACTCTGCAGCTGGTGCGCGCATGGCTCTCGAGCTCAGCCGCTTCGCCCTCCTCGTCGACAAGCTCGACGAATCCGCCGACTGGAGCAACGTCGTCCCAGGCGCAAGCCGAACCTGGTCTTCCGCTGCACGCATTGGCTGCACGTGCCTCTCTCTCTTCCTGCACGAGCGTGCACACCTGACGGTGTCCTCGACCGCAGCTTACAACGGCCAGTGGGAGCCGCCTAAACTCGACATCGAGCGCACCGACACGCTCGTCAACATCTTCCTCGGCAACAGCGTCGTGCCCTTTCTCACGACGCCGACCTCGCGGACTGGTCCAGGCCGCAACTTTACGACGTTCGCAGGCGGTGCGTCTCGAGCCTCCTCTCCTCACTCGAGCCCTCCCTGACGGCTCCCCTCCCTCGTTACGCAGCTCGAGATCTCTGGGTTGAGCGCAACACGCATGCCGAGAAGGACCCGAGCTTCAAGCGCGCGGTGGCAGAGGCGCAGTGGCAGCTGACGGGCAGAGACTGCGGGCCCACGGGGCAGCTGCACGTGAGCTTTCATGCGGCCGTTCAAGGTCCGTCTCCTCTTCTCCGTCTCTCACACCCCGCTCGAGCAGCGTCTGACTCTAGTCGTCTCGACACACAGCGCGCAAGACGTGCCCCGAGCGGCGAGACGGCCTCGGAGCCGATTTTGTCCCGCACGCGAGCAACGACACGTCGTACATCGCTCCCAGCCCCTCCTCCGCTCCCGCACCACCATACTCGGCCTCACCCCCTCCAGCGTACGGTGTCGAGGGCCCGCCAAAGGTCCCGCAGTACCCGTCGTCGGCGCCCGCAGCTCTCGCCGAGCGCATCCTCGCCTTTCTCGAGCGAGAGGACGCCGGCGTCAAGTTCCGTGACCATGGGTTCCACGACCAGACGATCGAGATGCACCTCGGTACGTCCTCAAACGTTCTCTCGACGAGCCTGCCCTGAATCGTGCATGCGCACTGACCCCCTTGTTTCCTTCGTCGTCGCAGGCGGCTATTTATCCGACAAGTCGCCGTCGGCGCCGAGCCGACGCACGCTCGCCGTCGACGTGCGGCTCAAGGGCGTCTGGCGGCCCGTCAAGGTCGGCCATCTGCAGAGCCACGCGTTCTTCCTCCCGGGAGGCGACCTCCAACTGCTCAACGTCGTCGACTGCCCCGTGGAAGACCCTCGACGTGCGTCTCTCGCTTTCCTCTACCTCTCGAGCGTCCGTCACGAGTCTGGTCCGGACGAGTGCTCACCTTCGTCGTTGCAGCGTACCCCTTGTCCGCCTCCTCGTCCTCGGTCGACACCTGGACCCTCCTCTCCCGCCACCACGACTCGTCCCACCGCCTCGTCAAGACGACCTTCACGCTCAAGTGGCACCAAGCGCGGTACCTCCTCGCGCACGGCAAGGCGCCCGTCGCCGAGGTCGTCCAGGTCACGTTCCGGCTCGACAACGCGCACGCTCCCGAGGCGAGGAAGGCGACGTGGTGGGACGTGAGGCGCTTGGTCGGGAGCTCATGAGTCGCAGCGAGGCTGTCATGCTGCAGTGAACTGCCTTTGCGCCGCATTCGACCCGAGAGAGCGAGCGATTCAATTTGAGAAGGTCGACGGTCACTTCTCTCGCGGCCTGAGCGTCAGGCGAGCCAGGTCCTGCTCACGTCGCAAGCTGTCGCATCCTCGCAGTCCAGCTAGCTCTTGCTCTGCCTGCTCGAGAGCACGACGTACCGCAGCAGGGTGGCGAGGCTGCACAGCCGAGATCGGACGAGTCGTTCTCTCGCTTTCGCGCTCGCACTCTCTGCGTCTCTCCTCGCTCACGCAGAGACATGACGACGTGGTAGTATTAGTCGCTCGTCGAGGGCACGACGAGCTTGGGGTGCGCGAGGCGCCAGGCCAGCACTTGACCTGCCCTCGCCGCCGCCGACGCATCTACGAGATCCCGCTCCTCCCTCTCTCGACCCGCGCTCGTCGGTCCTCCACGCTCCACCACGACACGCTCGACGCCCTCGACGCCCTCGACGTGTGCCACACGGCGAACCCGCTCGAGCCCGCACGGCCGGCCGACTAGGTCGCTCACGCCCGGTCCTGCAGGACGCGCGCCCGGTCGTAGCTCCGTCGCGAGGTGCGCAGAAGCCACGTGAAGGCGTCCTTGACCTGGTTGGCGTTCTGGCTCGAGATGGCGCTGCGAGTGGGAGACGCAGGGCGAGGGTGAGAGGGAGGGGAGGGGAGAGATGAGAGGTCAGGCAACTGCGACGACGTCGCGAGACGAGGAAAGAGGAGGAAAGAGGAACAGGGACGCACGACGAGAACCGCTGCAAGAACTCCTGCTTCTCGTCTGCGCCCGCCGCTCGCTGCGGGAGGTGCTCGACCGCGGCCGGCACCGTCTGGGCGAGGACGGCCGGGAACTGGATCGACAAGAGGCGCAGGATGGTGAGGACGTTGTGGGGCTCGTCCTCGCCGCCACCGACGAGGACGTCGAGGAGGAGCTGCACGAGCTGGGTCGCGTTCGCCTCGACGACGGCCCGGATCGACGCGGCGTACGACGGGAAGGCGGCGAGCTGGGCGGGCGACAGGTACTGGTCCGACGGGTCGTGCAGGGCGTCGTGCCCGACAATGGCGCGCACCGTGTCGAGGGCGTCGAGGACGACACGGACCGAGGGGAGGGTGAGGGTCGTCAAGGTCGACTGGAAGGCCGAGGGGAAGGCGGGCGAGAGGAGAATGTGGTCGGGCATCGAGTCGGCGAGCGCTTGGACGAGGTGTACGTAGTCGTCGAGGACTGCTCGGCGTGAGGGAGAGGCGAGTCAGGCGAGAAAGTAGAGAGGAAAGGGAGCGAGAGAGGGAGGAGGAAGTGGAAGAAGGTCAGTGCGCGTGTCTCGACGACGGCGACGACGAGGGAGACACGAGGGACGCACTGTCGGGCACCTGCGCCGGCGGCGTCGACTGCAGCAGCTCAAACAGCCGGCCGCTCTCGCGCTCGAACGCGCCCTTGACCGCCGCGCTGAACGCCGCGTCGCCGCGTGCCGCAAACTGCTGCACGAGCTTGCCCGTGATCCACAGGTAGTCGCTCGCCGGGGCCTGCTCGAACGCGGTCGCGAGGCGCTCGAGGACGGCGGGCGCGACGGCGAACGCGAGGTCGCCGAAGAAGACGAGGCCGCGCCGGATGGCGATGCAGGCGCGGTTGGCGATGGACGCGACCGAGCCGTACCGCGCGATGAGGGCGTCGAGGACGGCCCACACTTGCTGGCACGTTGCGGCGCACGAGGCAGGGAGGCCGCCCTGGCCCTCGGGGAGCGGGCCGATGATGGCGAGGTAGACGTCGACGCGCTCGAGGGCGTCGGTCACCTTGCGCAGCTGGTCCTTGGACGCCGGCTGCTCCTGCGTCGCGACGCCGTGCGCAAGCTCGATGTTGGGCATGACGAACGTCGACAGGGCCTGGGCGACGTCGGCGGGCGGCATGGCCTGGAGGATGTGGGCGATGGCGGCCGACAGGTCGAGCAGGTCCTCGCCGTTGAGCTTGGCCGACACCGACTGGATAAAGGTGTGGAGCTGAGGCAGGAACGGGACGAGGTGCTCGGCGCAGTCCTTGCACAGGTACTTCATCGTCTGCGACGCGGCGGCGAGGACCTCGGGGTCCGACTCGTCGAAGCCGGCCGACACGTACGGGAGCTGGAACTGGATGTGCTCCGGGTGCTGCTGCGTCCAGTGCGTGTACCGGCCGATGACGAGGATGGCGGCGTAGCGGATGCGCGGGTGCGGCGGGAGCTTGGGCAGCATCTCCATGATGCGCGGCACGAGGTCGTTGTCGCGCACGTCGATCTTGGAGCCCATCGACCGCATCGAGAACAGGGGCGCCTCGACGTCTTGCCACTTGACGGCGTCGCCGGCGGCGACCGCGCGCGAGATGATGTCGTACGCCTGCTGCAGGCACGGGCCCGAGCCGAGCACCTCGCAGCAGTCCTTGAGCGTGTCGCCGATCTTGTACCGAAAGTCGCGGAACGTGTCGCGGTCCTCGCCGCTGAGCTGGCTCGCCTCGTCCGGGTAGTGCAGGTGGCCGATGACGATCCCGACGAGGTCGGCAAAGACGCGCACGAGCGGCTCGAGCGCCGGGCTCGGGCCCACCTTGAGGATGCCCTTGGCGAGGCGGTACCAGAAGTTGAGCGTGATGCCGACCACCTCGAGCTCTTGGTACGCGGCGCACTGCTTGATGAGCTCGACGAGCGGGAGGAACGACGCCGGGTGCTGGACGATCAAAGGCTCGTACCACTCGCCGGCCTCGACGAGGACCCGGCAGTAGCCGCGCATCTTGTCCTCGTCGTCGAGCGTCGCCGGGTCGGCGAGGTTGGGCCCGAGCGCCGTCAACCGCGGGACGATCTCCTGGATGACGGCGACGTTCTCCTGGAGCTCCATCGTCTCGTGGATAATGTCGACGAGGACGTCGACGGCCGCGTCGAACAGCTCGTCGTGCGACAGGGCCGAGAAGGCGGCGGCGAGGATCGGTGCGCCGGCGAGCGACGCCGACCGGATCTGGCCCGTCCTCAGCCACGCGCCGAGCGTCTGGTAGCACTGGTTCTGCAGCTGCGGCGTGATCCCTGCGTGCGTGCGTGATTGTCAATCTCGATGCTCTCGAGTAGGCGACGACGAAGGACAGAGAAAGAGAAGGGAGAGACGCACCTGCCGCCTGCACGTACATGGACAGGAGCGCGATGACCTGCTCGCCTCGCTGCGCCGTCTTGGCGCCCTCGCGCCCGAACTCCTGCTTGACCTGGATCTTGAAGTTGCTGTTGTACTCCTCGGCGAGGACCTGGAGGTACTCGAGCAGGGCGGCCGCCATGTCGGGCTCCTTGCCGAACTGGTCGATCATGGCCGCGACCGGGTCGCTCCACTGTTGCGGCGACAGCTGGAGGGCGAGGTCGGCGAGGGCGATGCAGATCTGGGTGAGGATGACGCGAGGGCCGGACGAGAATTGTCGCAGGGCGGTGAGGAGCGAGTCGCGGAGGGGGAGGAGGTGCTCGTCCGGGAGCTGGTGCAGGTCGTAGGTGATCTGCGGGTGCGTCTCCTGGTCAGTCGATGTCTTTGAGAGGTGAAGGAGGTGGGAGCGCACCTTGGTGCGGAAAGTCTGCGCCGCAAAGAGTTTGGGCTCGACAGGTGCGTCTGGTGCGAACAGGATGAGCTGCGACGTCGCCCACGCCTCGTTCTGCGCGGGTGGGGATCGCAAGACAGTCAGTTTCAAGTATCGTAGAGACACTGCGACATGCGCTCGCCCTCGCCGCGCCTCGCCTGACCCGCTGCAGCTCCATCCCGTTGCGCCAGGCGGGGAAGGCACCGACTGGACGACGTGCCAAGCGCAGCGGCCCACCGCTCGACACGAAGCACACCAGACTCCTCCATGACCGCGCTGCACCTGCCCGCTCGCTCCCCAGAGCCCTCGCTAGAAAGGGAGGACCGGACCAAGATGAAGTCGGACGCACGCTCTTCTGAAAGTCGCCCAGCCACACGTTGGCCTTCTCCTTTGCGTCACGGTCCGGGTTGGAGTACAGGACGGTGAGAGCATCGACGACGGCCTTGACTGCGTCCGACATGGCGAGGCTGAGGCGGGTCGAGCCGAGTTGAGGGAGGGAGGCGAACGAGCTGGGGACAGCTCGAGGAGGGGTGCGCTGGGGTCGGCGGGGGAGCTGAAGTGCTGTAGTAGTGCTGTATAGGCCGAGCAGGCGACCGCAGAGCTGCGTTGGCGAGGTACAGAGACGAGAGCCGCCGACACGATGAGACCGTTGACGACGACGAGCAACTCGCCACGCTCTGCTCAGAGAGCTGTGAGGAGCTAGGTACCAAGAGTATGAGAGCATCATCGAGCCTCTCAAGCTCATGGCTACGGCAAGGACGATCAGAGCTCTCGCCGACGACAAGCTCCCGCCCGTCGAAGCTTTCCCGTACGTACGCTCACGCTGTGGAGCGGCGCAGAGTCTCTCCTCTCTCTCTCACCGTCGCACTCGACCGCCTGCTCTCTGTCTCGCTCGCCGCACCCCGAGTCGAAGCCCCGGCTCGCCCTCTCGAGGCGAGACCGCGCTCTTGCCCGCCATGTGCGCGCCGCCCGCAGCAAGTACAGCCTCGGGCGCCTCTCGCCGCAGCCGGTGCACGGCGAGAGCGTCGAGCGCGACCACGTCGAGCGCGAGACGCGGCTTGAGCGACGAGGAGAGCGCCTCGAGGGCGATGTGACACTCGGCGCAAGGTCTGTCGCGGCGAGAGCGGCGGTGGTGGCTGCGCAGAGAGCGAGGATCGAGGCGAGTGGCGGCGAAAGGGAGGAACAGGAGGGAGAGGTACGGCGATGCAGATCTAGTGCGAGGTGGTCGAGGTGCGGAAGGAGGAATGGGGGAAGGTCGCTACAGCGTAAGGTCCTTGAGCTCCCAACCTGTGTGCGCGGGAAATTGATCAGTCCACCAGGCATACCAGTAGCGTCACCTCTCGTCCGCTCGAGACGAGCAGACGAGCGAGACGCAGGTGGAGACGGGAGGGAACCGGCGACGCACTGACGCCGCACCCGCACCCGGCGTCCTTGCTCTGCGGGTTGTCCTTGATCTTGAACGCGCTCCCGATGAGCTCGGTGGCGTAGTCGACCGTGGCGCCGTTGACGAGGGGCAGGCTCGCGGCGTCGACAACGAGGAGCGCCTCGCCATCGCCGACGTCGGCGTCGCGCGCGCGGAACAGGTAGTCGTCCTGGTCGCGGTCGGCCGTGACCTGCATCTTGTACTGGTAGCCATGGCAGCCGCCCGACTCGACGGCGAGGCGCAGGGCGAGGGCCGGGTTGGACGCGGCGGCCTGGGCGCGCAGGATCTGGCGGATGGCCGACGGGGTGAGGGTCATGGCGAGGTGCTGGCCTGGCGGGAGGTCGTCCTCGACGGGCTCAAAGTCGTCGGACGGAGCTGGCGGCGGCTCGGCGGGGCACACGATGGTGCGGCGAGCCGGGGCGAAGGTGGCGGCGATGAGGAGGGAGGACGGCGAGGACGAGGTGCGAGGGCGAGTCGAGGCGAGGCCGGGTGCGCGAGTTGTCGTGTGCAGTTGCCGAGCGTGTGCTGGCTGCGCTCGTGCTGGCCGTGCGGCCTGGCGGGCGACGAGTCGGGCTGACGGAGCCGTGGCCGACGAGGTCGACGGGAGGAGGGACGACAGCGGGCGGGCGGTGAGCTGCTGTGCGCAGCGGGTGCAGGTGCGCTGCATCGTGGCTCTGGCGTAGGTGCTCGGTCTTGATCAAGTCGACAGTGAGCGGCAGAGACGAGCGGGGGAATCGCCCGCCGGATGAGGTCGACCACCTCGCTGTCCTCCCACACCGCCAAGGGCTGTATCTGACCGGCCCAGTCGACAGAGCGTCCTTCAAAACGCGCCCCAGCCGACTCGAACCTCGCCCAGTCGCCTCGTCACTCATCTCGACGCGTTGCTCCACCTCTCCTCGTCCAGCGTCACCACCCCTCCCTCTCTGCATCCCGCCCCGCTCATGAGCGTCCATCCGACTCGTCGAAGAGGTCCGCTCCCGCACGACCTCGAGTTCGCCTCGCTCGACGGCGCCTCGTCCGGCTGGAGCTCGCTCGAGCAGCGCGCCGGGTCCAGAGCGGCCGCACGAGGCGCGGACAAGGGCAAAGGTCGCGAGGGCTCTCATGTTTAACGTACTAAGCTCTCATGTTTAACGAACTAAACCCTCATGGCTAACGTACTAAGCTCTCATGGCTAACGTCCCGACTCGCACTGACCCGACCGCACCACGCAGCGCCACCTCACCTACGGCCCGTTCATCCCGCCGCAAAAAGCATCGGTCCCGCTGTGGTTTTATAAGAAAAAAAAGAATATATAAGGCTTTTAAAGCTTTTAAGGTTTCACGTTGAGCGTCGGTGCGCTCCCTTTCCTTCTCTCTCTCTCCCTCCTCGGCCCGCACGCCACCGACTGACTCCTTCTGCCGTCTCACAGGCGAGCTTGAGGAGGTGCTCAAGTTCGAGCAGACCCAGGCCGAGTTCAGCGACCTGCCGCGCGACTACCTCGAGGTGTCCAAGGTCCTTCTCGAAGTGTGCGTCCCTCACTTCCGGCTCTCTCTCTTGCGCATGACGACCCTGACGCGCCTGCTTCCGCAGAGCGAGCGACGACGTCCCTGCGCCGGACCGCGTGCGGCTGTTGCTCAAGGACATCCGCGAGGCGCGCCAGGCCAAAGTGCGCGAGGGTCTCGCCGCCATCAACGCCGTCCACCTCGGTGTGCGTCCTCTCGCTCTCTCCTGTCGTCATTATGGCCCTCTTGCGCGACCGACTGACACCCCCTCGTCCTCCTTGCGCCGACGCCGCCCTCGCAGATGCCCAACCTGTCGACGCTCGAGCTCTCCGAGCTGCGCCCCTTCTTCTCGCTCGCCTTTACGCGCCTGCGCGACCTCGACCCGCAAGCCGAGGCGCACCGCGAGGCCGAGGAGTGGTGGATGCGCGACCCGGCGGGCTGCATGGACGCGGCGAGGAGGGGCGAGGTCGGGGGGAAGCGTGACGGGGCGAGTTTCGGCGCGGGGGGCAGAGGTGGGCGAGGGGACAGGGAGGGGACGGAGATGAGCGGGCTCTAGAAGCGGTGGAAGAGCCTTTTGTTCGTCCCCTCGGTCGCCAAGCGCACGCTTTGCCTGCGGCGAGCTCGCGAGGAGGAGAAGGTCGGCTCGTCCGCGCCTCTTTCGCCAAGCAGCGCCTCGAAAGCCGCTTTGAGAGAGCGTGAGACTACTGTAAGCCTCGGAACGGGCGTTCTCGAGTGCCGCAGCGAGCTCGCGGGTTTGGGAAGGCTGCGCTCCTCCTCGTTGTTGGTGCCGGCGCAGCTCCCTCCTCCGTCCTCCCTCGTCGTCTCGCCCAGACCGGCTCGAGAGCACTCGAACCAGCCTCAGAAAAGGTCTCGGCACGTCCTGCAGGCGGTCGCACCAGCCCCAAGCTCGTCCTCGTTGCGCCCCTCGCCCCGGCCTTCGCCCTCTTTCCGCCGCCCGACAGCTCTACCGCGACACCCCCTGGAGCAGCAGGCGCCAGTGCAGTCGCTCGCAACACCTGTACGCGCCACCGCCACACCACTCGCATCCCGCGCGCCGTCGCCGTTCGAGCTCGACGCGTCGCCCTCTTCCCCCTCCCCTCCTCCGCCCCCTTGATCAACCTTCTCAACTCGCCCTGAGAAGGTCCCCGTACTCGGCCATGAGCAACTTCGCCCCTCAGCACCCGACGGCGCCACTCGGCGGTCAGCCCGCCGGCGCTCGCGTCGACGCCGCCTCGGCGCCCCAGCTCGCCGACCAGCACCTTGCCCTCGCTTCTGCGCCGCCTCCGACGGCGGCTCAGGGCGCAGGGGACGGCCACTCGAGCATCGACAACCTTCCTTACCCACTCCCGCTCCCTCCCGTCGGCAGCGCCAACGTCCACTCGTCGGCCCCGCCGCTCGCCCTCGGCTTCCCTCCTCCTCTCGCCGCGCCGCACCCTTTCGCCGCCGCGCCAGCCACTGCCGCCGCGACCGCCGCGCCCTACCCGTTCGGCAGCCCGGGTATGTTCCCCTTGCCTCTGCCGCCCGCGGCGGCGGCGGCGCTGTTGTCGTCGGCCGGCGCCCTCCCGTACCCGCTGCCGCTCCCGGTCCCAGGCGCCGAGCCTCGCCAGGCGCCGGTGGCGGCGGCGCCTGTCGTCGCAGGCCCGAACACGAGTGTCGCGCCGGCGCCCACGGTCGACGCCGACGGCGACCACGGCATGGTCGAGGCCGGCCTTCCGGTGCCGCCGCCGCCGCCGCCGGCCAGCCTCGACGCCGCGAGCGCCACCTACGCATCCTTCACGCCCGTCGCCTCGGGCTCGGGCTCGGGCTCGAGCGCCGCACCTGTCGCCGACGGCGAGCCACAGCAGCAGGAGCAGCCGCAGCCGCAGACGGCCGCCCCCGTCGACGCGCACGGCCAGCCGGTCGCGCTCCCTGCCGGCCCGCCTCCTCGTCCGCCGCCGCCGCCGCTCCAGAACAAGGTCGGCGCGCCGACCATCACGGCCCTGACGGGGCACGTGCCCATCCCGTCGCACCTCCCGCGCCCGCGCGGCCGCAAGATGCCCAAGAACAAGGCGCCAGCCGCCGCCGCCGCCGCCGACGCCGGTGCTGCGGCGGTCAAGGGCGAGGGCACGAGCGCCGACGCGGCGGCGGGCGCAGACGGAGGAGAAGGAGAAGGCGACGCGGCGGCGCCGCCGGCCAAGGCGCCGCCGATGACGGCGGCGCAGCGCAAGCGCAAGAAGAAGAAGGAGGAGGAGGAGCGCAAGAGGAGGGCGAGCCGCGGTGGGTGGGGCGCGGTCAAGGGCAAGCAGGGCACGAGGCCCGAGACGTTCCTGCGCAAGATGTGGAAGTGCGTCTCCCTCTATCTTCTCTCCTCTCTCGTCTCCCTCTGCGGCTCGAGCGCGAGTCCTGACCCTCGCCTCGTCGTGCAGGCTCCTCAACCACGACCCGGAGGACGTCACGCCCTACATGCGCTGGGACAAGACGGGCCGCCTCATCATGATCCCGGACGAGAAGGCCCTCGTCGAGAACGTCTGCAAGGTCCACTTCTCGCAGCAGAACATCACGAGCTTCGTGCGTCCCCTCTCTCTCTGCCTCTCGCGGTGACGAGCTGGACTGACTCTCTTGCCTCCCTGCAGAACAAGCAGATGAACGTGCGCTCGACCCTCGCGACCTCTTCCGCCCTCGTCCTGCCCTCGTTTACTGACAATCCTCCTCCCCTGCAGAACTGGGACTTCAAGCGCCACTCGCGGTCGCAGCGCGACCTCGACATCATCGGCCGCACCGAGCCGGGCGTCAACCGCCAGACGCGCATCTGGTACCACACGCAGCTCCACGCGCGTTCGACCTGGAGCGACGTCCAGAGCGTCGGCCGCCACGAGGACGGCATGGCCAAGAAGCGCAAGGCGCAGACCGAGGCCGAGCTCAACGGCGGCAAGCGCCGGCGCCGCACCAAGAAGCAGAAGGTCGACGACGAGGCCGAGGAGGACGACGACGACGAGAGCGGGCCTGCCTCGACGAGCGCCGCCGGCGACAACGACGACGACGGTGCGCCCGAGGGCGAGACGTCGGCGGCTGCGGCGTCGCGCATCTCGGCCTCGCTGCGCTCCAAGGCGCGCGACCCGAGCCAGCGCCCGTCGTACAAGCTGTACGACTCGAGCGACGAGTCGTCGTCCGACTCGAGCGACGACGACGACGCCGGCTCGGACGACTACAACGAGGAGGGCGGCGCTCGTCGTGCGTCCGACAGCGACGAGCTCGACGACCTGCCCGACGAGGAGGCCAAGGCGGGCCGTGCGCGTGCGGCCAAGACCGAGGCGGCGGCACCGGGCCCTGTCGACGCCACGCTTCAGGGCGACAACGTCGACGCCGAGATGCTCGACACGCAGCGCACCGCCGCCAAGGGCAAGGCGCGCGCCTCGTCGTCCGCCGCCGCCGCCGCCGGCGACAAGGGCAAGGGCAAGGGCAAAGCCCGCGCCGCCTTGCCCACTCGTACGTCGCGCACGGTCCAGCAGGAGCAGCAGGAGGAGCAGGCGGGTGCGTCGAGCGAGGCGCTCCCCGGCCGCGGCGCGGCGAGCGGGGACGGCGAGGGCGTCGCGGCCGGTGGGCCTGAGCCGGCGTCGCTCGCGCCCGAGACGGGCCAGGCCGCCGATGGCTCCAGCCTCGCGGTTGAGCCACGCACGACGCGCATCATGCGCGGCGCCCCGTCGCCGTTCGCCCAGGGCAACGACGCTGCCGCCGGAGGAGGCCGCTCGACGACCGGCCGTCCCTCGCTCACTCGCGCCGCCGCGGCCAAGCCCACCACAGCGCTCAACACGAGCCTGAACGGCGACTCGTCGAGGACCGACCGTGCAGCTCGTCGCGAGGTGCGCGAGGCGGAGCATGCGGCGGCCGGCGTCGAGCAGGACGAGTCGACCCAGGCCGGCGAGCGTTCGCGCGGTCACAACGGTCGTGCAGGCGCCTCGACCACGTCGGGCCAGTCGGCTGCGACGGTCAAGAAGGGCAAGGGCCGCTCTCGCGGGTCGCAGCAGCAGGAGGAGGCGGCCGGCCCGTCGCGGGGCCACGACATGCTGCGCGGCGGTGCGGGCTTCGGCGCCGGCGCCTCGGCCAACGGTACATCGCACCAGGACGACTCGGCTGCGGCCTCGTCGATGCCGCTGCAGCCGTCGTCGGGCACCGGCACGAGCTCGTCGGCGCACGTCTACACGCTGCCGCGCCCGCCTCACCTCGGCGCTGCCGCCGCGACTCTCGCTGCCGCGAGCGCCATGATGGACGGCTCTGCCTCGGCGTCGACGTCGGCCTCGGCCCAGCCGCACTCGCCGTCGGCCGCCTCGCACGCCTCGAGCCAGTTCATCTACCCGGACGCGTCCAACCCGTACGGCTCGTCGCCGTACCCGGCCTACCCTCACCAGGCCCAGACGCCCGTCACCGTCCACCACCACCCGACGCGCCCGCTCCCCGGCCCGTACCACTCGGAGCCCGGCTTCGCCCGCACGGCCTTCTACTGCCACGGCGCGAGCCCGATCCCGAGGCCGTTCATCCACCCCGGCCACGGGCTCACCGACGAGCTGCTCGACCACGGCGATGCGGCCGGCGTGTACGGCGAAGACGCCGTCATGGGCGATGGCACGCTTGCGGGCCGGCTCTAAGGTCCGTGCGCCCATTACCTCTCTCTCTCGCCCTCTCTCGCCCTCTCTCGCCCTCTCTCTCGCCCTCTTCCTGCGCATGACGGGGCACTGACTCAGTGCATCGTCTACAGCTCGCGCCGTCGACAAGATCTCGCACGCCGTGCAGGTCCTCCCCCTGTTCGCCTCCCCCCTCCCTTCCTTCCTCCTCACTTTCACCGTACCTCCCGCCACTCGCCTCACCCATTCTCTCGTCCTCGTCCACGCCTCGACTCTCCTCTCCTCGCCCCTTTCGCCTTTCGCCCGACGCCCGCCACCCGTCGTCCTCGTCCGACCTTCGCCGACTTCAACAGCGGTCCTCGAGCATCGACAGCCTCAGTCCCTTGGTCCCCTCGCTTGCAATACCCCCTGCCCGCACTTGCCTAGCCCCCTTCATTCGTGCCCTCCCTCTCGCTTGGTCGTTTCGCGCTTGCAACGATAAGTTCCCTTCCTGCCCGCTCGAGCCTCGGCCGAGCCTCCTCCCCTCTCGTCTCCCCTCGCGGCTTCTCCGTCCGCGCACGCACTTCTGTCGCAATCGGTGCGTCCGCTTTCACATCTCGAGCGTCTCCTGAGTGTCTCCTGACCGCTCGTCCGTCTGCAGGGCCCCGCTGCGGCGTTGTCGGCTGTCGCTCCTGCGACCTTTTCCTCCTCTGCTCCTCGTCTCTCTCTCTCTCATCTCGCCTATCGCCTCTCGTCCTCGCGACGGTTGCGCGGCAGCTCTCGCGCCATGCTGTACCGTCCTCGTCACGTCCCCGGAGCCGAGCGGGCGAGCTCGAACCTCCCGCCTCTCGAGCTGCGCATCCAGCGCTTCCTCGCGCACTTCGACGCCTCGAGCAATTGGCTACACGTCGTGCCCGGTGCTGAAGAGCCGAGGAAGGTCGATGTCGATCCACCGCAAACTACCGGTGCGTCTCGCTCTCCCTCCTCTCGTGAGCAGGACAGCACTCACCTTCAAGCCTTCGCAGGGGCCGCCATCATCGTCCGCAAGGCCGAGATACTGCTCGGCGTCACCATGAACTCGGCGAGGGTGCCGATGGGCACCATGCCCGTGCTCGAGGCGAGGGGCAAGACGGCGACCATCAAGCATGCCGGCGGTGCGCCCTCCTTTCTCTCACTCTCACTCCCCCTCGAGGCAGTCCATGATCCTGACGACGGGCACGCAGATATCCTCGACAAGTGGACCTATGAGGGCCTGTCCCGCGACAAGAACCAGGTCCTGCAGAGCTCGACGTGGACGCTCGAGAGTCCGTCCAGCGACTCGAAGAGCCTCATCGTCGTCTTCATCGCGTCAGACCAGGGTCCGTCGACCTTCTCTCGCCTCTCTACAGACGTTTGAGCATGCAAGAGCGCGACTGACGCCTACTCCTGCAGCAGAAGAGCGCAAGAGCCTCCAGCTCCTTCTCGAGAAGGACCCGGATCCCGTGCCTCTTCCGACGGCGGGCCTTCCTTCCTACGCCTCGTCCATCTCTCAGCATCCCTCTTCAGCTCGTACCTCGACCGCCGACGCACCTGCCACCACCTCGGCCCCGTACGACATCCTCGACCCGAACCTGCATGTGCGGCAGCACCGTCGGCGCGACGACAAGCGCGAGTCGGTTCAGCCGTGGGCTCAAGGCGACGATGGCACGGTCAAGTGGACGCCGAGATGGAGCGAGGAGGAGCACCAGGCGCTGCGACGTGTCCGGCGAGGCGTCGACAGCCTGAGCCCGCACGCGCCGCTCTACTCGCTCCCGCCCATGGGCGGCGACGACGACGAGGGCAAGTCGAGCCGAGCAGCTCTCGACCTATCGCAGGAGACCGTGCACGAGCTCGCGCGCCACATCGGGTCCTTCCTGCGGTACTTGGACGCCGGGCTGAGCTTTCGCGGCCACGGGCTCGAGGACCAGCACATCTACATCGGCGGTGCGTCCCCTTTCTCCTTCTCTTCATCTCTCGAGCGTGACTGACATGGACTCGATCGCGGTGCAGGCTTCACCCGCAAGCATCTCGCGGTCGAGGCGTCGCCCGACGTCGAGTCGTCGGGAGGGCGCGAGGTCCTCGAGGTCCTCGTCCACCTCAAGGGCGTCTGGCGGCGCTGGACGAGGACCAACGACAACACGCTCCTCTTTACGTTGCCCGGCGGCGAGCTCGACGGGCGAGGTCTGCACGTCCACGAGGTCAAGCCTCGTGCGTCGCCGTCGCATCCTCTCCCTCTCGCCCTTTCCCGCCCTGACGTCCTCCTCTCTTGCTGCCGCAGACGGCTCCGACCGCGAGCCCGACTCGTGGACGTTCAACTCGCGCTCGGGCCGGCAGCTCGACCTGACGAAGCGCGTCGTCGCGACGGCGTGGACGTTGACGCCGGGCGCGGCCCTGCACGACGTCGGCGTGCACGACCTGGTTTACGTCACGTTCGCGCTCGACGAGCCGCTCAAGGTGCGTGAGCGGCACCGGGGCAAGACGGTCGAGGTGTTTGAGCAAGGGCGGAGGAGTGCGGCGGCGCCGAGTGCGAGGAACAGGCTCGAGGGTCGGGTTTACTGAGCGGCGTCGTCGCGTCGACTTTGCTCTGCATTACTGCCGCGTGGAAATGCTCGACGAGAGCCTATCGAGAGCTGCACGAGCGCAGGAAGAGCAAACGCGCGCGAGCTGCACGGCGTTCGGCTCGGCGCCCACTTGTCCGAGGAGGCCAACCTCGGCGAACGCTCCCTCTCGCTCCACAACCGCTCTGCTCCCGCCCGAGGGCACGCACACACTCGAGATGGGCTTCTTCAGCTCTTCAGCCGCACCTGCAGCCGGCGCAGAGGTGAGCCCTCGTCGTGCTCTCCCTCCCCGCCTGCTCTCATCTCCGAGCCGGAAGCTGACAGAACCTCGCCCGCCCAACCCCTCCTGCCCCTCGCCCGCACACGACACACACGCAGGTGGACAAGGGCGACGTGATCAAGAGCATGATGCACGAGCTCGTCGACCTCAAGCAGGTGCGTGGTCCCGATCTCTCCAGAGGTGGCGGTGTCGAGCGAGGTCACGCACACGATGCGCCTCGAGCCGGCCTCGTGCGTGGGTCTGGACCTTATGCAGACCGCTGACTTTGCCCTTTGCGCCCGATGCAGCGCAACGCCGAGCTCGAGGAGAGCCACCGCATCGCCGTCAGGGTGAGTCTCTCCCCCTTCCTCCCTCCTTGCGACCCTCTTTGCGGCTCGCGTTTCGCCAATTAGCATGTTGACCTTTCTCTCCCATGCCCATAGGCCCGCAAGTCCGCCGTCGAACGCGTGCGCGAGCTCGAGGACGTCCTGCGCCTCAAGGAGGGCATCTTCGACTCGCTCGAGCGCCAGATCTCGCTCCTTGAGAAGCAGAACACGGCCCTGCAGCTCAAGGAGGCCGAGCTCGCCGCCCTGCGCGTCGAGATGGAGGAGCACCCGGTCTGCGAGGGCGACCTGCTCCACCGGTACGAGCAGCTCGCCGAGATCTTCGACCTCGTCAAGGACACGCTCAGCTGCGCCGTCTGCTACGAGCCCTACCAGAAGGACGAGGCGACGTCTTTGCTGTGCGGTCACACCTTCTGCCGAACTGTCCGTCCTCTTCTCTCCCATTCCTTTTTCCTCGACCCCTTTTCCGGGAAACTGACACCTTCACCACCCACAGTGCTACACGAGCTGGGAGCAGCGCTCGATCGACGCGTTCAAGCTCTCTCCTGTGGCCGGCCAGTACCTCGGTCCCGAGTGCCCCGAGTGCCGTACGGCCGACGTTCGCCGTGGTCGCGTCCGCATCTGGTCCCTCGAGGAGGTCGTCCGACTCGTCGACCGCGCCCAGCGCGAGATCGCGACCAAGCCCTACGTGCCCAAGTTCGACCTGCCCAAGCCTGTCATCGCGCGCGAGCTCGTCGAGCGCGAGGACCGCCTCGTCGATGTCGACGGCGACGGCGACCAGGGCATGCCGGCCGAGCTGCCGCTCACGCCTGCGAGCGTCGGTACGCCCGCCGTCGCGACCATCGCAGGCGCAGCTGTCGAGCTCGAGGCGCTCGAGGCGCTCCCTGTAGCGGCCGTGCCCGTCGACGAGGCGCCCGAGCCGCAGCAGGGGCGCGAGCAGGAGGCGATGGACGAGGACCGAGCCGATGCGCCGCCCGTCGCCTCGCCACCTCTTCCTTCGCCGTCACTCGCACGCGCAGCAGTACCCGGCGACGCCTTTGCCATCAACGACGCGCTCCCACAGCAGATGCTCGACGCGCACGCCCGCTCGCGCGAGCAGGCGCGCGTGCGGGCTCTCGAGGACGAGGCGCGCTCGGCGCTCGAGGCGCAGCGGGCGAGGGAGGACGAGGAGGAGCGCGAGGCGAGGGAGGCGAGGGAGCAGGTGCTGTTCGAGCGCAGGAGGATGCCGTACGGGCAGGTGTTCCGGTGACGGGCTCTCTCGCCCTTCCCTTTCTTTCTCTAGTCCCACATGCTCTCTCGTATCTCTCGATTTGCTCTCATTGTTGTCGTCTGTGCCCCCTCGCAATTTCATCCCTGTCCACCCTCGTCGTCGCCCTTCTCGTCCTCGAGAGCCCTCTGCTTCTTCAGCCGCTCGTCCCTCTTCTCGGCATTGATGCGCTTCCTGCGCGCGTCGGCCCAATTGGCGAGCTTGTCGCCGTCGCGCCAGCACCTCCTGACCCACTCTCCGCGCGCGTCGAGCGCGTCCTGGCTCGAGTTGGGAAGGCTCGCAAACGTGACAAAGTCGTCGAGCTCGGCGAGCGGGTCGACCTCGAGGGCGGCGTGGTAGGCGTCGTACTGCGGCGAGAGGAGCGTCGAGAGGTAGTCCGACGTCGACTCGAGCGTCTGCAGGAGGAAGAAGGCTGCGGGCGCGAGAGAGGGTCAGCGTGCACGGACCTCTCGAGAGGGGCCGTCTCGAGGAAGCGGGGACGACGCACCTTTGTGACGCTTCCACGACCGACCTGTGCCTGCACGCGAGAGTGTTTGTCGTCAGGCTGCGGCTCTCGAGAGCGTCGCAGGAGGAAGAGGAGCGACGCACGGCCGCGCGGCGTGTAGCGCTTCGTGCCTGGGAAGAACGACTCGAACGCCGGATCTGGCTCGTCAGGACCCTCGTAGACTGCGAGGGAGGAGGAGCGTGAGCAGGATACCGGACGCGAGGCGCCAAACTGCCCGGCAGAGGGGAACAGGGACGAGGAGAGAGAGGGGGGACGCACTGATCCTGCGTCACGTGCGTCGAAAGGCCGAGTCAGCGACGTGCTCTACGGCGAGTCGACGCTCAGATGCGAGCGAGAAGAAAGCGTGACGCACTGCTCGTTCCAGCAAGGCACGCACAGGCGGGCCCGGATGTGATAGTCGACCTTGCGAGCGTTCGACTTGCCGCAGATCTGCGTACCGCTCGAGCAGATTCAGTCGACGTCCGTCGAGAGTGATAGAGCGCGCGCGTGAGACGCACTCGGCAGTGTCGCCCGACGACGAGCGACGCCAACTCGACGGGACGCAAGGCGGCGTCGAGCTCGGGAAGCGCTTCCCCTTCGACAGCGACGAGCCACAGGACGGCGCACGCCGGCGACAGCACGTAGGCACGCAGTGCACGCGAGACGAGCGTCACCGACAATAGCGAGGCGAGGTCGAGTCGGGAAAGGATCTGTTTGCGAAGGCGCCGACGGCGCACGGGCCGCGGCTCGAGAGGGTCAGCCGGACCTTTTTCGATTGTGCGACGCTCTGCTTCTGCGAGAGAAGCTCGGTCGCGTGCGCACGCCTCGAGAGCGACGCCAGGCACGCAGTCGTTGATTCGACGAGGCGGTCGAAGGGACGATGACGACTCGAGTAAAAAGGCGCAGCTCACGAGGTGGAGGAGCTCGAGTGGGAGCTGCTGCAGGCGGTCGGGCCCAGGAGGACGACGCTGCCACTTGCGAGGTGCTTTGTCCATGTCGTGCGCACGCGGGCCGGCCGAGCGGAGCGGCGCTGCGGCGGGGGAGAGTGAGGACGAGCGGACGAGCCTCGGCTTCAATTCTCGTGGACGGCTCACCCACCGGCCGGGCGCGAGCCACGACGGATCGCCAGCTCGTCGCGCTTCGCGTTTGTCCCTCACCGAGTCTCGTCAACGAAGTGCCTCGCCCTGCAAGCGGCTCGAGATGAGCAGCGGACCGAGCGCTCAAAAGTGGGAGACGCCTCCTCGCCGGCAAAAGAGGAAGCTTGCCCGAAGCAAAGCACGGAGCTGGTCGACCTGTCCTCCCTCTCTACCTCGCTCGTGCTTTGCTTCGTCTCGCCGACGTCCTGCACCCGCGACGCCAGCAGCTGCGACGAGCGCGCCCGCGCCGCACGGCCCGCTCGACCCGTCGCCCCGGTCCAATCGAGCTTTCCAAACGGCCTCGATCCCCGCCTCGGCGTCGAGCCCACTTGTCCGAGTCGTGTGCCCCGCGCCTTTCTGCTCCTCCCCCCGTCCGCCTCACCTCGGTCGCTCCGCCCGTCCTCCACGGGCGCCCCGCGTGCTCTCCTCCCTGCTCCCCTCCTCCTCACTCGACGCCCGCCGCCCGTCCACCTCGCACCACCGCGACCAAGCCCAGAGGTGCGCTCGCTTGCTGCCCTCGCGTCGATTGTCCGCGGCCTCTGACAATTTGCTCGCCTCCCCCCCGCGCTCCGCGCACCCTTTCCACCGGCCTCCCCCCTCCTCCACGCAGCCTCGCACCGTTCGACACGAGCACACCAAGGCCGCCTGCACCCGTTGAGCACCACCACGAGCAGCCACGACCTCGTGCCGGACCGCCATGTTCATCTCGTCGAGCGACCTCGCCCTGTCGCTGCCGTACGCGCTCGCCGGCTCGCCCGCTGCTACTAGCGGCTTGGCGTTTGGCTCGACCTCGTCGACCTCGTCGTCGTCCTGCTCGAGCGGCACCACGACCCAGAGCGCGTCGCCGACCCTGTACGACCTCCCGACGCCGCCAAGCGCCCCCATCTCGACGCCTTCGCCCCTCGCCTCGTCGTCCCTCGCCCTCCCGTTCACCTCTGCGCCGTCGCCCATGCACCCGCTCGACGCGTTCGAGACGAGCCTGTCGTCGTTGCCCGACTGGAGCGCGACGATCGACCCGTCGCTCCTTTTTGGCCTCGAGGCGTCGTCGACCAAGGCGCGGCCCAGAGCGGCTCAGCCGCCGGTCGCGTCGTCCTCGTCCTCGTCCATGTCGGCCCCGGGACGCACCTTCTTCCCGCCCGGGTCGCCGATTCACGCCGAGCGCGAGCAGGACCGCAACGTCCCGCTCTTCGGCGAGTCGACGACGCACGAGCAGCGCATGGAGCAAGTCGCCGCCCTCTCGTCGCTCATCATCAACGGCTCGGCGGCCGCAAGGTCGTCGTCGTATGGGCCCGTCAAGCGCACGCGCTCGACCAAGGTTAAGGACGTGCGCAGCAGGAGCTTGAGCCAGGGCCGTCCCTCGTCGTCGACGACGAGCAAAGCCGCCGCCGCCGCTCCTCGAGGCGCCGGCCGTCGCGCGAGCGACGACGCGCACATGCTCGTCGAGCCGTCGCAGTCGACGACGCCGTCGCAACCGTCGATGCGCAGCACGAGCCCGGGCCACTCGCCGACGCGCAGCTGGCTCGACGCCCTGCGCGAGGCCGAGGCCAAGGCCAAGCTCAAGCGGCTGCAGCATGCTGTAGCAGCTGGCTCGGCGACGGGCACCACGAGCGGCGCGCCGAGGGGCCGGCTCGCGCTCATGCACGGGCAGCTGCTCGCGCAGAGCATGGAGGCCGAGGCGCAGGGCGTCCCGGCGTCGGCGCTCCCTCCTCCGACCGGCGGCGGCCTCACGGTCTTCCCGTGGGGCCGTGCTTGAGCACGCTCCCTTCCCTCTCTTCGTCGTCCGGTCTCTCTCCCCCCTTCCCTTCTCTCGTCCTCCCGGTCCTCCTCGTCGTTCCTTTCCTCCCCCCTTTGGTCCCCTGCGCAGTGCGCGTTTCTCGCAGTCTCTCTCTCGACCTGTTGTCCCCTAGACCCTCTGCAGTACACCCCCGAGTCAGTGCAACAAGCCGTGCAGCCCTCCTCTCGTCGAGCGTTCGGACCTCCTCGCGACGAAAGCGCGCGAGCCGTACTTGCGCCTCTGCGCTGCTTCTGAATCGGCCCAGATTGGCTCAGTCTCAGGACAAGCTGACAAGCACCGCCTCGCTGGCTCCCCCGCCCGTCCGACTGCAACATCGAGACGGCTCTCGTCCGGTGCCAGCCTCGCTCTCCCTGCTCTCTATCATCCGGACCCGCAGTGCGGCAGCAATGTGTGAAGAGGTCTGCACCAGCGTCGTGCGTCCCCCCTCGCCCTGTCTCCCCTCTCTGCCCGCGAGCTGACCACCTTCGTCCTCCCCTCCCCGCCCTCCTCGTCCCCTCTCCTGTCACCGCACGGCCAGCTCTGGAGCATCTTCCCTACGTGTGCGTCTGAGCTCTCGCTCGCCATCGCGCGGCGCACTTTCGAGCCCTGTCGCCTCGCCCGCTGACCCTACCCCCCCCCCCTTTCCCCGCTCCCCGCAGGTCGAGGCGACCGCAACTGCGGCAGCTGCAACCCGCCCTGCTGCCGCAAGATCTGCACCTGCGGCTTTGACGAGGACGACCAGCGCTACCTCGACCAGCAGGAGGGCGGCGCGGCGCCGCCTGTCGGCGAGGCGAAGACGGGCGCGGCGGGTGCCGGCGGGGCGACGCAGCCGGCGTACGAGGGCAGCAGGATGACGGTGCCGGGTGCACAGTGAGGGCGACGCGGCAAGCGGGGCGGTCGTGCGCGGCAAGGGCGCGCCGCTCGGGCCCATTTTCGGTGCGTCGCTTGATCCTCTCGCAGTCCTTCGCGCCGGAGCGTCTTGTCCTGCCAGGCCTCCCTGACTCGTCCACGTTCGCGCAGTACCTTTCGTCGGCCGCACAGTCCATCTACATGTTGTAATCCGTCGAGCAGCCGTGGCGCCGCTTCCCTTTCCGCGAGTCGACGATGCCGCTCGATCTCGCCGTCGACGGGCGAGACGGCGTCTACGCGCCTGCTGCGCCTTTCTCAGCTCTGCTGCAGCGTCGTACGCGCGGTCGTCGAGCGCGCGCGACAGCTGCGACGGCGCTCGTCTCGTTGCTCGGCCTCGCTGCGTGCGCTCGGCTCGCTCGAGCCTGCGCAACCTGCGCTCCCGTCGTGGGCCTTCTTTCGCCTCCTCGAGCGTGCTCTCGGCTTTTTCTGCCGCTGCTCAAGGATGAGCGACTGGCGAGGGGGCCCGAGCGGGAGCTGTGCGCGCTGTGGAAGGCTTCTCGAGCGAGGCGAGAGAGGACGGAAAGCGACAGCAAGCGGCCGTCCCTTCTCGACGCGAGCGCTCTACTACCGAAAGAGAGCGACATGTCTTCGCCGGGTCAACAACTGGCGGCGAGACGAGGCCAGTCGCACCTTCGGCGCAAGGTCCGCGGAGGAGAAGGAGCGAGAGTCGCCCACAGAGAGCTCGACGTCGCACCTCGCTCGCAATCCCGCACAACGATCAAGATGCAGCGCGCCACTCGCACCCTCAGCACCGCCCTCCCGACCCTGCGCACCCGCACCCGCACCGTCGCCTCGTCCCCCGCCCTCCTCTCCTCGATCCTCGCCGCGCCGCAGCGCTCCTTCACCGCCGCACCGGCACGACGGGACGCGAGCCCGAGCGCACCTGAACCGGCACACGAGGCGGCACCACCGAAGCTGGCGTACTTTGTGCCCCGGACAGCTCACGGCGAGCTCGTGAGCCCTCCTCTCCTTCATCTCATCTCTCGACTCTCGTCCTCGCCCTCGAGCTGACAGAGGTCAACTGTGCGCACAGCCCGTCTACACCGACTACAAGAACGGCGGCTCGCGCGTGCTCACCATCGTGCGCAAGGCGCAGGGCAACGTCGAGGTGCGCCCGCTTCTCTCTCCTGCAGCTCGACCCGGGGCCGACAGCTCACACTCTCGCCTCGTTCCCCCCGCGCAGGCTCTCCGCTCCGACCTCGCCGAGTACCTCACGGCGCCGTCGCTCACCAAGCCGGCGCAGGGGCAGGTCGTGTTTGTCGGCGACTGGGTCAGGGAGACCAAGGAGTGGCTCGCCGCGCGGGGGTTCTAGCGGCGTCGAGCTCTTCCCGAGGCATGTAACGCAGAGAGCCCCTTTGTATTCGAGTGCATGACCGCGCCCGAGAGCTGTGCGGCAGAAGGAGAGCGCAGGACGAGCAAGCGACTCTCGCGTTCTCCGCCTCGGCGCAGGATCGTGCGAGCGCTACCTCGAAGGGCCCGCCTGAACGGGCCCCGACAACGAGCAGACTTCTCGATGGATCGAGTGGGAAGCTGCGCGACCACGAAAAGAGGGCGCTTGGCCAGCGCTGTAGAGCTCACGAGCCTCCCGTGCTGCTCTTCCTCTCGCGCCGGCAGCCTCTCTCGCTTTCCCTCTCGAGACGATCTCGCAACAGAGAGAGAGAGAGAGAGAGAGAGAGAGAGAGAGAGAGAGAGAGAGAGAGAGAGAGAGAGAGAGAAAAAAGGAGCTGCGTTGCTGCTGGACGACGAGCGCGCTTCGAGAGGGAGAAAAAATGAGAGGGAGGGAGGACTAGCACAGACAGGGATGTCGAGGACGAGAGAGGGCGAGAGAGAGGGAGAGAGGGAGGGGCGTATAGAACAATGGATGATGGGGTGGGTTGTGAACGAGAGAGGGCGAGGGTGGTGGGGGGAACAGGGTGCGAAAAGCGAAGGGGGCGAGGGAGAGAGAAGGCGGGACGCGCGAGGCGGCCGTGCGCGAGATTAAGTGCGGGTATGCGGCACGGCCGAGGCGCGTCGAGAGGGGCTAAGGGAGGTGCGGGAGCCTAAGCTGAGGGGAGGGGAGGGAAAGTCGTGCGCGCGCTCAGTACGTCGTCGAGCCGGCGCCGATCGTGTAGTTCTGCAGACGCACGAGGCGGGTCAGTCGTCGTCGTCCACGAGAGAGAGAGAGAGAGAGAGAGAGAGAGAGAGAGAGAGAAAAGAGAGAGCGCGAGACGCACGTCCCACTCGTCCTCGGTCACCATCTGCCACGCGGCGTAGATCAAGCCGATCGTGACTGTCTCGAGGAGGGTGCCGATCCACGAGCCGTCAATCTTGGCGTTGGTGCCGGTGCAGATGCGGTGGCTGAGCGCGAGCTGCGCCGCCTGGCCGAGCGCGAACGCGAACGCGGCCGCGAGGAGGGTGACTGCGCGAGGGAGGCGACGAGGTCAGTCTCCTGGGAGGGGGTCCGAGCGGAAGGGAGGAGGCGAGACAGGGCGACGCACAGAGCGGCTTCTTCTCCTTGAGGACGCGAACGACGACGCCCGACTGGATGAGGAAGTAGATGAGGGCGGCGGCGCCGGGGAAGACGATCGTGAGCGAGAAGAGCCACGCCGAGTAGAGGTTCTCGGCCGGCGACGACTGGAAGTAGTCGGTGATAGTGAGGCCGATGTCGGCCCCGATGTAGCCCGAGCCGACGGTGAGGACGGTGCCGATGGCGAACATGGGCTGCGGGCGCGAGGAAGGGAAGCTCGAGTCAGTCGGGGCGGCTCGGGGAAGAAGATGAGGGAGAAGGGGACGCACGATGAGCGACAGGAGGGTGCCGTCCTCGACAATCTGGAGCGACAGGAACGAGCACCACAGGAGGACCCAGAAGAGGCCGACGAGGAGGCCGACGTGCACCGCCGTGACCCTGTTTGCGCGCGCCGAAGAGCAGGGTCAGTTTCGGGCCCTTCTCGCGGCGGGATGGGGGGACCGAGGGAGGGAGCGAGAGACGCACCAGGTCAACGCGAGGCTGCCTGCCCTCAAGAGGGCCGAGTTGTCGGCGAGCTGGGCGCCCTGGACGAGCGCGTACATGACGAAGAGGACCGTGTACTCGACGCGGCCGACGGCGGCCGTGCGGCGGAGGGCGGCTGCTGCGAGGCCGAGACCGACGAGGACGGCGAGACCGCAGCTGTGTGAGGCATCGAGTGTCAGTTCGTCTGGCAAGACGCGGGTCGCGAGCAGGCGGGGCAACGACGCTCGACGAGGCGCGACGACGTCCCGCCCTCGCTACGGTCGGCAGCATTCAGAACGAGGCGACGCACAGGATGAGGTTGGCGATGTTGCCGAGGTAGCCATCCTGGCCGCCGACAAAGCTCGCGCGCGGGATGTAGCACTCTGCGTTGACGCCGACGCCATAGTTGCGCAGGGCCGTCTCGAAGTCGGGGCTGGCGGCGTCGGGGAGGCCGAGGAGCTGGGTCGCCGGTGCGGCGAGGTTCTTGGGGTGCTTGAGGAGCTGGCGGAAGAAGAGGTTGCACGACGGCATCGAGGGGATGAGTCGGCAGACCTGCAAGGACGAGGACGAGGGGGTCAGTCGGCGGTTCCTCGTGCCCCGGCAGCTCAGTCCTGCTCGCCAGTGCGTGCGATGCACTGCGACACGCTGTAGAGAGTCTGGCGCGCCCCCCTCGACCCAGTTGTTGGCCGCTCGGCGCTCGATCAAACACCCGACCCCAGATGGACTCGCATCCAGCTCGACCGCGCCCTGTCGCCCAGCGCACGCCAGAAGAGAGAGGGAGAGGGGTCTCACGTCGTCATAGCGACCATAGCCTTCGAGGATGGCCATGCTGGAGGTCGGGGCGGGTGTCGAGGTGCGAGAGAGAGACGAGGCGGCGAGGTCGAGCGACGCGAGGCGGTGGACGGGCGCGGGGGCGAGGGCTCGAGCGGGCTGTGGGCGGACTGGCTGGGTGGCTGAGTGGCGGTGGTGGTGGTGGTGCGCTGCTCGGTACAAGACGAGAGGCCGAACTGGGGAGGGGAGCGAGAGAGAAGCGGGAAGGTGAGCGACTCTGGTCCTCCTCGTCCAACTGATCGACCAAACCCCGCTCGCATCGGCTCCGTCTCGAGCAGGACGGTCTCTGCGACTCACAGGTGCTCGTGCGACTGGACTGTAGACCAAGGCGAGCGATGCAGCCAACAGACGACTCGACGTCGATCCCTCGAGAGCAAAGCGTCATGCGCATCGCTTGCCTGTTTCAGCTCCCCTCTCGTTGCTCTCTGCCCGCAGCTCCCTCCGTTGCCTCGCCCGGCTCGCCGCAAAGAGCCAAGACACGCACTGCACTGCATCGAGAACCTGGGGCCTCTGGCCGGCTCGCTCACTCACGACCGTCCTCCCTCGCCCTGGCTCTGCTCGCCGCCCTCGCCGCCCCTCCCCGACCCGCACGCGCCGTGCGACGCCGTGTCGGCACCTGCACCCGCCGGCGACAGCGCGGCAGGAGGCGGCACGCGCACCTCGAGGTTCTGCGGGCGAGAGCGAGGAGGAGGAGGGAAGGGGAAAGAGGGGTCCGAGCAACGGCGTCAGTCTTCGTCGCTGTCGAGGAGAGAGAGAGAGAGGTGGGGCGCACCTGCACAAGGTCGAGCCACACGTCCTCGAAGCCCGGGAACCGCGACGGCGAGCGCAAGTACTCGAACACCTTGCGCATCTGCGGGCCGGCGCGCACCTCGTTCTGCGAGTCGGGGCAGCGAGTCAGCTCTCTGCGTCCACGAGAGACAGAGAGGGAGAAAGAGAGAGAGAGAGAGAGGCAGGACGCACCCACTTCTCGAGGAGAAAGTTGACCTCGACGCGCCGGATCTCGTCGAACCGGCTCGAAAACGACCCAAACACCTCGTACACGATCTGCGGGCGCGCTCGCAGTGAGTCAGGGTCGCCTCGCACAGTCAAAACAAAGAGAGAGAGAGGGACGCACGTTCTGCGCCGTCAAGCTCGACACGACGTGGTCGTACGCCCGCTCCTTGAGCTCGACGAGGCCCATCTTGTCCGCGAGGCGGTAGATGGCCTTTGCGCTTGCGGGCCCGACCTGCGCGCTCTTGACGCTGCCGGCGCCGCCGGCGTGCCCGTCGACGGCGAGCGACGGCGAGGGCGAGGGCGCCTGCGCGGCAAGGAAGGCGCGCCGAGAGGCGTAAGGGAAGGGGAGGCCCGACGACGAGGCGTGGTCCTTGGCGATGTAGTAGGTCGAAGCGAGGGGCGAGAACGAGATCGAGTCGGTGTACAGGAAGTGGAGCAGGGCGCGGAAGGTCGAGTACCTGCCGGCGACGAGGTCAGTGCGCGCGCTCGCTTGAGATCAAGTGAGAGGAGGACGCACGCCGCGTCCGTCACGACGACCTCAAACCTTGGCCTGTCGTCCCCCCTCGCGCCCCTCGTCGACTGCCTCGCCGCCTTCCTCGGCTCGACCCGCATCGCCCGCGCCGGGCTCGCCGGCGCGCTCGTCGGCGCGTCGACAAACCGGCTCGTGCCCCCTCGCGGCGTCGACGGCCGGTCATGCGGCTCCTCGTCTTCCTCCTCGTCGTCGTCGTCCTCCTCCCCATCGTCCTCGTCGCCATCGCCACGCGCTGCACCCGGGTCCTGCGCCGACGAGGTGCCGTCCCCGCTCGCGGCCGGCGGCGGCGGCGAGCGCTCGTCGTCCGACGGCTCCTCCATCGACGACGTGCGGGAGCGACGTGGCGCCTCGGGCCGACGAGGTGATGCGGCGGGATGCGCGTTGACGAGGGGTGCGGGTGCGGCTGAGGAGGAGGCGGCCGCGAGTTGGGCCGGAGGTGGCCGGGGCGGGGTCGACAGGGCGACGGTCGCGCCCAGCGAGCGAGCTGCGGGGCTGCTGCCCTCGTGCGTGCTCGCGGCACGATCGTCGTCCAGGCTCGGGTCGTCCTCGTCGCTCTCGTCGATGCCCGAGTCGTCGTCCTCGTCGCAGCCGTCGTCCGACTCGTCAAGGTCGTCCTCGTCGCTCTCGCTCGGCGCGTCGAGGAGCCTGTCGGAAGAGCGTAGAGGGTGAGGCGCCGTACTGGTGGTGGTCGGGGTCGGGCGCGAGTCGCGGCGCGAGGTCGACGGGCGGGTCAGGGTCGCCTCGGAAAAGGCCGACGAGAACACTGCGCGCAGAACAGGACGCCTCGTCAGGACACGGCGCTTCGAGCGAGAAGATGAAAGAGCAGGACGCACTCGTGTCGAAGTACTCGCTCCTGCCGGCGAGGACCTTCTTGGCCGCGTACAGCCGCTTCTCCCTCCTCCTCGGGCCCGACCCGCCGTCGAGCCGGTCTGGCCGGATGCGGAAGACGACGTCCGAGTAGTCCGGGTCGTCGAACAGCGAGGCGTAGGCGTGGATGAGCGTCTTGGGGACAAGGAGGTGCGGGAGCGGAGGGTTCGAGGGGAGGGTCGGGGCGGACACGATCGTGCACACGATCAACAAGGCATCCTGCGAGGGGCACGAGGATGTCAGTGCGAGGTAAAGAGGACGAGGGACGAAGCGACGCACTGCTGCACGCGTGTTGGGGTTGTTGTAGAACGCCTGGGAGGGAAAGGACGCCGTCAGGACCGGGCGGGCGCACGCAGTAAAAGGGGGACAAGGACGCACCGCGTTACGAGTCAGGTAGCTCGCATAGCCCCAGTTGCGCTCGCGGTACCAGAACGTGTGCGGCTTCTCCGACTCGAGCTGCTTGAACGTGACCCGGCGGTCGACCGAGCGGACCTGCGCGACGCACAGACCCTGTCAGCGCCGCGCCCGGTCGAGAGCGAGGGAGAGAAACGAGGACGCACCTCAAACGTGAAGAGATACTTGCCGTCCCGTCGCCACGGCACGCGCTCCTTCTCCTTGCCGCCCGGGTGCGCGTGAGCGCCGTCGTTGGCCGACAGCGACGGCTGCTCGGCTAGCGCGCGCTCCTTCTCGGCGACGGTCGGCTCGCACGACAGGTAGATCGACAGGTACTGGTCGTTGCCCGAGTTCTGTTCGAGGGCAAGCATGTCAGTCTCTGGCGGCGGGGGGGTTCGGCAGGTGGAAGAGGAGGAGGAGAGAACGGACCGGGTACAGGAAGATCTGCCAGCGCGACTGGTCGAACAGGGCCGACTTGATGCACTTGCTCTTGGTGTCGCCCTTGGTCTGGTCGAAGAGCTGGCGCAGGTTGCTGACCTTCCACTCGAGCTGGACCTGCAAGACGAGGGCTCTCAGCGCGGGTGCTCCTGTCCCCGAGGGGCTGCTCAATCCGGGTGCGTGTAGAAGACGAGTGTACGCTGCGGTCACGCAAGCTGGGCTAGTCTGCAGGAGGCGCGAGAGGTGAGCGAGGGCTCGGTGAACGGCGGGAGGGACGAACGGGGAGGGACGCACCTCACACGTGCGCAGCCAGCCCTCTGCAGCAGCTGCCCGCCCTTCCAAGCCCTGCTCGAGCGGGACGGGACTGCGCCCACCACTGCACGAGCGCGTGGGCGACCGTGGTGGTCGTGTGGGGCGGGAAGGGGGGGGGGTTCTCGAGGCGAGGGCGACGCACAGAGCGGGTCTCGAGGAATTCCGAGGTGTCGAGTGATGGTGCTGCTACTGCTCTTGCGGCGCTGGCAGCCGAGGCCATGGCGACGGCTGTGGGTGAGAGCGAAGGGACGGCCGTCACCGAGCGAGTCGTTCGAGGCGGCTCGCTCTGCGAGCGCCCTCTCTGCAAGAAGGACAGACGACAGAGTATTACAGAGTGCAGAGTAGCAACAGAGGGGGCGCGACAAGTGAAAACAGACGAGGGCGAGGGTACAGTCGACGCCGACATGCTCGAGGCGCGCCCTCCTCGCACCTCCTCTGGCGCAACGTCAGGCAAACGAGGCCATCGAGAGCTCCAGCGAGATCACCAGAGCCAGCCCTTCTTCTTGGCCGGCGCCTGCTCCTCGCCCGAAGCCGCCTCGCCCGCGGCGACCTCCTCCTTGGCCTCCTCGACCGCCTTGTCGACCTGCGCCTCGGCCGCCTCCTTGTCCTCGACGCCGACAGCCGCTCCCTCCCCGCTTGACCCCGCCGCCGACTCAGCCGCCGCACCCGTCGGCGCCTTCTGCGTCACCTTCTCGGCCTCCTCGTAGCTCTCGACGACTCTCGCCTCGCTCATGACGCGGTGCTCGTCCTCGGTGAGGGGCGCCTCGTCCGTGTCGAGCGGCTGTGCGCTGATCGAGGTCGAGTGGAGGAGGACGAATGGGTAGAAGACGAGGATCTGGCGAGGGACAGGGTCGGGGTGGAAGAAGGTCGGGGCGGCCGTGCGCGTCTCGAGCTCGGGCTGTGGAGGAGGTCCAGGACGGTCAGTCACGGACGCCGAACAAAATAGAGACGAGTGGAAGAAAGAGAGAGGGACGCACGCCGCCGGCGATGCGCAGGACCGGGTTGTCCGCGGTGCGGTACTCGTTGAACTTGGTCTTGAACGACAAGCGCTTGAACGCCTTGGCGAGAGCCTGCGCGCGAGGAACAAGGTGATCAGGCAATGCGTTCGAGGAGCGAGAGAGAGAGCGGGCGAGGGCGCACCTTGTCCGTCGCGGCGTGGCCCGTCTCGCACTTGAGCACCTTCTCGAGGTCGTGCCCGGTGACGTCGACCTCCTCGAGCTTCTTCTCCTTCTTGACGCGCCGCACCTTGGCCGCCTCCGACTCGCCCTCGATGAGGTGCGGACCCTCGCCCGCCGCTGCCGCGCCGCCCTCGGCCGCGCCCGCTCCGCCGGCCCGAGCGAGGTACCGCACGACGTGCTGCTGGACCTTGTCGGGCGTCAGGCGCTCGCCAACGAGGTCCTTGGCGGCATCGGCGAGCTTGCCCTTGACCTTGCCCGCGCCAGGAACGCGGCTCGCCTTGGCCGCAAAGCCCGCCGCCGCCGCAGCGGTCGCGGCGGCGCTCTCGGCGGCGCCGGCGGCGCCGCTCGCGATGCTGCTCCCGATCGACGTGAGTGACGCGAGGGCGGTGCCGCCGGCCGCGACGGCGACGAACGGGATGGCGAGGAGCGACGTGACGGCGACGGCCGGGCCGGTGACGGCGAGGACGGGCCAGGTCGTCGACCAGGCGTTGTAGGCGGTCGACGGGGCCGTGTAGGGGCGGACCTCGAGGCTGAACCACAGGTTGGCTGCGAGGGGGGACCGAGTCAGTGCCGGTCCACGTCGAGTCGAGGGAGGAGGTCGTGGACGGCGGCGACTCACGGACACGACGCTCGAAAGTGGACTCGGGCGCGAGCACCTCGTAGTAGAGCGGACCGCTGCGGACATCTCGAGTGTCAGTAGAGTGTCGGCGAGGCGCCGAGGCGAGGAGAGCTGGGACGCACACTTGGCAGAGGGCGACGTTGAGCGGGATCTGGGTCTCGTTGGTGACGGACCACGCCTTGGCGAGCCACTGGTCCTTGCTCGACTGCGACATCTGGCCGGCCTTTTGGCTCGCGGTCCGGCTCATCTCGTTGAAGCGCTGCTTGGACGACTTGCCGAAGGTCGACAGCTGGTCCTGGGCAGTCGCGACGGCGGTGGCGGCGGCAGACGAGGACGGCAGCCTCGACGAGACGGCGTTGGGGAGCTTGGCGGCGATGCCGTCGTACGTGGCCGTCCACGCAGGGGTGCTCTGCGCCTGGACGTCGGTGTCGGCGACGGCGGCGTCAGAGATCGCCGGGTCGGCGGTGGGAGGAGGAGGGGTTTGAGCCATGGCGGTCGAGCTGTGAGGGCTAGGGCGGGTCAATCGAGGTGTCACAAGGCCTGTACGAGGGTGTGGGGCGAGGGGACGCACTCGTGCGAGAGGCGTAGAGGGTGGGAGACGTTTCAGCTGATGAAGTCCAGACGGGGAGGAGGACGGCGACGGCGGCCGCGCTCGCTCGTTGCGGGTGGCGAGGGTCGTCTAGGCGGGTGTGTGGAACGCTCTAGCGGGTGTATGCCTCTGCAGGCGAGAGCGAGAGGGTGTGGGTCGGCGAGAGCTGCGCCCTCTCAACCTCGTCACCGCCTCTTTCCTCTCGACCGCTCACAGCTCGAGCAGCTATCAGGGCAGCTTGCAGCTTCACGCCAGTCGCGCTACAGGGCCGCACACGCTGCAGAGCCATGCACCGGTCGTCCCACCGTCCGGCCTTCCACCTTCCTCCCCTACGAGCGGCGATCGTCCTCCGCTCCTCCCGCTGCTGGCGACCTGCGCCGACAAGGTGTCGGGCGAGCCCGCCGACTGGCTCGTGGACTAGCGGAACCTTGCCTCCCCACGCTCCACCCGCCAATGGCGCCGGTCGCACCCAGCGGAGAGTTGCGGGCGGGCGGAGGAAGGCCGGGCCTCGCCTCGCGCGACCACCTTGATCGGGCCGTGCCAGCTCAGCTGGCAGGCGCTCGCCTTGCGGGAACGGTGCGGCGATGGGCTTCCGCGCGCGAGGGAGAATCGCCGGTTGCTCAGCTTCGACCTGTGCCCCCCACCCTTCTCGCCGGCCTCCCCTCGCTCGAACCCAAAATAAGAGCTCCGCAAGGCCCGCTCACCGCGCTCCACCTTCTTCCGCGCAATCACTTCCAGGACGCGAGTCCCACGACGGCCGCCTGTCGGCCGCTGCGCTCGATTGCTCGAGCCCCCCGCGCTCCTGCTCGTTCTGCGCTTGTGGCCCCAGTTCTCCTCTCTCTTTCCCCCACTCTCCCTCGCCCCTCTCTCCCTCTCCCACCACCACCCCCAGCGACAGCCAGCCATGCCTCGCTTCGCAGAGAAGGACGAGACCATCCCGGCGCAGCAGGTCGAGTACGCCGACGCTGAGGCGGGCGCCGGTCACTACGACGGCGCGTCGCTCGCCAACTACACGACGACCAACACCGAGAAGGCGGGCTCGTCCAAGTATGCCGACTCGACCATCGGCCTCGAGCACGTCAAGGCCGCCAAGGTTAGCGAGCGCAAGCTCGTGAGGAAGCTCGGTGCCTCCTCTTCTCCCTCGCGTCCTCTCCCCTTCCCTCGACGCGACACTGACCGTTTCCCTGCCTCACAGACGCCGTCATCCTTCCCCTCGCCGTCCTGCTCTACCTCTCGGCCTACCTCGACCGGTGCGTCCACGTCGTCGACCTTCTCAAACCGCCCTTGGTCCTCGTACTGACCCCTCACTCTCTCTCTCACAGCGGTAACCTGGGCAACAGCAAGATCATGGGTATCGAGGAGAAGGTCCTCAAGGGCGTCGACGTCCGCTACTCAATCGCGCTCTCGTAGGCCCACCTTCCACCTTCTCGATCCTCTGCCTCTACCACCTCGCGCCCCTCCTCCCGAGCCGACATGTCCTTCTACCTCGTACACGTGCTTCCAAGCGTGCACGGCTCCGAAAAGCAGCCAACTGACTCGCTCTGCGCCGCCTCGCAGCTGTTTCTTGTGCGCCCACCTTCCACCTTCTCGATCCTCTTCCTCCTCCCGCCTCGTGCCCCTCCTCCCGAGCCGACACGACCTTCTGCCTCGTGCACGTGTACCGAAGCGTGCACGGCCCCGAGAAGCAGCCGGCTAACTCGCTCTGTGCCGCCACCTCGCAGCATCACCTACATCATCCTCTCCGTCCCCGGCACTCTCCTCGCCAAGCAGTTCCTCCCGTCTACCACCATCGCTTGTGGCGCCCTGATATGGTCGGTCGCTGCTACGTGCCAGGCCGCTGTCACCAACCCGGCTGGCCTTTACGTCTGCCGCCTCTTCGTCGGCGTTGGCGAGGCCTGCTTTGGCCAGGCGATGGCTCTTTACTTCACCATGTGGTGTGCGTCCCTTCCGGCTCTCAGACTCGTACAGGACCTCGTACTGACCGTCCTCGACGACCCGCAGACACGCGCAAGGAGCTCTCGAAGCGCATCGGGCTGTTCATCAGCGCCGGCGCGCTCGCCGGCGCTTTCTCGGGCCTCATCTCGTACGGCGTCGCCAAGATCAAGACGGAGAAGCTCGAGCAGTACACGATCCTGTTCCTCATCGAGGGCCTCCCGTCGTTCATCCTCGCCGTCGTCGTCTACTTCTGCCTCCCGTCCCGCCCGGAGCAGAGCAAGTACCTCAACGAGGAGGAGCGCACGATCGCCTGCACGCGCCTCAACGCCGACCAGCAGGGCGGCGAGGTCCCGGGTATCGACTGGAGGGCCGTCCGTTACACGCTCGTCAACTGGCGCACCTGTGCGTCCTCCTTCCTTCTCTTCCTCGCCTTCCTGCCCTCTTCCTTCTTCTCGAGACTGACCTCCCCTCTCGTCCATTACAGACGTCGTCGCTGTCGCCTACTCGGCCATGAACCTCGGCCTCGGCTCGGTCTCTGGCTTCCTCCCGACCATCGTCAAGGTGCGTCCTCGCTCGACTTTCTCTCTCAGGACCGACGACGGCATCTGACCAACGTTTCTCCTCTCGCAGGGTCTTGGCTACTCGAACGCCGACGCTCAGCTCTACACCGTCCCGCCGTACGCCGTCGCCCTCGTCGTCAGTGAGCCCGACCCTCCCTCCTCGTACTCGGCGCACGGACCCTCCCTGACGCCCTGCCCTCGCAGTGCTCATGTTCTGCACCTACTCGGACCGTTATCAGACGCGCGGCATCCCCGTCATGTGCGTGTTCGCGATCGGCATCGTCGGCTGGTCGCTCCTGCTCGCCGTCGACCCGGTCAAGGCGACCGCCTCGGAGCTCCACGTCCGCTACTTTGCCGTCTTCTGCGTCGTCTCGGCCGCCTACTCGGCCATCCCTCTCAGTGCGTCTCGCCGTCCTCAACCTCGTGATCGTCGTCCTTCTGTCTGCGTCCGTCGCTGACCTCGTTCGCCTCCTCCCCTCGCAGTCATGTCGTGGCAGGCGGGCAACTCGGCGTGCGAGACTCAGAAGGCCGTCTCGCTCGGCATGCTCAACTCGGTCGGCCAGTGCCTCTCGATCCTCGCGTCGTTCCTCTTCCCCAAGTCCAAGGGTCCGCGCTACATCAAGGGCGCCTCGCTCAACATCGCCTTCCAGGCGCTCGGCCTCTTCATCGCCCTCGGCATGACCCTGTACTACCGCGCCGAGAACAAGCGCCGCGACCGCGTCGAGGGCGGCCGCCTCCCCAAGGGCATGAAGCCCGAGAACATGATGGTCGACTACGACCTCGCGGTCGGCTTCCGCTACACTCCCTAAGTGGCCGACCGTCGCGCAGGTCGCCTTGGTCGTCCCGGCGTCGTCTCGGTCGGTTCGGCGTCTCCTCGAGGGTCTTCCTCAGCAGGAGCGACGTCGCTGTACCCGTGGTCGTCGTCGGTTCATGTCGAGGAGGGTTCGTCGGGCTCTGTGGGTCTTGGTTGTTGCGGCACGGTCCGCCTTTCGTCTGTGTATGCCCCTTGTGTTGAATCAAAGTCCTCTCTCTCTCACTTTGTGCGGCGCCGAGAGCGGAGCGCGAGCGAGAGCGAAACGAGCCAGCTCTCGAGGTGTGAGAGCGGCTGGCTCACGGCAGACTTGCTGCCTTCTTGCTCGGCTCCAGGCTAGCTACAGCGAGCCAGAGTCCATCGGTGCTGCGCACATGGCCCACGATGCGGGTGCGGTCGCGCTGGACGCCGCCTCCTCTCACGATCTTCATCAGCTCCTCGTGGTTCTCGTCCTCCTCTTCCCTCACTGCATCGCTGCTCGAACCCGAGTCGTCACAGCTACCGCACAAGCCCATCTGACACCGCCCCGCACCTACACACACGGCCTCGCCCGCCCACTAGTCGACCTCGCCCCCCACCTTCCCCTCCGCTCAACCTCGCACCCACCAGCACTCGCCACCGAGCACTTGCAGCCCTGTTCTCCGTCTTCAGCAACCCCCAGACCCGGCACCAGCACCCCATGGCCGACCCTCGCATCCCCGACAGCTCCATCCCGAGCGCCGTCTCGTCGCCGGCGTCATCGCTCGTCGACCAGGCCCCCAATGCGACGTACCACATCGTCGAGCGCGTCAAGGGCGACCAGCAGGTGCGTCACTGCACTCACTGTACCTCGAGCGCCCAAACCTGACCTTGCCGAGCCACCTCCCGCAGGTCGAGCTGTGCCGGGTGGGCGGCGACGGCGCACGAGGGAGGGAGTGCGTGCAGATCGCAGAGGACGTTACCAAGGTGCGCCCGTACAGCTCTCTCACACTCTGGAGGCGAGCGTAGGCTGACAAGCTTGCCTCCCGTCCGATCCCTCCCCTCTCGCCTCCTCGACCACCTCTCTCCCCCACTCTCCCTGCGTCTACTCCACATGCTACCAAAATCACTCGTTACTGCGCACGGCCACTCGACAGGTCTTTGCCTTCATGCAGAAGCAGGGCTTCTTCTGCCAGCTCCCCTTTGACCCGACCCACACCGAGATTGGTCCGTCTCCTTCTCTCTTTCCCCTCCTCTCTCCCCGACGCCTCGTGCTCACGTCTCTCTCGCGCTCGCAGAGTGCATCCGCATCAACAAGATCATCGCCCGGCAGTCCTAGATGCGCGACGGCGTGCGCAGGAGAACGAGCTCGAGACGACGTCGACGAGTCGAAAGAGGACGGCGCTCTCGCCGGCAAGAGCGCCTTGTACACTACTGCAACTCTGCACCCTGTTCCTCTCTCATCTTGTGCGCGCGCTGTCGTCGCGTGGGCGACTCGAGAAGCGCAGAGAGAGCTCGCTCGAGACGAACGAGCGACGAACCTGGTCAAGCACCAAGCGCGACGAGATCTTCGTCGTCGCGGCAGGCTCTCGCTCTCGCTCTCGCTCGACGTGCGCATCGATGAGTTCGACTGCTTTGCGTCGCATTCCACGCTCGCCTCGCTCTCAGACCTCCATGTCGTACGCGAGCACGTCTGTGAGAGCAAGCCGGGTCAGGTTCTGGGCGCTCGTCGCACGAGAAAGAGAGAGGCTGGACGGCTCACCGGCGACGTAAGGTTTGAAGAGCGTCTTGAAGTCCTCGTGCACCTCGTGGGCGATGTAAGTCGAAAGCGCCTCCTCCGACTCCATCTCCGAGTAGAGCACTGCACGGCGCAAGAGTGTCAGCTTGCGGCTCGGTGCTGCCCCTCGGCCGTCTCTCAGGGCAAGGGATGGAGGTCGTGGAGCCGACGAGGCAGTCGAAGAGGGAGGTGGAGCCGAGGAGGACGCCAAAGAGGAGGAGGGACGAAGAGAGGGAGGGGGAAAGGCGGGACTCACTCGCCTGCCAGCCCTGGCTGCGGGCCTTGGTGCTCTCGAGAGGCTTGTTGAGCTCGACACGCTTCAAGCCGGGGATCTTGCCGACCATCTTGAGGCCCTCGGGTCGCAGAGTGCCCTCGATGAAGTCGGCCGGGAGCTGGTCGTTGAACTTGAGGAGCACGACGTGGATGATGGCGGGCATGGTCGTGGTCGGTGCTGAAGAGTGTACTGCTGCTGCTGAAGAGGTGGAAGCTGGGCTCAGGTGCGAGAGAGCGCGAGTAGACGAGGAGAGGCCGGCAGGTGGGGACCGGCGAGCGGTTACCGCGGAGGAGCACGGCTGAATACAATCCCTTTGTATTGCGCAGCGCGCTATTCGAAAGCTAATCGCGCTAGCGCCTCCCCGAGCGGACCGAAGCTTCTCGGTCACACGGGCTCATCTCTCTTTCCTTCCTCCTCTTCCATCAACCCTCGCCCGTCTCTCAAGGTGTGTCCACACATCCTTCGAGTCCCTACCTGCGTCGTGCGAGTGTGCACGCCCTGACCAACGCCGTCCTCATCGCTCTGCAGAGTCTCGAAACCTTCGAGCCCCACTTGCCCCTCCGACCTCATCATGTGCGTCGCGCAGCCCACGCCCAGTCCTGCAGGCCGCTCGCTGACCCTCGTTGTACCCCATGCTACAGGACCCGCTCGCAGCACAAGACCAAGGAGGCGATGCACAACGTCACGTCCAAGTGTGCGTCCTCCTTCCTCCCTCCCTTCTCGCTCGCCCGCCTCGCCCTTTTGCCTGGGTCTCTCGACTCGCTGACATCACGCCATATGCAACAGACGCTGGCTCGAAGAAGAATGGCCACGGTACGGCCAACTGGGGCAGCGAGAACGAGGTGCGTCGCCGTCCCGCCCTCGTTCTCAAGTTCCCGTTCCATGCGCCTGACTCGCGCTCTCCTCGGCCCGTGCAGGACATCCTCGAGGGTATCTTTCTTTCTTCGCGTCGTTCGAGCGCCTCAGGGACGCATCCTGACCCTCGCACACGCAGGCATCGCCCTCGCCCGCTCGAACGACTTCGTCTCGCACTCGCCCGCCGAGATGGGTGCTCACAAGGTGCGTCCCACGTTCTCTGTGCACAAGGAGACGAGTCTGACCCCTGTTCCTGCGACACAGCTGTCGATGTCGCCGCCGACGTCGCCCTCGCTCGCGACGGTCGCCGACAAGGAGCTCAAGCCCACCGACGATTCGTCTGCCGCCTAAGCCTCTCTCAACTCGCGCGAGAGCCTCAACGTCCATTTGTACAGCCCCTCCTGACGCCTCGAATGCAGTGAATTTCGTCCTTCGTGCGGGCGAGCGGTTTGAGAAGGTCGACGACGTTCGCGCTCGACTCTCGCTTCAGCTTCTCGCTTCAGCGCACGTGCTGCAGATCTGCCGCGCTGAAGCGGCGGACAGGGGACGGACCGGCGCCGGCGCCTTGACGGACAGGAGACATCCGCGGACCTCCCGGCGCCGCCGAAGCTCGTCCGCCGCTCTCGGCTCCCGGCTCAGCCTCGCTCGGTGGCTTTGCTTCTGCCTTCAGCGCTGCACATGCCCACCATTCTGCTTCGACGCATGCTGGAGGGCCGCACGGTGACGCAGGACGCCGGCGAGCGCATTCAGGACTGGGTCGCGAGGTGCGTGCGCCCGAGGGCTTCTCCTCCTCTCTCGAGCCGGTACTGACACCTCAGCTCCTGCAGTCGCTCGCCCGACTCCGTCTTCGCCATCACCGTCACCTCGTGCTTCGTCGCCTTCCTCGTCGTCGCCTCGGCCGTCTCGTCCACGGTCCTGCGCTGCCGGTCCTCGCTCGTCCCTCACGACCGCTGGCATCGCCTGCCCGACGGCTCCACTTATCGCGAGCGCGACGACGCCTACACCGGACCCGTCGGCACTCTCGTCCGCGAGGGCCTCGCCGGCGGCGGCGGCGCAGGGCCGGGTACGCGCCGGCGAGGACGGGCCAGGCGCCGACCGACATGCGGCAGGACGCACACGCCATGAGCGGCCGGTACGGCGCCTACGACCCGCCCATGGCGAGCCAGATGGGTTTCCCGGGCCCGCTCGCTCAAGTCGAGATGTTCCCGCCGGCGCAGGCGAGCGTTCGCCCGCAGAGCGTCGGGACGGTCGAGAGCCGGTGGAGCGACCTGACCAAGGTCGGCGACGAGCAGCTCAAGCCCCAGGACAAGCCTGTGCGTCTCTATTCGACCTTCCCTCGACGATGCGCGAGGTCTGACTCTCTCATTCGAGCCCGCAGACGTCGCTCTTCCTGCCAAGCCAGCCGCCGCCTCCCGCACCCGTCTCGCCTCAGCCGTCGGCTGCCTCTATCCCTGTCCCGTTCGCCGCACCGACGAGCGTCCCGATCAAGCACCTCTCGGCGCCGTCGATCAGCAACTCGCTCGCGACCGCCGTCGACCTGCCGCTGCCCGGCTCGCCTCGCACGAGCCCCGCCCCGCCGACGAGCGGCGAATCGGCCTTCTCCACGCCCAAGGCCGCCGCGACGCCTCCCGCGTCATCGCCTCGTGCTCCCGTCGTCGCCGGTCGCCCGACGCACACGCGCGGCGCGTCGAGCGGCGGGTTCAAGCCGCTCGCGCTCTCGTCGAGCGCGCGCTCGCTCAGCAGCAGCAGCGTCCTGTCGGGTCCCGAGCCGCCCAAGGTCGAGCTCAAGAGGACGTGGTCGTTCGGGACGTGGATCCCGCAGCTCAAGGAGGGCAGCGCCGGTACGAGGAAGGAGGACGGCGGGGACGAGGAGGAGCGAGCCGGGTTGGTCGGCCGCAGCTGAGCGCGTTCGAGTTGGGCCTTCCCGTCGTAGATGCCCTGCCATCGAGCTCTCGTTCTGCATGCGCGCGCGTCTGGCAGAGAGGCTACAGCTTGCGTTCGTGGTCGTCGGCGAGGTTCGCCGTGAAAAGGCGACTGTCTGCCCTCGCTCGCCCGCTCGTGCGAGCTCCTCCGCCCGGCGCATGAAGCTACTGTCCGTCGAGCCAGCTACAGAGCGCGGCCACTCAGAGTTGAGGCGGTGCACGCTCCGCGCGAGACGGCCAAGTCGCCACCGGCCTCGCTGTCTCCTCCCTCACCCAGCTCCGCACGCCCAGCTGCGTGGCAGATCTCGCACGACCGAGCAGCTACACCATGCCGCCGCCGACACCGCAGCTGCGCCAACGACTGCCCCTCGCCCTCTTCCTCCTCGTCTCGCTCGCCCTCCTCGCGTCCACGCTCTTCGCCTCGAGCGCCGAGTACTCGCAGTACGCCGCACTCGACCACGACGACCACCACGAGTCGACTGGCCTGCGCGTGCAGCCCATTGGCAGCTTCGCCGAGGACATCTCGCCCTCGCCCCTGTCGCACGACGACTCGGCGGGGAAGCGCCTTCGAGTCGGCCTCGCCGGCGCAGGCGGCTCCAAGGGCAAGCAGGTCGTTGGCCTCGCAGCAGCCTCGGCCGCCGACGACCTGTCGTTCACCGTCCAGCGCCGCGACGACTCGGCGCCTCACCCGGCGTGGGCTTACGTCCGCAACAAGCTCGACTCGGCAGCATCTTCGCTCGGCGACCTCATCCTCGGCGTGTTCGGCTTCGACGAGGACGACTGGTTCGGCATGGGCGAGTTCGAGGGCGACCCGAGCGAGACGGGCATCGACGGCGGTGGACTCGCGAGCTGGAGCGAGAGCAGCGTCTACGTCGAGGTGCGTCTTCTTTGCCTCCCCTACACGACCAGAACGCCCACTGACACTGCCTTTGCAGCGCACCAACTCGTTGCACCCGTCGCGCCCGTCGTCATTCGGCCCTCACCTCCTCACCGAGCCTCTCCGCGGCCTCCTCTTTCCTGTCGAATCGGTCCTCCCGACCGACGAGTTCGGCTGCAAGGCGCACCCGGTCATCCCGGCGCCCGTCCACGAGCCGTCGACGCCCTGGGTCGCGCTCGTTCAGCGTGGCCACTGCCCGTTCTCGCAAAAGGTCCGCTTTGCGCAGCAGAACGGCGCCATGGCGGTCGTGTTTGGCGACGAGAGCGAGGAGCAGGGCGGGATTAGCGGCGGACACGGCCTGTTGACGCCCTGGAGCCCTGGTGCGTCACGCCCTCTCGTTCCCTCTTCTTCTCAACCGCGACTGACAGCCCTCGTCGCGCCTGCAGAAGATTCGTCCGACATCACGATCCCGTCGACGTTCGTCTCGCGTGCCTCGTACCTGTCGCTGTTGCGCACGTGGCAGGACGAGCAGGACCTCGTCAAGCGTGTCGACGCGCCCGTCGTCGAGCGCTCCCGTCATCGCGACGAGCCAGAGCTCGTCGGCCTCGAGGTTGTCCTGAGTAAAGACGAGGTGTTTGCCTGGTGCGTCCGCCTGTCGCCTTGCCCTACTCGAGTCGAACCTGACTGACCTCTCCTGCCCGCACAGGCCTCTCCTCGACCTCCTCTTCATGCTCCTCTTCCTCCCCTCCCTCCTCACCCTCGTCACCGTCTTTATCCAGCGCATTCGCGTCGCGAGAGCGAGCAAGGCCGAGCGTGCGCCCAAGGACGCCGTCGCCCGCTTGCCCGTCTTTCGGTGGGGCGAGGCCGAGAAGCCCGACACGCCCGCGACGGCCGGCGGCGCGCCGCCGGCGACGACGTTGCGCAACCTCGATCAGGACGAGGAGCGCGAGGTCGGCATCGCGTACGTGCCCGTCTCGTCGGCCGACGAGGACCCGACCGAGGAGACGGCGCTCCTCGCCCACGATGCGGACGAGCGCGCCCATGCGCCCTCGCTCTTCCAGCGCCTCGCCTCGCGCCTCCCGACCTCCTTCACCCGTCACCTCCCGTCGCGCCTGCGCCCTGCCCCGCCGCCGATGCCCCACCGCGCTCGTGCGCGCGCCACTCGCCGGTACCCGTCCCTCACGGAATGCCCCTTCTGCCTGTCCGACTTCGAGGCCGGCGACCTCGTCATGGAGCTCCCGTGCTCGCACGTTTTCCACGCCGAGGAGATCGAGACGTGGCTCCAGGGCCAGAAGGGGATCTGCCCGATCTGCCGCATGAGCGTCCTCGCGCCGCCGCAGGAGGACGCCGTCGTCGGCAGCGCCGTCGCCGCGGCTGCGGCTGCGGCCGAGCACGAGGGGCAGGTCCCTGTCGACGCCGTCGCGCTGCCGGTCAGCGCCACTGCCGTCCTCGTCGAGCCGTCGCGCGCGCCGGCGGGCACGACCGACTCGACGACCGGCGCGTCGCCCGTCGCGAGCTCGAGCTCCGTCCCGCTCGAGGGTGGGCTCGCGCGCTCGTCTGCCGCCACTGGCTCGACAGCCGACTGAGCGCGACGGCGGCGCTCGTGCGCTCCCTTCCTCGCGTCCCCCCTCGTCGTCGTTCCGCCTTTCTCTTTCTGTCGTTGTAGCCAGCTCCCCTCCCCTCGTCCTTCCTTCCCGCCTCCTTTGTCAGTACCCCCTTCTGTGCCTAGTCAAGGTGCCTCGCTGTAACGACTCGCGCTCTCTCTTCACGTCGTGCACAGGCTCACGTGCGGTCTCTCGAGAGAAGCGGCCTCGCAGCCTTGTAAAAGCTAGCGCGCTCTCGGCAGTTGCTCTACCGCTTCGTGCGCGCTCTCAGTCCGCGCTTGCGCAGCCAGAGCAAGGCAGAGTGTCGCGTTCGAGGCGGCGACGACCCGGCTCCACCTCGACTCGTCCACACCGCTCCCGGCTGAGCTCCTTCCTGCGCAAGATGAGCAGACGAGCAGGCACCGCACAAGGCGGCGCAGCTGCTCAGGCGGCGGCCATGGCGGCTCCAGCGGTGCGTCGTCGCTGGTTCCCCTCATCTCGCCCTGCCTGTCCTGAGCGACCACTCGTCCTGGACAGGCTGCCGTGATTATGCGGTGCTGACACAAGGTACTGCACACAGTGGCGGCAGTTCTCGTTCTTCCAGTCGTCGCCGTTCCCCTCGTCCTCCTCGTCCCCCCACCTCGACCTCGTCCAGCAACCCGCGCTCCTGTCGACCGTCCACGCCAACTGCGAGCTCGGCGACGGCATCGTTCTCGCTGCCGACCTCGAGGGCAACCTGCACTGGCTCAACAGCGAGTGGGAGACCGAGCGCTCGTGGACCGCCTACGACCGCGGCCGGGTCCAGCTCGTCGAGAGCGCAGAGTGGGACCTGAGCCGAGGGTGGACCATCGTCGTCACCGTTGGAGTGCGTCTCCTCTCTCTTTGTCTCGGCGTCGCGCCGGACGCAGGTCACTGACCCCTCGACCGCCCGCAGGATGATGCCTCGACGCCGTTCCCCCTCCTCAAGGTGTGGCTCCTCACCCTGCCGCCCTCTTCCTCCTCGTCATCCGCCGTCGAACTCGCCACCGCCGACGCCTCGTCCTCCACCCTCCCCACCCTCACCCTCCTGCGCCAAGCGCCCATCTCCCCGACCCCGTCTCGCCCGTCGCCCATCTCGTCCCTCGCCCTCTCGCCCTCGCTATCGCACGTCGTTCTCGGCCTCGCAGACGGCTCGGTCGTCGCCTTCAAGCGCGTCGTCGACCTCGTCGAGGCGTCGCTCGTCGACCTCGAGGACGCGGCCGCACGCGCGCGAGCGGCAAGCGCACCCGGCGCAGGGTCGTTCGTGCGCAAGAGCGCAGGGTATACGGTCGGCGGCATGGGCAAGCTGCGCGTCCTGTGGGAGGGCAATAAGGAGCCCGTCACGAACCTGGGCATCACGGCCGACGCGTCGGCGGCCGGTCCCTCGTCGTCGTCCGGCGCCGGCCAGACGCTCTTCGTCCTCACGACGTCGCAGATCCTTGCCCTGTCGCTCGACAAGGCGTCAAAGAGCAAGCTGTCGGCCGGCGAGTCGTCGTCGGCGTCGTCGTCGCAGCCTGCCCTTCTCGACGAGCTCGGCGCCGCGGTCGGGTGCGCAAAGGTGCTGCGCCTCGGGCTCGGCAAGGGGGTCGGCGAGTTCGAGGGCGAGACGGCCGAGCGCATGGTCGTCGCGAGGGACGAGGCGATCTATGTGTACGGCAAGGAGGGGCGAGAGGGCTGCTGGGCCTACGAGGGTGCGTCCCGCTTTCGCCCTTTCAGTCGCGAGCACGTTGGCCCACGTCACTGATCCTGGGATGCGGACGACGTGCAGGCCCCAAGTCGTACATCGTCCCGCTCCACAGCGCCTCGGTCGCATCGCCATCCGCCTCCTCCTCGGCGACGTCGTCCCACCTCCTCCCGACGCCGTACCTCGCCATCGTCTCGCCTCCCCAGTCGTCCTCGCTCTCGTCCAACTCGGCCACGATCCGCGCTCATGCCGCACGCTCGTCGCCTGCGCTCGGACCGGCGTCGAGCAGCAACGGCGGCGACGAGCACGTCGCCAAGGTGACCGTGTTCGACCCCGAGAACAAGTTCATCGCGTTTTCGGGCACGTACTCGGGCGACGAGAGCGGTGGAGCGGGTGTGAGGAGCGTTGTCGAGGCGTGGGGCGCCGTCTGGGTCCTCACCGACGCGGGCAAGGTTCGTCCTCGTCGCCCGCTCGGGCCTTCTCTTCCCCGTGTACCCGTCATGACTCGCTCGCCCGTCCCACCACAGCTCTTCCGCCTCACCGAGCAACCGCTCGAGACGTCCTTCTCGACCCTGTTCCAGCGCAACCTGTACACGCTCGCCATCAGCCTCGCGCACAGCCGAGGACTCGGCGGCGACGTGATTGCCGAGAACTACCGGCGGTACGGCGACCACCTGTACGGCAAGGCCGACTACGAGGGCGCCATGGCGGCGTACCTCAAGACGGTGGGCACGGTACAGGCGAGCTACGTCATCCGCAAGGTGCGCTCCCTCTCTCTCTCTCTCGCCTCGTCGCCCTCGCCGTTCACGACGCTCACGTTCTCGCCGTTCCTCCTTGCCACAGTTCCTCGACGCACAGCGGCTGACGCACCTCACCTCGTACCTGCAAGAGCTGCACTCGCGCGGCCTCGCCAACACCGACATCACGACCCTCCTCCTCAACTGCTACACCAAGCTCGCCGACGACGAGGCCCTGTCGCGCTTCATCCACTCGTCGTCGTCGTCCTCGACTGCCTCCTCGTCGTCAAGCTCGCCCTCGCACTCGTCCGACGAGCCGCCGTTCGACCTCGACACGGCGATCCGCGTCCTGCGCCAGGCGGGCTACTTTGCCCACGCGACGTGGCTCGCGCAGCGGTACCGCGCGCACGGCGCCTACCTGCGCATCGCGATCGAGGACTCGGGCGACTGCGCCGGTGCGCTGCGGTACGTGCGCGAGCTCGCGCGCGACGAGGGCGGCAGCGGCGGCGAGGGAGCGTCGGCGGCGAGGGACGAGGCGAGGGAGAGCTTGGCGAGGTGGGGCGGCGTGCTCCTCCAGCGCGAGCCCGAGTTGACGACCGAGGTGCTCGTCGAGGTGTGCTGCGGCGTCGAGAAGGCGCCGGCGCCGGCGCGCGAGGGCGAGGGCAAGCAGGGCAGCAAGGACTCGGTCTCGAAGGACCGCGTCGGCGCGCTCAAGCACGGCCGGGCGGCGAGCGGGTTGCCCACTCGTGGCGGGAGCGCGCCCGCAAAGGCGTTCGACGTCCCGGACTCGGCGTCGGTCGGCGGCGCCTCGTCGCTCGACGGCGCACCAGGTCCTTTCGCCCCGACCGCCGAGCCCGAGTCAACCTCCTCCTCCTCCCTTCCCTCGCCACGCTCCTTCTTCGCCCACTTTGTCGACCGCCCTCGCCACTTCATCTCGTTCCTCGAGCAGGTCGTCGCTCGGCGGTACGGCAAGCCCGTCGACTCGCTCGTCGCGCCGTCGTCCCTCACCGGCGTCGACGCGCCGCTCCCCGCACCGCGCACGCTCGACGTCGACGTGCCGAGGGACGCCGCAGCACGAGACGAGCAGGTCGTGTGGAGCACGCTCCTCGAGCTGTACATCTCGGCGGCGGCGGCGGCGGCGGGCGCGGCAGACGAGCGCGAGCGGGCGCGCCTGCAGGGCATGGCGCTGCGGCTGTTGCGGTGCCAGGACCAGGTGCCGTACGACGAGACGCAGGCGCTCCTCGTGTGCACGACGCAAGGGTTCGAGGAGGGGTTCGTGCTCCTGTACGAGCTCCTCGGCATGTACGAGGACATCGTTCGCTGTGCGTCTCTCTCTCTCTCTCTCGTTCCCTTTCTCTCTCGACGAGCAAAACCTGACCCTTGCACTACAACAGACTGGATCGACGCCGCCACGTCATCGCCCTCGGCGCCCGACCACACGTCGCGCATCGTCCGCGCCGTGCGTCGCTACGGCCCCTCGTGCCCGTCGCTGTACGCTCTCGTCCTGCGGCACCTCACGACGTCGTCGGACATCCTGTCGCGGCACCAGGCCGACCTGCTCGACCTCCTCGACGAGATCGACCGCGACAAGGTCATGCCGCCGATCAAGGTCGTGCAGCTCCTGAGCGCCAACGGCAACGCGAGCGTCGGGCTCGTGCGCGAGTACCTCAAGCGGCAGCTCCTCGCCGAGAAGCAGGAGTTTGACTCGGTGCGTCGCCCGTTTCTCCCCTCTCGTCGAACAAGCGCCTCCCTGACTCGCTCGCCTCGCTCGCCCGCAGGACCAAGCGCTCATCAAGTCGTACCGCACCGAGACGCTCAAGAAGCGGCGCGAGATTGCCGAGCTGTCGGACCCGACCACGCCGCGCATCTTCCAGGTCACGCGCTGCTCGGCGTGCGGCGGCCAGCTCGACCTCCCGGGCGTCCACTTTATGTGCCGCCACTCGTACCACCAGCGGTCCGTCGCCCTCTCTCTTTCTCTCTTTCTCGTCGACTGAAGCAGGACCCTGACCGAGGCTCGTGCGCCCCCCTCGCAGCTGTCTCGGCGAGAACGAGTCGCAGTGCCCGAACTGCGCCCGGACGCACGGCGTCGTGCGCGAGATCCGCCGCAACAACGAGCAGCTCCGAGGCGGGCACGACGTCTTCCTCGACGAGGTGCGCGGCGCCGACGACCCGTTCGCGGCCGTTGCGGGCGCGTTCGCGAGAGGGTGGATGGGCGAGCGGGGAGGAGGCGAGCCGTAGCTAGGAGAGGATCGTGCACAGTCTTTGCGCTCTCGCTCTCGTTCTCGTTCGAGAGGAAAGTCTCTCGCAAAGGACGAGTCTAGTTGAAAGAGAGAGAGAGAGAGAAAGAGAGGGTCAAGCGGCCGAAAGCCCTGGTTGTCTTTTCAACGCCGCTCGCGCCGACCCGCACCACCGACGCCATCCTACCCGTCGCCGAGCGAAGTGCCAGAAGAGTGTACAGGAGGGGGACAGAGGACAGGGAATTGCTAACAAGGGGAACCGGGAGAGAAAGAAGGGGGGAGAGACGACGAGGCCGAGGGGACGACGACGACGTTTTTACGCCTGGGGGGGCGCGCCACCCTGGGCAGCCGGGCACTCGCGCGAGATGTGGCCCGTCTGGCCGCAGCCGTAGCAGCGCTTCTCGCCGCCCTGCGGGCAGTCGCGCGAGAGGTGGCCCTGGCCGCCGCACGCGAAGCACTTGGCCGGGTTGACGCACTCGCGGCTCAGGTGGCCGACGCCGCCGCACGAGTAGCACGTCTTGGCGCCGAAGCCGCCGGCAGCACCGCCGAAGCCGCCCTGGGCACCGCCGAACTGGCCGCCGACTGCGAGAGAGGGCGAGGGAAAAGGCGGGGAAAGAGGGGGTCCGTGCGAGGTCAGTGCGTGAACGGCGACGAGGGAGGGCGCGAGAGAACGAGGGGAGGAGGGAGAGAGAGGAGAGTGGGACGCACAGCCACCAGCAGCGCCAAAGTTCTGCGGGCACGCGCGCGAGATGTGGCCGGGCTGGCCGCAACGGTAGCAGACGCCGGCGCCGCCCGAGGGGCCGCCAAAGCCGCCCGGGGCGGGCGCGCCGAAGCCGGGGTTGCCGGCGTTCGGGTTCTGCGGGCACTCACGCGACTGTGGGCGGCGGGGGAAGACGTCAGAGGGGCCTGGGCGAGGGAAAGGAGGACGAGAGGAGGAAGAGGGTTGGGACGCACGATGTGGCCCGAGTCGCCGCACGAGTAGCACTTCTTGGGGGCGGCGCCGTTGGGGCAGTCGCCTGCGTCGAGAGGAATGAGAGGGAAGGGTGTCAGGTCGAGGTGGACGTATGGACGAAAGTCGGACGAGGGAGCGCACGCGAGATGTGGCCGGCCTGGCCGCACTGTGAGACGAGGAACGACGGTCAGGTCGCGTTCGTCGTAGTCGTCGAGGAAAAGGAGAGAGAGGGGACGTACGTTGTAGCACTGGGGGGTGCCGGCAGTGGGGCTGTAGACGTGGGAGGGACGAGGTCAGTCTCGGGTCGCACAGGGTGGGGAGGACGAAGAGAGAATGCGAGACTTGCCAGCCAGCAGCCATGTGTCCGGCTGTGTGCGGGCATGATGTCGAGACGAGTCGAGACGAGGCGAGAGGTCGTGAAGAGAGAGAGGACGAGGAGGAAAGAGGAGGAGGAGGGGAGCGGCGCCATCAGCTCCGCCGTCCAGGGCAATCGGGAAAGGTGCTCAACGGTTCCCGCAAGTCGCGCCCAGAGCAAGCACACCGCTCCATCGTCGCCCCTTGACCCGGTCGCCGCCAGTCGCGAGTGGAACATCGAGCTCGTTGCAGGGGGCGCGCCGTCTCGCGGTGCGACTCGGACCATCGGCGCCCCCGCTGGTTGCCCACAAGCCCACTGCCGCTGCTGCTGCTGCTGCTGCCGCCCGCCTGCCCGACCCGTCCCTGCTGAGCCCGCGAGGCGAGGGAGAACGAGGGTCGCCACCGGCGAGTCGTGGGCGGCGAGGCGAGGCGACGGGGCGGCGTGGGCGCGGTGAAGGGGGGATAGTGAGGACAGAGACTCGCGTTGACCGCAGTTGTAGCACGACATGATTGATGAGATGAGCCGGGGAGAGGGTGGTTGGGAAGAAGGAGAGGAGCGGCGAGAAAAGCGCGACGACGAGCTCAACCCCCCTCGTCTCTACTCCCTCCAGAGCATGCGAAAACAGTGAGAGAGGCTCAAGTACAGCTTCGTACCCGGCTCTGACAAGTCGCGCTCCTGCAAGAGAGCTGCTGCGAGATCTCGCTCCCGGTCCTCCTCGAGCTCCTCTCCTCGCTCTCTCGTCGCTCGACGCAAGCGAGTATGGCACAGACGTTGCAGGCAGACACAAACCAAGCGTATCAAGCGTCCCTCCAGTCCAAGCAGCTCAAGCCCTCCTCGTCGCTCCACCCCTCGCCCGGACCTCCTCCCTCGCGTCCTCTCACCGCTCGCCCGACCTCGCCGCCCTGGCCCAGCCTTCGCGACGCTCCACGCACGCCCTCCTGCTCGTCCCGGCGCTCCTCGCCGCCGAGTCCCGCTGCGCGGCCGCACGCGCCGCCGCTCTACACGCCTTCCTGCGCGTCGAGCTCGCCCTCGGCCTCGCCCTGGACGTCCTGCTGCTGCGCCTCGCCGCCGCCGACGAGCTCGTGCTCGCCTTGTCCTTCGAGCTTGGGGCGCACCGCAGCCGCAGCCGGCGACGACGAGGATGAGCCCGCCTCGACCGCCGACCCGGACCCGCCAACGTCGCCGTGGATGCCGCCGCCGCCGCGCAGCAGCTGCAGGACGGCGTGACGCTCGTCGTCGGTGAGGTTCGAGAGGGCCGCAGCCGGGACGCGAGGGCCGAACGAGGCGGTGGCGGCGGTGGCGCTGTCGAGGGATGACGGCTGCGGGGCGAGCGCGGGCTCGTGCGGGTGCGGGTACGGGTGCGAGGGCGAGTTGTCGGCGGCCGGGGTCGCGGCGGGGAGGAATGGCGAGTCGAGTGCCGACGGCGCATGAGGGAGCGGGGTGCGGGGGACGAACAACTCGGGCGAGACCGGCGTCGAGGTCGACGGCGAGCCGTCGCCGTACGGGTTCGCGGAGAGGCCCTGCTGCTGCGCCACCGCCGAGCCGACGTCGTCCATGCCGTCCTCGCGCTTGACGGACGCGAGCCCCGTCGAGCCCTGCTCGGCGGCGGCGGCGGCGGGCTGCAGCGCAAAGGCGGGTCCGAGCGCGAGCGGCGCGGCCGCCGGCATGGACGAGCTGCGCGCCTTGATCGGCGACGCCGTGCGGAGCTGCGCGAGCGCGGCGGCGACGCTCTTGCTCGGCGACGCGCCGGCGCCCGAGGCCCGGCCGCGCTGCGTCGTCAACGTCGGCGACAGCGACGGGCTGGGCGACATCGACGCGGCGCCGTCGTCGTCGTCGCCCTCGTCGTGCGCCGACTCGTCCGACGAGTCGTCCTCGTCGGTCTCGACGGCCGTCCTGCGCTTCTTGGCCGGCGAGACCCACGTGCCCGACGCCTTTGCGCGCCTCGTCGCGCGCGCCTTGGCCCTGGTCGCCTCGCGCTTCTTGAGCCTGTGTGCGCGCACGGGTCAGTCGGCGGCTCGACGTGAGGCGCATGGATAGAGACTGAGAGTGAGAGGCGGACGTACAGAGCTGCATGCCCGGCGGCGCCGCCGTGAAGCCGGAACGCAAGGGCCTCGACCGCCGCCTCGACAAACAGCTGCATTGGTGCAGCGCTGCGGCCGTGCGGGTTCTGCTTGTACTGCGGCGTGAGCGCGTTGAGCCTGCAAGGGGGAATAGTGGGCCTGTCAGTGCCGGGCGGGGTCGAGAAAAGGGAGAGAGGGACGCACTCGGCGTCGCTGAGCTTGTAGGCGCTCTTGGCGGTCGTCTTGGTGATGCGCTGCCGACAGAGGGCGTCAGTATGGGCCGCCGAAGAGAGATGTGAGAGAGCGGGACGGACCTGGTTGGCCACCTTGTGCGCGGCGACGTCCCACTCGTGCGCGCGCACCGCCGCCTTGCCCTGCACGACAGCCATCTTGTCGACGCTGATGCGGTCCTCGCGGGTCCACAGGTGCTCGACGATGCGCTCGGGCTCGTCCGGGATCTCGACGTCGACGTCGTCCTTGCGCCACCATGGGCGGCCCTCGCCGACGAAGGGGCGCACGTGCAGCAGCGCCCCCCACTGCGGGCTGTGGAAGCCGTACAGGTTGGCCGAGCGCGGGCGGCGCGAGTAGTAGCACGCGCGAAGAGCCTTGCACGTGGCGGCGAGGGCGAGGTGCGAGCCGAGGTGCAGGTCGTCGTCGGCGAGGATCAGGTCGATGCTGTTCGCCGGTCGCAGAGGGTGAATGCTCGCTCCCTGGCATCGGTCGAGGGAGATAGGAGGGAGGACGCACAGTTCACCAGGAAGCTCGAGAAGCGGGAACGGGCCATCGCGACGCTCGACGACCTTGGCCTTGGCCTTGCCCTTGACCTTCTTGGGCGCCTTACGCTTCGACGCCGTCGTCGCCGGCGTGGGCATCTCGGGCGAGCGCTCCTTGTCGCCGCCCTTCTTGGCCTTGCGCTTCTTGGCCGCCGACGCGGCACCTGGCGGCACGTAGTCGTCCGAGCTGTTGGCCGCCTCCTGGTCGAGGTCGAGGTCGAGATCGAGGTCGAGGTCGAAGGCCGAGTCGGTGTCGCGCGGCGCGAGCGTGTGGGCCGCCTGCGGGTTGAGGTCGGAGTCGAGGTCGAGGTCCGGGGCGGTGTCGGGCGGCGCGAGCGGCATCTCCTCGTCGGCGGGCTCGGGCTTGGGCGCGGCGGTAGCTGAGCGGAGCTTCATGTTTGCTGAGTGGTGCAGCTGTCGCCTCGAGGGGATGCGGTGGTGTCAGCTCGGCGGGGAGATGAAGTTGTGGGGGGCGAGGACGAACCGAGGTGGAGAGAGCGAGGGAGCGATGTAGGAGGCGCACAGGCGGCTGGTGGCCGCGTTCCTGGGTGCCCGCGAGCTACTGACGGTGCTCTGCTGGAAGGGCGAGAGGTGGGAGGAAGACGAGGTGTCGGCCGTCGCCGACTCGACGACGACGGGAGGAGGCGCGAGCCAAACTCTGCGAGGCCGACTGCGCGCTGCTGTGCGGGCTCTACGGATGCTTCTGGTGCTCTGCAGTGCCCGAGTAGCTCTCACGAAAGCCGGCCTGAGCCGCCTCACCTCGTTCTCCTCGTCGAGATCGCTCAACTCGAGCGAGACGCCGCCCGCACTCTCTCTTCTGAGCTCCCTGAGCTGTGAGAAGTCTGACTGGTGCAAGTAGACTCAGACTCACGCCCACACGCGATCCAGATCCGGTGGACGAGGCGACGAGCGTTCGCGAGTCGACCGTCGCGCAGCTCTCCGCGCTCTCGCGCTCTCCCTCGTCGACTTTCCGAGGCACAGCGTCGAGCAAGTCATACTCCACGGCAGCCGCAAGCCACCGCCCCTCGGCGCGCCGGTCGACGAGCCCGCTTCGTTCCCGCTTCCTCCTCCTCCTCCTCCTCCTGCGCCTTCTCCCCGTCCGCCGTCCCTCGCCCTCACCCTCACGATCCGGCACCTGCCGTCCGACCGGTGGCAGACCTTCAGCGTGCCGAGGGAGTGGCGCGTCGAGCAGGTCAAGGCCGCCGCCCTCGCTTCGTTCGCGAGTCCCGTCGCCGGTCGACCGTCGACGGCGAGTACTCGCAGGCCGTCGATGTCGGCGCCATCGTCAAGCCCCGTAATCGAGTCGAGAACGTCGGCGCCGAGCGTCACGAGGTCGGCCGGGGCGGCCGGCAGGAGGGGCAAGGAGGACGAGGAGGGCGCGACCTCGGCGGTCCAGTCGCAGGGCATGACCGACGGCAGCAGCGGCGGGCTTCGCGCCGTCGCAAAGGCGACGAGCAACATCGCGAGCAAGGTGCGTCCCCCTCACTCGTGCATGGGTCGAGCGGGGCACCTGACGTCGTCCTCGCACGCAGCTTCTCCCGTTCCCGACTCGTTCGCCGAGGACTCTCGGCTTCGCACACGACCAACCACCTCCTCCCGTCCCGCACTTCCCTCTCCGGCGCAGCTACGACATGATCAGCGCCACCGCATCCTCCTCTCGCCGCCCCTCGCTATCCTTCGACCTCTCCTCCTCGTCCCCTTCCTCGATCCCGTCCTTCGCGAGTGCCACGTGCTCGACAGCGCCGTTCGCCTCCTCGAGCTTTGTCGATGCCGCCGTCGACGACGACGACGCCTGCACGCCGACGGCGTCGAGGTCGCACGAGCGCCTGCCCGAGGTCTGTGCGCAGACGCCGTCGCAGGTCCTGTGGCCCGAGTACGGCACCAAGCGGGTCGAGCGCGGCGGGCGCTCGAGCTCGTCGAAGCTCCTAAGCCTCGGGCGCAAGGGCAAGGTGGCCAAGAAGGAGGAGGAGTTCGTTCCGCATGCGTGGTGCCTCGTCAACGCGATTACGGTGCGTCCCTTCTCGCAGCGTCTCTTCGTGACACTGTCCGGCTCACTCGCCGACGCACCTGCAGGGCAGCTTCACGTCGGATCAGCGTATCGTCGGCAGCACGTTCGTCGACCAGGACCTCCTCATCGTGCGTCCAATGCCGCTCGGACCTCGTCGCGAGGGCGCCCTCTTGACCTTCTTGCCTCGCCCACGCAGCTCAAGCCTCGTCTCCTCGCCTTCGACCCGCCTCTGCATCTCCTGCACCTCCCGTACCTCCGCCTCTCGCGCATCGAGCTCCTCACGACGCCGCTCGCCGACCTCGCCGTCGGCCCTTCGAGCCCAACCACGCCCAAGCGCTCAAAGCGGCGCAGCTGGGGCAGCGCACCCAAAGGCGGGCCCCTGTTCGTCGAGCGCGTGCTCGAGATCGCGGTCGAGGAGGTGGGGCTCGAGGGGGACGGGCAGCGTGAGGAGGGAAGCGCCCCCATTATGGTGTTGCGGGTCTTTGAGGTGCGCTCGGTCTTTCTCTTCTCCGCCTCCTGCAGTCAGACCGAGCTGACCGTGGCTCCGGGCCACAGCGCAACAGCCTCGAGCAGAGCTTCAAGCTGCCGGCCTCGCACATTCGCCTCGTCGCCGTCGACACCTCCCTCGCCGACTACTTCTCTGGCGACAAGAGCCCATCCTCGCGTCAGCGCCCCCCTCTCTCGCTCCCGATCGTCGCCCTCGACTTTGATGCCGACGAGAGCATCGCTTTCCGCCCATCGACGGGCGCCGAACTCGACAGCCTGCTCGACCTTCTCGGCGACGAGGACGAAACGAGCGACCTGCTCTACGAGGGCGAGATGGAGCGCAGGAAGAACAGTGCGTCGCTCTCGTTCCTCTCATCTCTTCAAAGGCGTAGCTCGAGCGGAGCGCCACCTGACGATCCTCGAGCCCAGTCATCGACGCCGCGTACCGCTCCCACCACAACCTCCCTCTTCCTCTCGCCGCACCGCCATCCGCTCCTCTCCCACCTCCTCCTCCCTCGAGCCCTGTCATCCCCCTCTCTCCTACCCAGCCCATCTCGCGCCGTCGCTCGCTCCACTCGCCCACCTCGTCCCGCCGCACCGGCCTCGCCAAGAGCACGACGCAGCTCGTCCTCTCGCGCGTCCCGAGCGTCGACGAGCAGCCGCAGCCGCCCTCGCACGAGCACTTGAGCTCGGCCAGCACGAGCGCCGAGTCGCTCGCCGGCGGCGGTCGCGTCGCGAGCGGGTTCGCGACGGCGCCGACGTCGCCTGCGCTCAGACCTCCTTCGACGAGCCCGACGAGCCCGTGAGCCCCGTTGACGAGCGGCAGAGCGGCCATCCTCGTGCCGCCTGTGTCGCCGGCGAGGTCGGCGTTGCGGCCGAGGCTGCCCCTGAGCAGGCGCACGCCGGAGAGGAGCGAGGAGAAGGCGAGCTCGACCTGAGCGCGGTCGGGGGACGCGAGGAGGCGGCGGTGTCGGCGGCGACCGTAGCTTTGCAGAGCTTGTGCGTGCCGTGTGTGTGGAGCTCGACGAGCTGCTACAGCGAGGAAGAAAGAGAGCGAGAGAGAGAGGCTCGTGCACTCCAAGTCGACCTTCTCAAGTCGAGCTCTCTGACTCTCTGGGGCTCTCCTCGTGGATACAAGCCCAGGAGCACAGGCGAGAGTCCATCGTTGCACAGAGTAGTACACACACCGCCCCTCACGCTCACAGCAGCCTCGCCAGGTGCTGCACGAGCCCGGCGCTCCCTCCCTCGCGATGAAGCTGCTCGTGCGGCACCTCGAGGTGAAGGACCTGCGCGAGCTCGTACGGCACGGCGTGGAGGACCTGCTGCTCCTCGAGGAGCGAGAGGACGGCGGCAATCATCGAGGGGTACTCGGCGGGCTTGGCGTCGCGGTGAGCGGGGCGGAGAAGCGTCGGCGCCATGACTGCGCGCTCAGGAGGGGTCAGTGCTGCGCTGACGACGAGAGAGGGAGGGCGAGACGTGAGACGCACCGGTAGCGATCGCCGAGAGGTCCATCTTGTTGCCGACCTTGACCGCGATGTGGGCAAACTGCGAGAGCCAGCTGGAGGAAGAGGAGACAGTCAGGACGGCCCCTCGGGCAGTGACGAGACGGCGACGGCGCCGCACACGAGGAAGACGCCGATGACCTCGAACACGTCGCGGTTCTGTTGGAGGGCAAGGACGCGAGCTACTGAGTGCAGGCGAGGCGGAAATAAAGCGAGGGACGCACCACTCGCGGCATGAGGCAGATGACGAGATGCAGGGCCCGGCGACGCAGCCCGACGTTCTTGATGTCTGCGCGCAGAGAACGAGGGAGTTTGTGAGCGAGGGAGGGAAAGAAGTAGAGAGAAGAGCAAGGGACGCACGAGAGCAGGCGACGAAAAGCTCGAAGAGGTGGCCCGTGAGGACCGGGTGCGGGAGCGAGGCGAGGAACCGCTTGAGGAGGTCGGCGAGCGTGATCGGGTCGAGTGCGGCAAGGTCGATGACCGTGTCATCGCCGCCCGAGTTGTCGAGAGCGTGCATGATCTCGGACAGGATGCGCAAGTTGCCCGACTTGCGGAAGATGCCCTCGGTCGTCATGTCTGCGAGGCAGACAGGGTCAGTATCACGGCGACGAGACCTCGACAGGAAAGAGGGAGAGAGGACGGACCCATCTGCATGAGCGCCGTGATGCAGTGGTCGATGAACTCGGGCACTCGGACCGTCCCGTGCGGGTTGGCGCCGTGGAACGAGTCGACGCCCTCGTGCTTGGTGACGTCGGGCAGCGGCGTGCCAAAGAGCTCTGCGCGAGGTGCAGCGTGAGCTCGAGAGAGGCGAGGGGAAGTGAGAGAGTGAAAGAGGGACGGACTCTTGAGGCGCTTGCCCTTGCCCGACCGCCCGCCGACCCGTACCGACTCCTCGAGCCGCTCGACGAGGTGCTCGATGCCGCCAATGGCCTTCTCAAAGTCGTCGTGGAGCGTGCCACGCTTCTTGTCCTTGAGCAGGAGCGCGGCGGCGGCGTGCTGGACGAGGTGGTGCTGGGTCGGCGTGAGCTCCGAGAAGTAGGGCGTGGCGGGCGCTGTTGGCGCGGCAGTAGCCGGCGTCAAGAGAGGTCGGGAGACGGTCGAGGGCGGGAGCGGTGCGTGCGGGCCAGGAACCGCAGACGGTCGGGCGGTCGACAGCTCTGCGAGGGTCCGAGAGCGTCAGAAAGGCTTGCGCTCGAAGGCACCACCAGGAGAGGACGTCGCGGCGCACCGGTGCCCGTCGGACGAGAGGAAGGTCGAGTTGTCGAAGCTGCGGCCCGACCAACTGACGAAGCTGCGAGAGCGAGAAGGTCAATGACGGCCCGACCGCCGCCTCTCGAGACAAGAGAAAGGGGACGCACCTCTCGACGCTGAACGGCTGCTGACGCGCTCCTGGTGGACCGCCTTCTCGTGCTCGTAGAGCGCCAGGCCTGCGCCGACGACGCCCATAAGCGTGGCGGCGCCGCCGACCTCGGCGAGGCGCTGCCGCTCGACGGCCGTGAAGCCCGACGTGCCGTGGTGGACCGGATCGACGGCGACCGCCGAGGCGGGGTGAGCAGGCTCGCCGGCCTCGCTCGCTCGATGGCGGACCTGCTCCTCGACGGCCTCGAACGCGCCGAGGACGCCCTTGGTCTTGACCTCGTCGAGCACGTCCTCCAGCCCGCCGTGCTCTCCCGACCTCGACAAGCTCCGCGCCCCGCTCGCGCTCCTCCCTCGGCCGCGCACCTTGCGCTGGCTCTCGACGAGCTCGAGGACGCCCATGGCGACCTTGAACTCGGCGCGCGTGTTCCCGCGCCCGCGCTCCTTCTTCTCCTTGTGCTCGTCGCGCTCCTGCGCCTGCTGCGACGCTCGAGAAAGGCGCGCGAGCTGGCGCTGCGAGAAAGTCGGGGCGAAAAGACGGAATGGCGTGTCGAGCTCGCTCGGCGAGGGAGGGGAGGGAGGGCGAGGTTGGACCGAGGCTGGCGGCGCCGAGTCGAGGTAGGCGTCGTCGTGGGCGTATGGCGAGTCGAGATGCGGCGAGTCGAGCGCCGAGAGCGACTGGGCGCGCGAGCGGGACGGGCGCGAGGCCTCTCGCGCTCGCCGCGAGAACATGCCGGGCCGGCGTGGCGGCTCGTCGTCGCTCGATGGCTGTTGAGGCTCGTCGAGGCGGTCGTCGTCCATGTGCGGGCGTCGCTGGAAGAAGGACGAGGCGCGGCGTCTGAACCCGCTGGGCAGCGAGCGGTACTCGAGCGCGCCCTCCTCCTGCGCCGAGTCCGAGTCCGAGTCCGAGTGCGTCGACGCGGGTCGCGAGTACTGTCGGTGCATGTCGCCAGTCGAGTGGACGGAAGAGGAAGCGCGAGAGCTGCCGCGAGCACCGAGCCTCGGCTGAGCGGACGCCGGACTCTCCGTGGAGGTTCGCTCAGGAGCACGGCGACAAGGGGGCACCAGCGGTGTCTCGCCTTTCTGCGCGCCAGCCAAGCGAGCTCTGTGGGAGCAGCTCCAGCCTGGCGCGTGTCGTCGACGAGGGTTGGCGAGGCGGGAGAGATGGCGAGGCTGATGAGAATTTGCCGAGCGGGAAAGGGCTGCCGGTCGACGGGGGAGGCGGCTGCGACGGCGCGGCCGGCACGAGCTTGCACGCAGACGGTCTCGCAGCAGCTTGCGCATGCGCCGGACCACGACAGCTGAGCGAGGGAGGAAGACGAGGGAGCACTCTCTCGCCGATCGATTCGCTTGCCCCGGTCCGGCTCAACTGCGTTCGTCTCGCGCTCTCGCTCTGGGAGAGGCCTGCGCAGCTCTCAAAGACGAGAACGATGCAATGTCTGTGCTGCAGAAATCAACGCTCTACTCGAAGGCCCGACCCTCGCGCTCGTGCCCCTCCTCCCACCGCCTCGCCGTCGTTCTGCGAGCGTGCCCGGGCGAGAACACCTCGGCGTACGCCTCGTCCTCACGCCTCCTGCTCCTCACCTCGAAAGGCTCATCGAGCGCGAACGTGACGTGGACGGGCGGGACCTCGGCGTGCGAGTCGGCCTTGTTGGCCCTGACGCCCGAGCGGAGGTGCCACTTGGTCGCGAGGACGCGGTGGCACTCGGTGTGCGGCGACAGGGCGTGGAGGTCGCTCGCGGCAGCGCCCGAGCGAGAGACGAACGTCCATTGGTCGGGCGCACGCCATCGGGCGGGTCGAGCTGCGAGAAGGCGAGAGGGAGAGGGAGGAAAGGGTGGAGCGGCCGATGGCGAGGGGCGAGAGACATCGTCAGGGACCGCTCGTCGCGACAAAACGAGGAGAGAAAGAGGCAGACAGCCCGACGCACCAGCTCTTGCCGTCCTCGAAGCGCTAGTGGTGCACACGACCGTGTGCTCGTCTCGCGGGTCGAGAGTGCCGCCAGGCAGGCAGAACGCGTGCGACTTGAGCGGGCCGAACGGGTGGACAATCTTCTCGCCCGCCTGATTCGGGCGTGACAGCTCGACCTCGGGCCGGATGAGCGTCCAGCAGCCCTTGAGGTGGACGAGGACCTCGAGCACCCAAGCGCCTTTGCCGTGCTCGTCTCGGGCGACAGCGGGCGTGAAGTCTGCGAGGCGCGTGCTGGAATGAGCGACGTTACGAGGACGGGGAGAGGGCGAAAGAGAGAGAAGAGGGGACGCACCGCCGACGTGAACCTCCTGGTCCCTCCCGGAGCGTTGGCCGCGAAATACAGGCGCGCGAGAATCGTCCATGTAGCGAACAAAGCCCTTGATGCCGTCCTCGAGGCGGCGCAGGGTCGAGTCGGACACGGTCGGCGGGTTGTGCGGAGGAGGAGAAGGGTGGTCGAGGTCGAAGTTGGCGTACTGCGGGACCTCGGGGCGCATGCTCGGGACGCCGGGCGGGTTGCGCTCGTGCGCAGTGAGCTCTGCGGCCGTCATGACCGGGTGCGCCTTGCGGCGCTGGACCTGCGACGACCGGGTCGAGGACGAGTCGTCGTTCCCGAGGGCCGGCGACGACATGAGGCCGTGGAGCTCGTCGACGTCGACGCTCGAGTCGCTGTGGCGGGCGAGAGATGAGGCTCCGCTCGAGGACCGGCGAGAAGGCGGTCCGCCTGCTTGGCGAGCGTGCCGAGTCGAGCTGGCGGCGGTCGAGACGAGGTTGAGCGACTCGGTCGACGGGATCGTGTTGATGACGGGCGCCGAGCGGACCGAGCGGTCGCCAGCTTCATCTGTGTCGGGTCACGAGTCAGTCGGGACGCTCGAGGACGAGAGACTGAGGGGAGGTCCGAGCGAGAGGGGGACGCACTCAGCGCCGCCGTGACGAACACGACCTTGACGTCGCGCTCGTGAAAGTCCTTGAGCGTCCACTCGACTCTGAAGCAGACGTCGATGGTGCTGCGCGTCCATGCACCGCTGACCCACAGGTCGAACAAGCCTGCACGGTTGAGCTGTCAGTTCCGGTCGGCTACGAGCGCGAGAGCGAGGGGACCGGCCACACGCACCACCAGGACGACGCACCATGGCCTTGTTTCAGGCCATGCTCGAGGATGGGCGCGCCGATGACGGGCACGATGGCGTTGTTGATCCGACAGGTGGTGACGATCGAGCTGTCCCAGACGGCGACCGACGAGTTGACGCAGTCCGACAGGGTGCCGTTGCGGTCTGCGCGCGCATGGAGCTGAGTCAGGCGTGCTGTACAGGGTTCTCGGGTCTCGAGAAGAGGTGCTCACTCAGGGGCGGCATGCGGAATTGGCCCTTCCACGGTCGGTCGGCGCCGGGAAGAACATGTCGCCAGTCGTCGCTCTTGTCGAGGTGGGCGATGAGGGCACGCACACGCTCCTCAAGCTCGTGAAGAATAGTCTGCGGCTTGTACCCTGGGAGCGAAAAGGCGTCAGGGCAGATCCGCCGCCAAAAAGAGGGAGAGGACGACGCACGAGGAGGACGACTGGCGTCAGGGCTCGCGTTGGGGAGCAGCCTGCGGACGACTAGCGTCGAGGAGGGATAAGGAGGCGGCGAGTCGCCGGCCTCGAGACGCTGGCGGTCGTGTGCTGCGCGAGGCATAGTCGACGAGAGGAAGAAGAAGCATTGCCGTCGCGCTTGGCCGTCGCGCCGGCTACCGACTTTGTGGCTGCAGGCCGAAGCCGAAGAAAGTGAGTTCCGCGGCTCGGACGTCGTCGAGAATGCGGGGCCGGGCGGACCAGAGGCGGCGGACGTACACGGGTCGGGAGAAGGACCGTGCGCCGCGGGTGGGCCGCTTGAGGATTCACGAGCGACGGCGACGACGACCGGGTCGAGCTGGTGGAAGTAGGGCTGTAGGAGACCTTGTGCCAGGCGTGAGATGCCCATAGGTCGTATTGTCGAGACAGACACGGGCTCAGGCTCGAGGAAGGCAGGCGATCGTGAACGAGGTGCTTGAAGGACGACAGAAGCTGCGGCGCGAAGCGGGACGTATGTCAGAGTCTGGCGGCGAGGATGATGAAAGAGAACGAGAGCGACGGCGTGCCAATCCTAGCCGTGCGCTCGCTCGGGCGACCAAAAGGTGGGCCGAGAGGACGCCGTCGACTCGTGCCAGAAGCAGCGGCGTGCCCAGCTTTACCGCGAGCCCGACGGGCCGGCTCGACAGTGTCACCGTGTGCAGCGTATACCGGCCCTCACGACCAGGCAGAGAGCGATACGGTCAAGCGGGCCGAGGACGAAAGAATCCAGGAGGGAGTCGGCGGTCTGCGAGGGGAGGCGGCGACAGTGAGGGGGTACGAGAGCAGAAAGGGCAGTAGGGCTCACCTCGAGACGGTCTGCACAGACTGTGCGAGCAAAATGCGCGTCCGAGGCAAGCTGTGGAGCGTGAGGTCGCTCGAGGGAGCGGCAACTCGGGAGGATGGCGACGGCGACTGAGACTCGAGGCGGAGCAGTTTCGACCCGCGCCAGGGAGCAGGAAGGTGCTTGACAGCATGCAGGTGCTCTAGCACACTGCAGAGCGAGTCGAGCGCGAGAGCTGGGCGAGGTCGAGGGAGGAGAATGAGCGACCCAGTTCCTGCTCGTCAACACTCGCCGCCTCGCCCAGAGCGACCCGTGCTGCCTGTCAGAGCACTCGCCCGCTCTTACTACACGCCCTCCCGCCCTTTGTCGCCCACCCACACGCCCCCTCGTCGTCCTCGCACCCTCATCGCCTCGTCCCCCTCTCCGCCCTCATCACCATGGCGCCCCCGCCTCGCCCGGGCTCGGCAGCGTCGTCAGCAGGGCCCTCGAGCGGCTCGCTCCTCCCGCCAAAGCCGAGCGGCCTCCCCGACCGCCCGACCCTCCCCCTCGGCAAGGCCGCTCCCTCCGACCCCGACCGCGAGGAGGGCGAGGAGCTCGACGACGGCCCGCCCGCGCTTCCTGCGCCAAGGCGGCGAGGAGGGCGTGGACGATCGTCTCGAGGAGGCGGCGGCGGCGGCGGCGGCGGCGGCGGGGGAGGTGGGCCGCCCCGACGCGGCCGCAGCCCCAGCTTCGACCGCGACCGCGACGACCGCTTCTTCGGCAGGGGCGGTCCGCCTGCAGGCCCGCCCCGCTTCGATCCGTACCTCGACGACCGCGACAGGCGCGGCCCGCCTCGAGGTGGACCTCGCGGCCGGCCGAGGTCAAGGAGCCCGAGTCCGTCGAGGAGCTTCCGCAGCGGGAGGAGCTGGAGCCGCAGCAGGAGCAGGAGCCCGCCGCCGATGAGGAGGGGTGGGCCGCTGGGACCAGGGTACGGCAGGAGAGGCGGAGGAGGGTTCAGGGACTCGCCCCCGATGCGCCGCAGGCCCATGTCGAGGTCGCCTCCTCGTACGTCCCCCTCGTTCTCTCTCTTCCTCTCTTTCCTGTCGCTCGCCGAACCTGTGATTGACTCTTTGCCGCCCTGACCCGCAGCCTACTCGCGTCGTTCCATGTCGCGCAGCGGCTCGCCGCCACCACGTCGCTACGGCGGCCCTCCCTCCCCCGACTTCCGCCGTCGCTCCCCACCGCCTCGCGGCGGCGGCGGCGGCTACGGACCGCCTCGCGGCCGCAGCATGTCACGCTCTCCTCCTCCCTTCAACCGCCGATACCCGTCACCGGGCCCTCCCCCGAGGCGCAGGTCGCGCTCGCCCCCTCCTCACGGCTACCGCGGCGGACGTCGCCGTCCGTCCTTCTCCCGCTCGCCACCGCCACCACTTCCTCCTCCCTCGCACGCACCCTTCACCAACCGGCTCGGCTCGAGGCGCGACCTCGCTGCCGCCGCCGCCGGTTCCGCCATCGACGACGACGACGACATGATTTTCCGCAAAGCTCGCCGCGCCTCTCGCTCCGAGTCGCTCGCCCCCGGTCCTGGCAGCGCCGTCGGCGGACCATCATCGTCGGTGCCCCGACCGCTGCCGTCGCAGAGCGCTGCGGCGAGCCAGCACTTTGGGCGCAGGCGCGTCTCGCGATCGCCCATGTCGCCCTCGCCGCCTCCTCCGCCCAAGCGCGCCCTGTCGCCCGACCCGTACGCGAGCTCATGGCGTCGCTCGCCGTCGCCGCCGCCTCGCAGCAGGCCGTCGCGCTTCCGGTCGCCGACGCCGCCGCCTCGCGAGCGCGAGCGCGAGCGCGAGCGCGACCAGCGCGGCGGCTTCTCGCCTCCTCCTGCGGCGGCGGGCTCGTCGAGGCCGACGTCGCCGGGCCCGTCTCGCTCGGCGGCGCCTTCGTTAGTCCCGACCGGGCCTCGCGGCTTCCGGCCCATCGGCGAGCAGGGCAGCTCGGCGGGCGCCAACTCGATCCCGACGGGCCCGAGGAACCGCTGCACGTCGCTCGCGAGCGCGTCGCCGGCCGGTCACGCACCAGGCGCAGGAGCCAAGGCGCCGCCGACGGGCCCGAGGGCGTGGCGGTCGGGCCACGCTGCGCCCGTCGCCGGCTCGTCGTCGTCGCCCGGAGCGGCGCCCTCAGCGTCGGCCGCCGCACCTCCTCCAGGTCGCGCGCCGAGCGAGACGCCGCCGCCGCCGCCGCCGACCGAGGCCGAGCTCGCCGCTCAAGCCGCCGAGGACGCGCGTCGCGCCGCCGAGCAGCTCGCGCGGGACGAGGCGCGTCAGGCTGAGCAGCGGGCGCGCGACGAGCAGCGCATGCAGGAGCGCGAGCAGCAGAGGGTCAAGTGGGAGGTCGAGGAGCGCAGGAGGAAGCTCGGCAGGTGGTTGCCGAGGGCGGCGGGAGGGATCCTCGCGAGCGTGCCGGGCGTGCAGGGCAGCTGGATGATCAGCCCCGGGACCGAGTACGAGGCCGAGGTGCGTCCCACACGTCTCTCTTTCTCCCCTCGCGGTGCGAGGGGCATGCCTCGTGCCGTGCGCAAGCTCTCGAGCCGCCGGCCGTTGCTCACACCTCTTCTCTCCTCTCCCTTTGCGCCCTCTCGCCCCGCAGATCATCCGCCTCCGCCGCGAGCGCCTCAACTCGTTCCCCACGCTCCACTCGCACCTCCTCGCCTCGGCCAAACTCGACCTCGCCCTCGCCGCCGCGCAGAGCGACGCAAACTCGGCGCGGGAGCGCACGAAGCTCGCCGGCGGGATCACGTCTACGGGAGGGGTTGGGATGGGGTCGGGTTACTGAGACGGGTGCGAGTGCGAGGGCAGTAGCGAGGAGGGAGTGCAACGGGGCGGTCGAGCTGCTCGAGCGCGCGAGCGAGGGACGGGTTCGGCTTCTCTCTTCCTGCGCTTCCTGCGCCCCTGCGCGCACGTCCTGCGGCGCTCGACAGCGTGCTCGTCGCCTGCGCGCAGCTTTACACGACGCTCGGACCTGTGCGGCGACCGTGCAGCGAGGTGATCGTCGTCCCGGCCGAGTCCGCTCGAGCGGGTGGACGGCCCTTCCACTTCCTCTCGTCCCTTCAACTCTAGTTCGCGCATGACGACGAGCCTTTTCGGCCTGTGCGGCACGGGCTGCAGCACTACATACGGGCGCGCTTCCGCCCACGACCCGAGCGCGCTCCCTCCCCAGCTCTCCTCCCTCCTTCCCCACCTCGACCTCCTCGACCATGCTGTCGACGACGCTCGCCCTGCTCGCACTTGCACCTCTGCTCGCCTGTGCGCAAGACTTCAGCCTCATCTACCCGACCGAGCGCACCCTGCGCAGCGAGCGAGGCGGATGTGCGTGATCCTCTTCTCTCCTCCTCTCTGTCTCCCCGTGACGACGTACTGGCTCTTTCACGCACAGCCTGCTTGCCTCGTCCCGACAACGCCTCGTCTGCGCCGTTCCGCACGCCCATCCCGCTGTCCGGCGCGACCCCTGTCGTCCTGCGCACCACCGCGGACAAATACACCGTGTACGACAGCGCGATCGTCTGGGGCGAGAACCCGATCATCCTGTCGACCTCGGGCGGCAACGCGACGCTCGCCAACGGCACCGAGTACTGGTACGACAACACGGTCTTTGACGACCAGCGTGCGGCTCGAGAAGAAGGGCAGGTGCGTCCGTAACTCTCTCTTTTCCTCGTCCTCGTCGCGGCGACACGCCTGACTCGCCGCTCCTACAGTTCTGCATCACGTTCGACATGTCAAACTCGGCAACGGCCAACACGACGAACGTCAAGGGCACGCCGCCGCAGAATCCTCGCGTCGGCTCAGTCGGAACCCTCGTGTGCGTCCCTCCTCCCTCGAGCCCGAGGCTCTCGGCTGACACTCAACCCGTCGCGACTCACAGGGTGAGCTATACTCCCGGCTCGAGCAACACGTCGGCCAACTCGCTCGTCTGCGCCGACGTCGTGGTCGTTGACGACTACTCGTTCCCCGACAACGTCACCAAGGATTCGTGCCAGGCGCTACAGCCGGCGTCCGACGCCGTCACGTCGTCGAATGGGAGCTCGGGCGCGTGGCGTGTGCGTGCTGGCGGGCTCGTCGGCGCCGCAGCAGTCGTTGTTGGGCTCGCCGTCCTCGTTTGAGCTCTCGCCCTCTCGACGTGCGGCGCGGTTCTCCCTCTTTTCGGGCTCGAGTCGTACTCAAGCAGTATCTCATGTCAATACAGCATTGTTCTCGTTCCTGCATCGAGCGAGAGGCGGCGCCTTTGTCGGAAACTCGGTTTGAGAAGGTCGACGTGTTGGCGACGAGCTCGCGAGCGGTCCTCACTCTCTGTCCGTTCGCTCTGCTACCTTCTTTGTCTGTGATCGTAGACGCACGAAAGAAAGAGTAACAGCGCAGCGAAGCAGGGCGCCCCGAGAGCGCAGGCTCGAACGAGGACTGTCGCTTTCTCCGGGTCTCTCTGTTGCTGCGGGTGCAGGTCAAGCCACTCCCTGAGCACCTCATCCACGGTCTCAAGAGCGCAGAAACGCTCACAGTGGAGGATTGAGCGCGCTTGCGATGTCGCCTCGACGTCCTCCGCTGCGCTCTCGCTCGCGTCGAGACGCGCACCGTCTCCTCGCTCGTCCACCTCGACAGCTCGCTCCACCTGCTGGACAACTAGCTCACAGAGCTCCACATCTACCTGGGCACACCCGCATCCGCCCCGCCGCCCTCTACGCCGCACCCTCGACCCGTCTCGCCTCATCAACCTCTCGCCTCGGAGCCGGCTCCTCGTCTCGACCCAGCATGGCCGCCGACCCGAGCAAGCTCGTCATCAGCCCGCACGCAGATGGACTGGCACGCCTCACCTTCTCGCCCGATGGCCAGTGCGTCTCCCCTTGCCCCCTCCTCGTCCTCCTCGTCCGTCCCCCCGCGCTGACCTCGTTCCCTCCTGCCAGCTACCTGTACACGTGCGGCTATGAAGGCCTGATGCGCATCTTCGACTCGCGGCTCGACGTTGACAACACGGTCGAGCCGGCCGTCATCGAGTTCCACGAGGACGCCGTCGTGTCCATCTCGGCAACGGTGCGCCCTCGCTTCCTCTCGCCTCAGGTCCGGGCGCGACCGCTGACCTCCTTCACACCCTGCAGAACGACCTCTTCGCGTCGGCCTCCGAGTCGGGCCAAGTCGTCTTGCACGAGGCCGGCTCGACCGACCTCGAGGGCTTCCTCACCCGGTTCTCCCTGCCGGCACGCAGTGTCCGCTTCGACCCACGTGGCAAGCGCGCTGTCGTCACGTCGGACGAGGTCATCGCCAAGGTCATCGACGTCAAGGACAAGACCAAGGTGCAGATCCTCACGGGCCACTCGAGGTCGATCCGCGAGGCGAGCTGGAGTCCCGACGGGCAGTTTGTCGTGCGTCGCGAGCCCTCTCTCAGCTCTCCTGCATCCGAGAAGGCCAACTGACACTCTGGGTACATTCGCGCAGACAACGAGCTCGGTCGACGGCACGATCCGCGTGTGGCAGCTCGACGCCGGGACCGAGCCGACCTGCGTCCAGGTCATCGATGGGATCATCACGGCAGAAGACGCCGAGTGCGTCCTCTTTCTCTCCCTCGACGTCCTCCCGAGCGGCCCGACTCACCCTGCCCTCATCGCCTCGCAGCTCGGAGTACTCGGTCGAGGTCATCTGGCACCCGGCGGGCAAGTTCTTCGTCGTCGCGAGCAAGGACAACGGTGCGCCCAAGCTTTCATTTCTCCTTTTGCGACTCTCACTGACTCGTACCTCCCCACAGATATCGCCGTCGTCTCGCGCGAGACGTGGCAGAAGACGGGCACCTTTTCGCTCAAGGAGGGCGGCGGGGTGCGTCTCGCGCTCTCTCGCAGCCTCTCCCGCGCCGGTACTGACACTCCCCTCTCTCGCAGCGCGTCTCTTCTCTCGCCTTCTCGGCCAACGGCCTGTACCTCGCGTCGGCTTCGCTCGCCGGCGACCTCCTCGTCTGGTCGGTCAAGGACCGCAAGGTCGTCAGCCGCACGCCGCACGCGCACGGCCTCATCACGAGCCTCGCCTTCCACCCTGCGCCGACGGCCAACTCGCTCGCCTACATCGACAACAAGGGCCAGCTCACGCGCTGGCAGAACCCGGTCCCGACCGACCTTCCCGCGCCGACGCATGCTCGCGCACCGCCGGCGCCCAAGGAGGCCGTCGCCAAGAAGGCGTCGGCCCAGAACGGCGGGCGCAGGCGCAGCGACTCGGCGTCGACGTCGACTAGCTCGCACGCTGGCGGCGAAGACGGCAACAAGAAGGGCGCCCTCTTCCGCAAGGACCAGGCGTCCCACGACGAGTTTGGCGACCTCGACCTCGGCGACGACTGGCTCGAGGACGACATTGGCGACCGCCTCGAGGGCGAGCTCGACGCGGTCGACGTCGACGGCGCAGACGAGCACGACCCGTTCGCCGACGATGTGCCGGTGCCGGGCATGGACGGCGGGCGCAACGGGCCGGCGGGCTTCTCGCGGGCAAGGTCGGCGCCGATTGCGGGCAAGGCGTACGGCGTACAGCGAGGGCAGGCGCCGTTCCAGCCGGGAGCGACGCCGTGGAGGGAGAAGCGGCGTTACCTCGGTCCGTCTTCCTCTCTCTCTCTCTTCTCGCCCGCCCACCCGACGACCCCGCGACTCACACTCCTCGCCTCGGTTCGCAGCGTTCAACATGATTGGCTTCATCTCGGCCGTCGACCGAGACGAGTCGCAGTCGGTCACGATCGACTTTCACGACCGCAGCTCGCACGTCGCGACCAAGTTCGAGGACAAGATGAAGTACGACAAGGCGAGCTTGGGTGCGTCTCCCTTTATCTCTCTCTCTCGACCCTTCCCTTGTCGACGGCGAGCGCGGTATTGATGCCCTGCTGGTGCGCAGGCGAGCTCGGCGCCATCTTTTCGTGCCCGGCGATCGACGACCACCCGGCGCAGCTCTTCTACAAGCCGTACCAGTCGTGGACCTCGCTCGTCTCGTGGCCCATGTCGCTCCTCGCCGGCGAGCAGGTGACGGCGCTCGCGCTCGGCGGCGGCGGCCTCTCGTCGACCGACGCGCTCGCGTTCGACGACCCGACGGTCGGCCTCGGCGGCAGCGGCACGGCCCTCGTCGCCACCTCGCGCGGCTTCGTGCGCTTCATCAGCGGCGCCGGCCTGCAGAAGTACGTGTGGAACGTCGGCGAGGAGGTGGTCGCGCTCGCGGCGGCGCGCGATTGGGCCGTCATCGTGCACCGGGCGAGCGGCGGCGCAGCCGGGCTCGAGTACGCCCTCGTCGACACGGACACGTTCGAGTTCGTCCAGCAGGGCAAGGTGCCGCTCGTGCACGGGACGTCGCTCGCCTGGATCGGCTTCTCGAACGACGGCGTGCGTCCTCTTCCTCTTCCTCTGTCCCTCCCTCGTCCCTCCCTCTCTCTCGACGCACCTCTAACGCTCGTCGCCTGCCACAGATCCCCGTCATGTACGACTCGGCCGGCATGCTCTCGATCCTCGACCGCTCGCGTCGGCCTCGGCAAGCGCGGTGGGTGCCCGCCCTCGACACCCAGTCGCTCGCTCGCCGCGAGGGCAAGCAGGAGGCGTACTGGCCCGTCGGCGTCACCGAGCAGCAGCTTCATGTCGTCATCCTGAAGGTGCGCCCCCTGTCCCCCTCAAGTCTTGCGTCGCGCGCCGTCACTGACTCTTGCGACGAGAACAGGGCGGCGAGCAGCACCCGCACTTCCCGACACCGCTCCTCCAGGAGCTCGACCTCCAGTTCCCGCTCCTCAGCATGGACGTCCCGGCCGGCCAGCTCGCCGAGAAGCACCTGCGCGAGTCGCTCTTTGTTCAGCACCGCAAGGACGGCGCGCCCGCCGACGACTACTCGCTCAAGACGGAGCTCGCGCGCGAGGAGGTCCAGGTCGACAAGCACATGCTCCTCGCAATCCAGGCGTTCTGCAAGGCCGACAAGCTCGAGGCCGCCCTCGACGCCGTCCTCCTCTTGACGCAGCCGGCGTCGCTCATCGCCGCGAGCAAGGTCGCCGGCTTCTTCACCCTGCCGGCGCTCCAGGAGCGCATCGAGCTCGTACAGCAGATGCGCGACGACGCCGCCGACCCGGACGAGGCCGCCCTCAAGCGCCAGAGCAAGTGGGCCCACCTCGTCGACGACCGCTACGTCTCGGCCGGCGGCGTCCCCTCGGCCGCGTCGCACTCACGCGGCGGCATGGCGGCGCCGGCCGCCGCCGACCTGTTTGCGCCGCGAGCGCCGACGGGCACGCCCGCGTTCGGCACGGCGCAGCGCCGGTCGTTCGGGACGCCGAGCGCGAGCGCGACGCCGGCGAGCTCGTCGAGGGCGTTCGGCTCGGCGGCGGTGCCGTCGTCCAAGAAGCGCAAGAGCTTTGCGAACGGTGCGGGCGTGAGCATGGCGGGCAGTGACGGCGCCGAGATGCAGCTCGACGGCGAGGACGACGACGAGGACGAGCGGGGCGGCCTGGTGCTCGGTGGCGAGGACGAGCCCGTGTCGAGCCCGAAGCGGATGCGGCTCGGCAGCGACGAGCCGGAGGAGCTCGACGACGAGGACCTTGAGGAGCACGAGGCGCGACCGGCGCCACCAAAGAAGGGTACGTCTTCGCCTTTCCCTCTCGCACGGTCCCTCTCTCGGTCCCGCAACTGACCGTCTCGTCCCTCCCGCAGCGCTCAACCCGTTCGCCAAGCGTCCTGCTGTGCCCAAGCCCGCTCCTGCACCTGCCGCCAACCCGTTCGCCGACAAGAAGGCGGGCAAGGCCAAGGACCTCGGGAGGACCGACAGCTTCTTCCACCGGGTCGAGGGCAAGGAGGCTCCTGCGCCAAAGGGTGCGTCCCTCTCCTCCTCTCCCTCAGTCCTCGCGCACCTCGTACTGACTCGTTGATCGTGCGCGCAGCCAAGGGCAAGGGCAAGGCGGCATCGGCGGCATCGTCGACCTCGACCAAGAAGGGCAAGGAGGTCGTCAGCAGCGGCGCCAAGCAGCTCACGCTGTTCGGCGCGCCTCCTCCAGGCGCCAAGGCCGACTCGGCGACCAAGGCGTCGAGCAACAAGAAGCGCAAGGCGTCGGCCGCGCCGCCGACCGAGGTGACGGCCCCGACGCCCTCTGCGACCCTGTCGACCTCGGCCACGACGACCGCCGGCTCGTCGTCGTCGTCGTCGACCTCGAAGCTCGACGCGTTCCGGCACAAGCCCAAGCCCGGGTCGGCCGCCGCCGCGGGGCTCGGCGCGTCGGTCGGAGCGCGCGAGTTGCCGCGCGAGGGCGAGGACATGGAGGAGACGCAGGTCGTCGACGAGACGCAGGAGGACGAGCCGGTCGGGCTCGCGAGGGAGCGCAGCGAGCTGAAGACGGTCAGGGAGGAGACCGAGGGTGCGGCGGCGCGAGGCGAGGACGAGACGCAGGAGGACACGCAGATGACCGAGACGCAGGTCGAGACGCAGCCTGCCACCGCCTCGGTGCGTCCTCTCCCTCCCTTTCTCTCGTCGTCGTCGTCGTCGTCGTCGTCAAGGAGAACCCCTACTGACACGCCCGCATGCCCACAGCCCTCGTCGCACAAGGAGAACGCTCGACCGTCGCCGGCCGCACAGCTCGACAGCGCTCAGGCCGCCGCGCCCAAGCCGGCTGGCACCGACGCTTCGCCCTCGCCTGCCGACGACGAGGCGTGAGCGCACTCGGTCCACTCGCCCGGGCACGCCCGTCTCTCGTTCTCTCTTTCCTCTCGCCCGTCGTCGTCCTGTACTTGTCCTTCTCGTTCTCGAGGCTGCATCGTCGTTCTCTATCGGTCGTTTTCCTCTCGGGGTTGCGAGCGAGGACGAGAGCGCAATGAGAGGGAGTACAAGGGCCTCGAGAGCCGGATACAGACAGGAGGGGGAGAGAGAAGAGCGCCCTCCTCGAGCTACACGTACAACACCCGCCTCGTCCTCCTTCCTCCCTCGAGCCGTCCCGTCCTCCGCCCCGCCCCGCCCCGCCGCCCATCTGCTCAGCAGCACCTCCCGCCAACGGCGCTCCCCGCCTCCTTTGCGAGGCTGATCCCGGGCAAGCTCGAGCCGGCCGACGACAACGACGACGAGCCGCGGCCGGCCTTCTTGCGCGACGCGAGCGAGGCTTGTGCGCGTGCGTGGACGAGGCGCGTGAGGGTGTTGAAGGCCTGCGAGAGGGGGCGGGAGGGGAGGGGCGAGGGCGAGAGGGGGCGAGAGGGGGCGAGAAAAGGGCGGGGAGGAGGCGAGAGAGCCGAGAGGGAGGGAGGGTGGAAGGGAGAGAAGGAGGGAGGAGAGAGCGATGTCAGTGACGGGTGCTCGAGACTGCTCGTCGACGGCGACCGCTCGCGACAGGCCTCGCCGAGCAGAACGACCGAGGGAGGCGCAGGCGCACGGACCCCTCGCCCAAGCTCGCGCACGCCGTCGCCGACCGCCGCGCCGACGGGCGAGAGGGGTAGAGTGAGAGAGAGAGGGGACCATCGACGCACCTCCTCGACGCCCTGCCCGCTCTTTGCGCTCGTCTCGACGTACCCCGCGAGCCCCTCCTCCCTCGCCCACTCCTCCGCCTCCTCCCTCTCGACCTCTCTCCGCTCGCCGCCCTCTGCCCCCTCGCCCTCGCCCAACACGTCGCCCTTGTTGCCGACGAGCAACACGAGCAGGTCGTCCTCGCCCCACGCGCGCAGGTCGGCGAGCCACCCGGCGCAGTTGGCGAACGACGAGTAGCTCGTGAGCGAAAAGACGAGGAGCGCACCGCCGGCGCCGCGGTAGTACGAGCGCGTGATGGCGCGGAAGGATTCCTGTGGCGTGTGTGTGGGTGCGGGACGTGGGAGGGGAAGGGCAGCAGGGGCGACGAGGCGGAAGACGAGGGGAGCAAGAGGAGGAGGAGGAAAGGTCGAGGGGTGCGGACGAGGCGGGTCAGTGGTGGCTCTGCGCATGCGGCACAAGCTGCAGAGGGCGAGTAGAGAGGGATGCTCGAGCGCACCTGGCCGGCCGTGTCCCAGATCTGCAGCTTGATGCGCTTGCCGGCGTCGTCGCCCTTCGGTGACCGAGCGGTGGCGAGGCGTCGGCGAGTCGAGGGAAGGTGTCGAAAGAGTGGCAGAGTGGAAGGAAGGAGGAGGAGAGTGAGCGATGCGCCCGTGCGAGACGAGGACGAGGACCGGGAAGGAGGACAGAGAGCGGCGCACCTCGTTGATCTCGACGATGCGGCTCCCGAACTCGACGCCGATGGCTGCGCGCAGGGTCTGTCGCGTCAATTACAGGCGCCTCACCAGTGCACGAGAGAGGCTGAGAGGAGGAGGACGACGAGGGGGACGCACTCGGTTCCGAGTGCTGCAGGAAGCGGTTGTCGGTGAGGCGCACGAGGAGGGACGACTTGCCGCACGCGGCGTCGCCGAGGAGGATCTGCTTCTGGATCTGTGGCCGCGTTCAGGGGGGGAGGGCGAGACGAGGTGAGCGAGGTGCCGGGGTGGGGCGGTGCTCGCCAGCTCGCAGGTCGGCTCGTGCGGCACTGTGGCCGCTCTGACCGAGAGAAAGGGGACGCACAAAGTCCCACGTCGCCATGCTGCACTGGATGGGAGCGAGAGGACGAGGTGGACAAAGCCGCCCCCGCCGCTCGCTCGCTCGCTCGACGCCCGTCCGGCTCGGCACCAACAGCCACACGGCTCGCACTCGCACGGCCCGCACTGCTCGCAAGACGCTCACAGGCAGGGTCACTGTCGGCGACCGGATCCGCGAGAAAGAGCTAGCTCTCGGTTCTCTCTCTCAAGCTCGTCGCTGAGGGAAGGGGAAACCGCATTTCTCATTCACCGCACCGACACCCGTCTATGCCCACGCCTGCCCGTCACCGACCACACCGGGTCCCGCCGCCGTCACGACGAGAGGGAGAGCGACGAGGGGTGGCGCGCCGAGGTTGCGAGAGGGGCGAAGGAGCTCGTTCGAGAGAGAGGGCGAGGGGGCCTTAGTGCTGCTCGGCCGTCGGGGGGACGATCCACTCCTGCGAGCGTCGGGTGCGAGTGCGTCAGTCTCTTGCGCTTCTGTGGTGCGAGGGCAAGCCCGACAGCGAGGCGACGAGTCGGGGCGAGACCGCCCTCCCCCTCGTCGCCGGCCCCGAGTCGCTCCTGGCACAGGACACGAGAGATAGAGGCGAAGCGACGCACAGCAGTGCCGGCCTTGCCGTTCTCCCACTTCTGGACCTTGAGGGTGACGGCCGCACGGCGCTCGGCCGCGACGCGCTGCTCCTCCTTGAGGGCCTGGCGGGTCGCACGCGCCGCGACCGAGACGTACTTGTTGAAGCTGTTGGGCGGACGTGGGTGTGTGTGGGTGTGTCGCGAGGGCGGGTCGGGACGGTTCAGGGTGGTGGGAGGAGGAGGGAGCGATGGGAGGAGGGGAGGGGAGCGAAGAGGTGGTCCGAGGGTGCAAGTGCGGGTCGAGGCGGGCCCATGAAGTGCAGCGAGTCGCGCCGGGGAGGTCGCAGGCGTGCGCAGGGCGCGAGAGGCGAGGGCGAAGGACGGGGGAGGAGGAAGTCGGGGGAGAGATGGTCAGCGACCAACTCGAAGAGACGGGACCCGCGGGTCGCTCGGGTCGGGGAGAGAGGGAGCAGGTGCGCACCTGAGGACTCCGCGCCAGGACATGGTGAGTGCGTGAGAAGGGGTGGAGGTGGGAGAGCGAGGCCTGTCTCGTCGCTCGTCGCCTCCTCCTCCTCCTCCTCCCCCGCGACCAGCTCCGGCCCTCTCGCTGGACACCACTGCGCACCTCGACTCGCATCCCTGGGCACTGTCAGTGCTCGCCCGCACGTGCTCGCGACGCCCGCCGACATGCTCGCCTCTGCTTCCTCCCGCTCCTCGACTTCGCCGCGTCGGCCTCGCCGCAGCCTGCTCCGCTCGCTCGATCCTGCGAGAGACGCTCTCGCACAGCTCTCGGGCGTCGCTCGCTCGCGCTCCAGGGCTCTCAATCTCGGCACGACACCGTTCCAGCCCTCGCTCCTCGAACAAGCTACAACACCCGCTCCCTCGGCCCCCCCTCGCCCGCTCAGCGCCGCCCGCTCGTCATCTCAGCCCACACCGGCAGCCGCTCGCGCCCACCACCGCTCGCAATCCCGCGCCCCGCCCCGTGATCGCCGCCCTCGCGCGCGCGCACCTCGTGCGGGTCGTCGGCACGGAACGTGACGGAGCACCGTCCCGCCGCCGCCGCGCTGCTCGACGCCGAGGCGAGGACGACAGCCGAGAGAGACACGGTCCAGGTCGTCGAGACGAGGCGGCGGGAGTGGCGCGAGAGGGTGCGGCGCGCGAGGGTCCAGGTGTCGGGGTGGGCGGGCGCGAGGGCCGAGGAAGGGGATGAGATGGGGCGGGGAGCTGTCGCGAAGAACGAGGGGCGAGGTCAGTCGAGGACCTGGAGCGTACCGAGAGGGAAAGAGAGAGGGAGAGAGGGAGAGAAGCCGGACCGCTCGCCTCGACCTCGACCACTTTCCCAACCTCGTCCTCGGCGCCCGGCAGCACGAAAGCCCACCTCCTGTACCTCTGCTCGTCCGCGTGCGCCTCGAGACAGTCAGGCACGCACGTCCGGACGGCGTGCTGCGGGGTCACGAGGCGCCAGGTGCCCTGCAGCGATACGACGAAGGAGCGCGCGGCGTGCGGCGCGGTCGGGAGCTCTGCGGCGGGGCGGGCTCGTCATCCTCGTGCTCAGGACGAGAGAGAGAACAGAGAGGGGGGGCGCACCGACGACCTCAGCCTCGTCGACGCCCGACCCGACGCCTCGGAACGCGAACAGCTCGCCGCCGTCGGGCTGGCGCACAAACGCCGCGATGCGGTCCGAGGGGCCCTCGAGCGCAAAGCTCGTGCTGCTCGTGCGAACGAGGCGACGCTCGGGCCACAGGGAGAGCGCGAGGCGGCGGGCGGGCTTGGGCGCTTTGCGAGAGAGGGAGGGGAAAAGAGAGGGTCAGTGCGACGGCGAGAAGGTGAGAGAGGAACCGGGGGACGCACTCGCGGACAGGCTCGCCCGGAACGAGACGTACACGTCGCTCTTCGGGTCGCCGCGCACGCCGAGGAAGCGCCACGAAGCGGCGCTCGGCGCGCCGCCCTCGCCCTCGAGGCGCAGGAACTGCCACCTGTCCGGCGCGGCGTCTGCTCGGTGACGGGGCGAGTCAGAGGGCGAGCGTGTGAAAGAGGAGAGAGTGGGACGCACCGGTACGAGGGACCTCGATCGTGCTGCGCGCGGTTTCGCCGAGGGAGGGCACGCTGCAGAAAGGGACGCGAGCGCCGTGGAGCACGCCGGTCAAGAGGACGTCGGCGTCGTGCACGACGACGGGCTTCTTCTCCATGACGAGGAACATGTCGTCGGCCTCTGTGCGTGGGCGAGAGAGTGTCAGTTGTTGCTCGAGACGCGAGAGGACGAGGAAGAGGACGCACCGCCAGGGAAGTCGATGCGGCCCGTCCACAGCTCGTCGCCGCCGGGCACGAGCGTCGACCACGACCCGCTGCGCCCGTCCCAGTACTGCATGAAGGCCTCGATGCGGTGCTTCATGGCGGCGACGGGCACCGTCTTGGCGTCGGCCGCGCGGTGGAAGCGAGAGAGGTGCCGCGAGAGGGACCAGGAGGAGAGAGGCTCGGCCATGGCGCGTCGGTACGACAAGGCGCAGGAGAGGGACAGCTCGAGCGTGTTGGAGAGAGAGAGCCTCGTGCTCGAGCTCAGCGACAGGCGTGCAGCGGAAGCATTTGCGGTCGGAGGAGCGTGCGTCCGCCGACCCTACCGGTCACTGCGGCGGTACACCGCTTCACGCGGACAGGAGAGTAGAGCGCATCAGAAGCGGGGAGAACGCTGCTCGGTGCTCGCTCGAGGCGGGCTGACGAGGCTCGCTCGAAGCGAAGGCCGGGAGGAGAGCGAGGAGGAGGACGGCGCTAGGAGCGAGCGACGCGGCGGACTGGCTGCAGCGGATGGACGCAGTGCTCCAGGGTGCACAGGAGCACACACCCGGCGAGTCAAGGCTGCAGCAGGTGCGGAGGTAAAGAGCCAAGCCTGCTCGTCGTCGTCGTCGCCGCTTCCTCTCGCACCGCTCGTTCGACACGAGCGCAGAGCCCTGCACGCGCTGCAGAGGTACACCAGCCATGCTCGGATGGTCGACCCAGCTCGGCAACAAGCTCTTGTGCGTCTCTCTCGTCCTCCCCTCCTCGTCCCCCCACTCAATGAGCCGGCACCTCCTTCCCTCGCCTCGTCCAGGCGCGATGAGCCACCCTGCCTGACCAAAGTCACCCTATGCCGACAGCGGCCCTGATCCCAAGCTCGAGTTCCGCAAGCCAGGCCAAGGGCTCGACTTGCTCGCGGGACCGGTGCGTTCTCATCCTCTCGCCTCCCTCTCTCGCGCCGAGCACTGACTCTGGCTCGCCTTGCCCGCCGCGCAGACGATCTCGATAGACGGTGCGTCACCCCCACCACCCTTAGAGACGAACTCCTCCTGACCCTCGCCTTCACGCAGCTCCTTACTGGAACCAGGTGCGGCTCGCCTCCTGCTCCTCTGCGACCCCCTCGCTCACTCGACACCGCCCTGCAGTACCTCACCATCTTTGACTCGCCCGCCGACCTTCCGCACCTCCTGCCCTCCCAAGCCCTCCTCCACGCCCTCCACCGCAACCCTCTCAACGTCCTCACCCTCGTCCACTTTGCCTCGTCGACCCTCTTCCGCCTCCTCGCGACGCCCGACTTCCCTCACGGCCACGACCACGCCCGCGAGGCTCTCAACGCCGTCCGCGTCCTGACGAGGGTCGTCCCGCTCCTCCTTGCGCCGCGCGGCGTCGACGCCGAGGGCTTTGCCGCCGTCGATGCGGTCGAGGACGAGCTGTTCTGGAGGCGAGAGCGGGTACCGGTCGCGCGTGAGATCGGCGAGGAGCCGGTTGGGGCGGCGCAGGCGGGTGCGGGGGCAGGAGCAGGAGGCGGGAACGAGGATGGGCAGTTCGTCCTCGAAGACGACGACGACGACGACGGCGCGGCGGCGGGCGACCCGCTCTCGTCCTCGACGCCCGCCGCATCGTCTTCGGCTGCACCTCGCGCCCAGGAGCCAGCGTATGACGAGCTGCCGCCGCTCGCCGTGCGCCTCCTCGGCGCGCTCGTCGACCTCCTGTTCGTCCCTGGCTTCACGGTCGCCGAGTCGCTCGCGGCGCCGCAGCCTACGGGTCACGAGGGCCGAAGCGTCGTAACCTACGCCATCTGGTGCGTCTCTCGCGCTCTCTTTCGCCCTCGCATCGCCCGGAACTCACGCACGTTCGCGCCCCTGCAGGGAGCCCGGCATCGCCTCGTCGACGCCCTCGCCGCCTCTCCCGACGTCGTACCTCACCGCCCGCGTCGAGATCCTCCGCCTCCTCACCCTCCTCATCTCGCTCCCCTCGCTCCTCACCCCGCCCCACCTCTTCCCGACCCTCCCGAACCGCTGGCGCGACGCCCTCGTGTCGGGCCTCGCCGCCGGCCACGGCGACCGCAACGTCGTCCTGTGCCTCCTGTGCTCGACGCTCAACGTCGCGCTCAACGCCGGCGCGGCGGCGAGCTCGGCCGGCACCGACGGCGAGTCGCTGCGTGCGAGGGCGGCGCGCCTCGCGGCCGACACGGCGAGGCGCACGGGCGCGTCGCCGTCGACGGCGGTCCTTGGTGGCGACCAGGCGTCGGCCAAGCAGGCGCTCGTCGGCGCGTCGCTGCACCTGCTCGGCGCCGTCCTCCTCGAGCATGCCCCGTCCGCCGACTCGCCCTCGCCTGCCGCCGCCGACCCGGGCCCGTCCTCGTCGCCAAACCTGTTCGCCTTCTACCTGTCGAGGCTGCACCGCCCGGCCGACCTGTCGTTCTTCGTCTCGGGCACGCTCGGCCTCGTCGAGTCGGCGCTCGCGGCTCCGCCCGTCGGCGGCCTCTTTGCCGGCGCCGCCGCAGCCGTCGCAGGCAGCGCCGGGCTCGGGACGAGCGGCGGAACTGGCGGCGGCAGCAGCGGCAGCAGCGGCGACGCGCGGCGCGACCCGGCGTGGGCGACCGAGGCGCTCGTCCTCTTGTCGCGCGCTTGGGCCCTCAACAAGAAGCTCGTCGCGCACGTCGCGCGCGACGTCGGCGGCGTCCCACCGCTCGTCAGCGCGCTCGAGGCGTGCACGCTCGAGTGGCGCGACGACGATGCGGCACTCGGGCTCGTGCGCGCGGCGAGCTTTGCGCTGCAGAGCGTGAGCGCCGAGGTGGGTGCGGCGGTGCTCGCGAGGGGCAACGAGGGCAGGGAGGAGCTCGCGAGGGTGCTGAGCGCGCCGATGGGCGTCGGGCTGGTCGGCGCGAGGTTGGCGAGCGTCGTGAGGCGGCTCGTCGCGGCGCAGGGGGTCGAGCTGCAGGGTGAGGGCGGTCGCGAGGGAAAGGGCGAGGACCGGGACGTCAGCTGTGCCGAGTTCATCACGGTGCGTCTCGCGTTCATCCCCGTCTTTCTCGCCGGCGCCTCTCGAGCGACGGAGGACTGACTTGGTGATTCCGGCGTCGCAGATATCCCTCCACGCCGTCCTCCTTCCCTCGCCTCACGTTCCCGCACACGCACCCTCGCGCACCGCCCTCTCGACCCTGTACCCGTCGCGCCTCCTCCTCTTGTCCAACCTGTCGCCGTTCGTGCGCGACCTCGGCCACGACGCCGCGACGAGGCTCGTGCGCGTCTGGCTCGCCTTCTCGGCGCCGAGCTGGGTCATGATGGAGGAGGGCAACCCGAGGCTCATGTTCTGTGAGTCTCTGCGAGCGCGTCCATGGCGACCTCCTCCTGTCAAGGCGCACAGGTCGTCTTCATGAACGAGCCCTCGTCCTGACTCCTTTCCTGCCGTGAAACCTTAAAAGCTTTAAAAGCCTTATATATTCTTTTTTTTCTTATAAAAGTCTGCCCTCGCCGTTCCGCATTCTGCGTCGTCCTCCCTCGCGCAAATTGACTGACACCCCTTTCTCTCGCCCGCAGAATCCCCACCTCCTCTACGCCCTCACCATCACCCTCAAGCGCCTCGAGCTCCTGTCCAACTTCACGCTCGCTCAGGGCATCGCCGAGGCGCGCCGTCTGCGCGCCGCTCGCCGCGACCGCCAAGCCGGGCGCGCCCTGTCGTCCATCTCGGAGGGCTCGACGGCCTCGAGCCTGCCGACCTCTTCCTCGTCGGCGCCACCGCTTGCGAGCGTCGCCGCAGGCACTGCCGACGTCGTCGGCGACGTCGACGGCGCGTCCGAGGTCGTGCGGGGCAAGCGGCCTGAGCGCGCCTTGTCGATCAGCAGCGTCGCCGACTTGAGCCTGACGGGCAGCCCGAGCCTCGGCAGCGGCGTTGCTGGCGGCGCAGGGTCGTCGAGGACGAGCTTGGCGCTGTACGATGACGAGGCGGCGGGCGAGAGGCCGTTCGTCGGCAAGAACGGGTTCGTGCCGAGCGAGGAATGGGTTGCGAGCTGGAGGGACGGGTCAGTCGGCGCTCTCTCACTCGGTCGCTCGCCCGCTCCCAGCGAGACGAGCGATCGTCCTCGCAGATGATCGTGTAGTCCTGACGCATTCTTTGACCTGCAGCCTCCCGCTCGACACCCTCCTCGTCCTCCTCTCCGAGCTTCGCCCTCTCCTCGCCGAGCACGACCCCTCCTTCCCCTCAACCTCGGCCCCTCCTTCCTCAGCGACCATCGCGCACCTGCGCACGCTCCTCGTCTCGCCCTCGCTCACGGCGCTCCTGCCGCCCTCGTCCTCGCGCGCCGAGCCCAAAATGCGGCCCTTTGTCGGCTCGCCCGCCGCGACGACTTGGCTCGCGAGCCTCCTCTACGGCAGGTTGTACCTCGCCCTCCTCGCCTACGTGCGCGACACGCTCCCCGTCCAGCTCTTCGCCGTCGCGTCGGCGCCGTCGGCAGCCTCGGGCGGTCGAGCTCGCGCAGGGCTCGTCGCAGGCCTGAGCGACGGGCTTGGCGCAGAGATGGAGCGCGTCGGCAGGAGTGCGGCGCAGGTCGGTGGAAGGGTTGGCGGGGCCGTGCGAGGCGTACTCGGCCGCTTCGGCGGCGCGACGGGCGGGAGGTAGCCACGGCAATGCCACGTGTTCTCGTCTCTCTCTTTCTCTCTGTTTCTTTGCCTCGTTCAGCCGCCGTCGTTGCGCTTGTATACAGTGCTGCGAGTCCTGGTCGTTGCGAGTGCGTGCAGGAGAGAAGAAGGGGGTACCAAGAGGACAACGAAAGAGGGAAAGAGAGCTCGCTTTTCGAGAGAGTGACGCGAACGAGATCTAGTCGTAGAGGTTCCAGCTCTGCCAACGAGGGGCGCAAAGGGGAAGAGAGAGAGTCAGTACTGGGCGCGAGAGAGAGGCAGAGCGCATGCTTGGAGAGAAAAGAGAGAGGGGGGGAGCGCACCTTCCTCCACTTGCGGCCGACCATGTCCTTTGCCGGGCCCTCGATGCCCCAGGCGCACGCCCTGAAGAACCACCACGTGCCGACGACGGCGCCGGCGACGAGGCCAAAGACGACCTTTTTGGTGCGCGGCGTGAGGCGGTGCGAGCGGAAGATGAAGTGGTCGAGGAGAACGCCCGACATGAGGACCGAGAACCACAGCGTCGGGAGGTAGTGGTGGAGGTAGGTGACGCGACCCATGACGAGGAAGGGCACTGGGAGAGAAGGAGAGAGAGAGACGAAGTCAGTTGTCGGCGAGGGGTCCGTGCGGGTGTGGGGAAGAGCGAGGAACGCACAGTAGTGGAAGGCCCAGCCGCCGAACGCGATCTTGGACACGTAGAGGAAGTGGTTCCACTCGCCTGCGCGCCAGAGAGAGCGAGGTGAGCTCGAGGGGGGCGAGAGAAGAGAGGGAGCGAGAGCGGACGGACCTGGAGCAAAGTCGTTGATCTTGCGCTGAAACCGCATGAGGTGCCACAGGAGCGTAAAGGCCCACACGACGAGGCTCGCGCTGCCCATCCACCACGTGATGGGGTTGCCGACGAGGTAGTACTTGATGCCAAAGTCCTGCCACCCGTTCATGCGCATGCCGTTGAACAGGAACGGCCAGTCGAACGGCTTGGACGCGATCGTGTCCTCCTTGTCGGCGTCGGGCACGAGCGCGTTGTTGGACGTCATCATGGCGACATTGAGGTGCCAGAAGTCGCGGAAAAAGGGCGAGCGGTACAGCTTTTGGTTGCCGGCGGGAACTGCGGACGCGTGCGCCGAGTCAGTCTCACGCGCTCGAGTCGAGCGACTGCTCCCAGGGAGAGGAGAGGAAGAGAAAGAGGGACGCACGACGGTCGTTCCAGTGGCTCTCGATGTTCCAGTAAGTGTGCTCGTCGCGCGGGTTGTTGCTCTTGTCGCAGCTGACCTCGACCTGCTTGAAGCCCCACTGCGGGAGGACGGCGTTGGCCGCGCGCAGGTAGCACCCGCTGTTCTGGTGGCGGAACCGCAGCCGGGTCGACAGCGAGTGGATGCGGTCAAACTTGTGGCGCGCGCCGCGCAAAAAGTCGTCGACGACCTCGACGGTCCAGTAGTCGTTCGAGTCGCCGACGGTCGCGTTGCCGTAGCACGACACCTCGTGGTTGAGCTTGCTGACGGGCGCCGCGATCGAGTGCGAGTGCAAGTTGCGGCCGGTCGAGTGGTGCACGAGCCGCACGACGTCGTTGTGGCGCAGGTAGACGATCTCGCCGTTGTCGACGTCGATCGGGGCCGCCTCCCACGTCGGCGTCACGACCCACTCGTTGTTCTCGTCCTTGTAGTGGTAGCACGTGACCTGCTGCTGCTGCGAGCCGACCGGGTACGTCTGGACGTGCGAGTGCAGGAGGCCGCCGCCGTAGCCCATGTTCTTGAGCGTGAGGCGCGAGCCGTACGCCGGCTCGAGCGGGTTGCGCGCAAAGTCGTTGCCGTGCAGGTGCGCCTGGAACAGGGACGACATTTGCGAGTCGCCGGGGCCCGACCGGTTCAGGACGAGGAAGTGGAGCTTGAACGTGAGGGCGTAGACGCAGAACGGGATGACCATGAGGCACAGGATGCGGGCGACCCAGTGACGGACGTAGGTGCGCTGCGGGCGAGGGTACGAGAGAGGTCAGAACCCGCCGAGGTGGTCGAGGAAGACGGGCGACGACGGGCTCACGTAGCTCATGCGCAGGTCGCCGAACTTGTTCCACAGGTCCTCGACCGTGTAGATGCCGACGAGTGCCGTGACAAACATGCCGACCCACTTGACGCTGCGGGCGAGGGGACGGAAATCGTGAGCTCAGGCCCCTCGAGGCGAAAGAGCGAGAGAGAGCAGGACGCACGAGCAGACGCAGCCGATCGAGATGCCCGTCAACGTCAACCAGACCCACCAGTCCTCCTCGAAAGGTCTGCGCGAGGGCAAGAGAGTGTCAGTAAAGCGCAGCACTGGTGGGACGAGCTGCTACCAGGCTGCGGCCTGAGAGAGGCTCGACCAGGAGGCGGCGAGAGAGACGCACCTGCGCTGCTGGTTGTTGAACGCCGCGAGGCAGTAGACGGTCGTGAAGGTGAAGAAGAGGAGGAGCGAGTCGAGGAGGACAAAGCGCGAGATGACGATCCAGGCGAGGTCTGTGGGCGACGAGGTGCGTCAGGTCGGCGAAAAAACCGGTGCACGTGTGGGCCTGGCGGAGTGCAGGGTAGGTGGAGGAGGAGAGCGACGCGACGCACCGGTGAGGACCATGAGCGTGACGATGTGCCGCCCCCACTTGGTCATCCTCAGCTCGACGGCCGTCCCCCACGCGAGCGGGACCATGGCGACGCCGGGCAGGGCGAGCATGATGCGCATGGCGCGGAACGGGACGTGGTCCGGGTAGACGGCGCCCGACGGGTAGTCGAACGAGCCGTTGAAGCCCGAGATGGCGCCTGCGAGGCCGACGAGCATCTTGCCCAGTGGAGGGTGGACCTGCGGGCGCCGAACGAGGGTCAGAGACGCTCAAGGGGGTTTGAGGGAAGACTGAGAGGGACGCACATCGAAGTAGAAGGTGCGGTTGAGGTAGTAGGCGCCGAACTTGCCAAAGTGCGCCTGCGGAAGAAGGGCGAGTCAGGACCGCCGCCAGGCCTCGCGCGACAAGAGAAGCAGGGACGCACCTCGTCCCAGACGACCGAGTTGGCGGCGCCGATGCGGTACAGGCGAGTGAACAGGGCGAGGACCGTGTAGACGAGGAGCGGGATCTGCGCCTTGAGGTCCGAGAGCACCTCGCGCCCGACGGCGCGCTGCGGGGAGTTACAGTGTCAGTCTCGCGCGGTCCTGGCGGCAACCGTGCAGGCACTGCGGTCAACGCTCGACGAGAGCCTTGACCGCGCCGCCGACGTGGATGCAGGAGGGAGAGCGAGGGACGCACCCAGGTGACGGGCTGCCGGTGACGCCTCGACGCCGAGTCCGAGCCGCCCTTTGCGAGCCACTCCTTGCGCGTCTCGGGGATGCGGCCCTCCATGCCGATGCCGCTCGCCGGCCACAGCTCCTTGCCCTCCTTGCCCTCGCCCGCCTCGGCACCGGCGCCGCCGTTCAAGAGCGGGTCCTGCTCGGCGCCGCCGTCGACGTAGCTCGCCGTGCTCTGCCCTGCGCGGCGGCGAGCCGTACTCGAGTCGACCAGCTCGACCATGTCGTCGTCGTCGTCGTTGTCGTCGTGCGCGTCGCGGTGGAGGAGGTCGTCGTCGCGCTTGTGGTGCGACGAGGCGGTGTGCGAGTTCTTGCGGGCCGTGTAGAGCGGGAGGCCGGGCTGTCGCGGGGCGTAGGGGTCCTGGGCCCAGGAAGCGCCTCCTGGCGAGGGCGGGGACGACGAGCGGGACGACGAGGTCGAGGAGGAGGGGATGAGGAGGGACGAGGGGAGGTCGGCGCGGCGGGACATGCGGCGAAGGGGGGCGGACACAGCTGCACTGGCTGGTGAGCGGCGAGCCAGGCGACTTGGCTGCGAGCCTGTCGTTGTGGGTGGACCGAGACGACGTTGCTGCGCCGCTTCATCTCTCCACGTCGTCCGCTCGCGTCGCAGCTCTCTGTCTCGCCAACGAGAGTGCCTTGCGGTCCGTCCAAGCCACATGCGTAGCCTCAGACGCGCTCACAGGCCCGCGCCGCATCCCTTTGTGAGAGTCTGTTTCTCGCTCGCGCTTGCTCCTCTCGCCGGCGACGCTCGTGTGCTGCTCTCGGACTCGCAGTTCGAGCGACGCAGCCACGCAGAGGCACTCTAAGGGTCGAGAAAAAGAGAGAACAGCGACAGAGCATGCAAGTTGCAAAGCGAGGAACGACAAGGAGGGGAGAGAAGGCTACACAGAGGCGCTCGTGCTGGACGGTGTGGACGACAAGGTAGAGGGCCCGACGCATCGAGCGCGAGAGAAGGGAAGGAGAGGGCAGGCGCGAGAGTGGGCGAGCCGCTCAGGCCGTGACGACGGTGCTGCGGACGAACTTGCGCCGGTCCTTCTCGAGCGGCGACAGCGGCGGCTCGTTCGGCTCGATGTAGAGCAGCTGTGACGGGCGCACGAAGAGTGGTCAGGATCGTCGTCGCGAACAAGGTGGACATCGACGAGAGGGCAGAAGCTCCTCGAGAGAGCCTCGATCCGCTCGATCACGACCGAGAGGACGACGCCGACGCACCTGGTACGCGTCCTTGCGCTTGAGCTCGCGCATGTTGACCCGCACGACCTTGAGCACGTCGCCGTACTTGAGCGCGCCGCCCGCCGTGCCGAAGCCGCCGTGCGAGGTCGAGCCGAGGAGCGGCGACAGCTTGAGCTTCTTCGAGGGCGGCGGGGACGAGTGGTTGGCGGCGCAGGCGGGGCTCGAAGAGGAAGAGGAGGTGGTCACTTTTGTCGAGGTCGAGGCGGCGAGTGCTGCTGCTGCGGCGGCGGCCTTGAGCTCATGCGAGATGGGCCTGCGAGGCAGGGCGACGAGGTGAGCTCTTCCACTGGGTGCAGTACAGCGCGTCGCACGACGACAATCATCGGCGACGCGCATGAGGTACAGGCTGAGCGGAAGAGCCGACGCACTTGCCCGGGTCGAACACGAGCAACCACGCCTCGTCCTCCTCGTCTTCCTCCCCCCTCCCCTGCCCAAGCCCGGCGACGGCGCCCCTGCGCCTCGCCTTGCCCGACCCGAGCTCGACGCCGACAACCGTGCGGCTGTGCCCGCGGTGCTGCAGATACAGCGGCTCGCGCGCCGTGAGGCGGACGGGCCCGCCGGCGGCGGCGGCAGACTGGAGCGCCGTGAAGGCATTCTCGGTCGAGGGAGGGGGAGGCGAGGTGCTCGTTGAAGGTGCAGAGGAAGGAGCGAGGCGGAAGTAGGTCACGAGCCATTTCTGCGCGAGGGAAGGGACCGAGGGTCAGTGTGGGGAAGGACCGAGCGAGGGAAGGAGAGGCAGACGCACGAGAAGAGGCTCGTGGACGCTGCTTGTGCCCGACAGCTTGGGAAAGTCGATGATGGTCGCCCTGTATGCGTGAACGAGTCAGGGCCCGCACAAACGGCACGAGCCGAGACCAGCTCCTGAGGGCTAGCTCGTTCGGCCCGACCTGACGCAGAGAGCGCGCGACGCACCGGATGCCGAGCCACGTAAGGGCGGCGTAGACCTCGGTCGTGCCGATCCAGCGACGCGAGTTGATGAGCTTGCCGCCAAAGTGGCGCGCGCCGTCCGGGTCGTGCCCTGCTCGAGGAAGCGCGGTCAGGTCGGCGAACTGGACGGTCTGCGGCCATCCCTCTTTCGCCGAGCAGACAGGAAAGGAGAGAAAGACGAGGCTGTCGAGGACGCACCGGCGGCCCAAGCCTGCTCGATGATCTCCTGCCACTCGCGGATGGTCGGGATGGGCGCGAGCGACGGCGACGCGGTACTGCTGTCCGACGACGACGATGTCGCCGACGAGAAGTGTTTGGCGTACTGCGACAGGTGGCGGAGCGACGAGAAGATCATCTGGGCGTTCTTGTACCTGCGCGCGAGGGAATGGGGAGTTAGTCTGGATGGTCTTCATCAGGCGCGCAGGCGCGAGCCGAGGCACACAGGCCTCGACGTCGCTCCTACACCATGAAGAAGATGCGGACGCTCACCCGCAGCCCCACCCCCAGTCCTTGACGCGCGTCGGGATGTGCTCGGTCGTCGTCGTCACGAGCCACGCCTCCTCGGTGCGGCCCTGCGGCGCCAGGTTGGACTGCTTGAGCGTGTGGCGGAGGACGTGGATGAGCCCTGTGACGGTCGAGAGGGTCAGGGCGTGTGGCGAGAGCCGGAAAGGCAGAGAGAAAGGGGATCGAGCGCACCTGCGGTCCCTCGCACCTCGTCCCTCCCGCCGACGCCGCCGAACCAGGGCCTCTTGCCCCTCCCGCACAGCAGACCCGGTCCCACGCCCGTCTCCGCATCGCCCTCGTCGTCCTCGTCCGCCACGCCATGCAAGCCCGCCCCTGCCGCCCTTTGCCCGTCCTCCTCGAACCGCCCTTTCGCCTCGAGGCACGCCGCCGTGTGCGCCTCGCGCCGCTCGAGGACCCTCGTGCGTGCTGCGCCGTAGTCGGCGGTCGACGACGGGAGCGAGAGACCGCGCTCGGCCCAGCTGGCGCCGCAGACGGGGCAGACCGCGTCGGACGACGACGAGGAGGAGGCGGCGTCGTCGTGCGCGAGGGCGAGAGCGAGGGCACGGTCGTGGTCGAAGGTCGAGGTGGTGGACGGTGCGGCGGACAGCTCGTCGCCGGCGAGGGCGAGGGCGAGGGCTGCGTCGGACGAGAAGTGCGAGGGGAGAGTCGGAGGAGGGGAGGGCGAGCGGCGCTTGGTCGAGCCAGCATGGCTCGTGGTGCTGGTTGAGGAGCCTTGGCGGTCGAGACCTGCAGCGCACGGGGCTCGGTAGGTCAGCGAGGGGCCGAGAATCTGGTGCGAGAGATGAGGACGAACAGGCGTTGAGGTGGTGCTGGACGAACGCCGCGTCGCCGTCGAGCAGCTCGCTGCACACGAAGCAGTGCTGCTGCGCACTCATGCTCACGCGGCGTGGCTGGCGCGAGGTGCGAGGCAGGGCGGACGCTGAGGACGGCGAGTTCGCTCATCAGTTCGCCTCGTCGACCGCGACCGGCGCGCCTCTCTGTGGCTCTCTGGAGGCGCTCTGCACTCTCTCGATGCTGGAGGCAAGCCGCCGCTGTGCTCGCAAGGGCGACGAGCGACGCCGTCGCTCTCGAGACTCGCACGCGCATCTCGCGCCCGCTCGCCGCCGCGCACAGAGACCCACGGAGAGCGAGAGAGGGAAGCAACACATTCGCGCGTTACACAGGGCACTGCAGAGAGAACTTGTCGAGGTCGAGGAGGTAAACCCAATGAGGAGGATGAAGGGGAGGGGAAGAAGCTGGGGAACGAGGGCAGCGTCTACTGCTCGTTGACGATGATGCTCGCCGCGCCCATGCCGCTGCGGAGGTGGAGAGGGAGGTCAGTCTCGTCGTTGTCGTCGTACGGGAGAAGGAGAGGGACGAGGACGCACGAGCCGATGCACATGCTCGTGCAGATGACCTTGGCGCCCGAGCGCTTGGCCTCGGCGAGCGCAGTCGCGATCTGGCGGGCACCCTGTATGCGCAAACCGACGACGAGTCAGGACGACCGCCACCAGGAGAGGAGGGAAAGAGAGAGAGAGAGAGAGAGAGAGGGACACACGGTGCAGCCGAGCGGGTGGCCGAGCGCGATGGCGCCACCGTTCGGGTTCACCTTGGCGTAGTCGAGGCCGAGGTGCTCGATCGACATGACGGCCTGCGACGCGAACGCTGCAGTGCGAGACGACGAGTCAGGACAGGCGCACACCGAGAGAGAGAGAGAGAGAGACAGGGACGCACCCTCGTTGATCTCGTACAGGTCGACGTCGTCCTTGGTCAGGCCCGTCTTCTCGAGCACCTTGGGGATGGCGAATGCGGGACCGATGCCCATGAGCTTGGGCTCGACGCCGGCGACGGCCGTGTGGCACACCTTGGCGAGGATCGGGAGGCCGAGCTCCTGCGCCTTGGAGCGGCGCGTGAGGAGGACAGCGGCGGCACCGTCCGAGACCTGCAGGCGCGACGAGCTGGGTCAGTGCGGGCTCGACATCGACACCGACGAGGAGGAGGGAGAGAGCGAGAGGACGCACCTGCGAGGCGTTGCCGGCGTGCGTGCTGCCAGTCTTGGAGAAGACGGGCTTGAGCTTGCTCAGGCTCTCCTTGGTCGTGCCGGCACGGATGCCGTCGTCCTCGGTGACCGTGATCTCGCGCTCCTCGTCCGTCTTGGGGTCGGTCCACTTGGTCCGGACGGGCACAATCTCGCTCTTGAACTTGCCGGCCTTCTGCGCCGCCTCGGCGCGCTGGAACGACGTAGCCGCGAACGCGTCCTGCTGGTCGCGCGAGATCTTGTACTCGGTCGCGACGTTCTCGCCTGCAAGAGGGAAGGAGAGGGTTAGGTACTGGCGCAAGGGAGGAGAGGAGGAGGGGGACGCACTCGTGATGCCCATGGGGAGGAGGCAGTCGGCCGCCTGCCGGTTCTCGAGGACATTGTCCGACATCTGCAGGGCGTAGCGAGTGTCAGTCGAGGTTTCGTGGGCGCGAGAGGAAGAGAGAGAGAGGGCAAGGCGCACCTTCTCCGGCATGGCGCCCGCACCGTAGCCCTGGGTCATCGACTCGACGCCGGCACCGATGCCCATGTCGATCTGGCCGGCGGCAATCTGGAGCGCGATGTGGTTGACGGCGACGAGGCCCGACGAGCACTGGCGGTTGACGGTCGCGACCGACGACGTGGTCGGGAAGCCGGCGGCGAGCTGGGCCATGCGGGCGACGGTGGCGCCGCCGCCGGGCGGGAGGACGTTGCCGACCTGGATCTCCTCGACGAGGTCCTTGCTGGCGCCCGAGCGGTCCATGACGCCCTCGAAGACGGCCTTGAGGAGGTCCTCGGGGCACGCGTCCTTGAGGCCGCCCTTCTTGGCGCGCGTGATCGGGGTGCGCACGGCGGCAACGATGACGACGTCGTCCGGGTTCTTCTGGAGGAGGGCGGCCTTGCCGCGCGGGGTGAGGTGCGACACGAGGCCGGAGAGGCGCTCCTTGGCGGACGAGGCGGCGGACGAGAGGGACCTGTTGAGCGGGTGTGCGAGAGAGTGGGTCAGCGAGGGTGCGCAGGTGCAGTGAAGTGGGAGGGAGTGTGTGCTCACATGACGGAGGCTGCGTGGGTGTTCGGTAGGCGAGGCGAGGTGGGCGAGGAGGGAGGGCGGCGAGGTGGGACGTGGCGGGAGCGAGAGTGAGCGAGGGCGCGCGGCAGGACGAGGATGAGGGGCAGACGAGGGCACACCTGGTGAGAGTGCTTGTGAGTGAGAGTGCGACGTGTGCGTGAAGCGGTGAGAGGGAAGAGGGAGAGAGGCCGGCCGCCGAGATGAGGCTGAGCAAGAGGGGCGCGGCCAACGGCGTCTTTGCGGACCGGGTCCAAGTCTCACTTTTGTCGTACGCGCAGACCGGCTCGTGCCTTCGTAGACTCGAGCTATAGCACAGGTCCATGTTGCGACCAAGGCGGTGACCTGAGCCCGCGACGGACGAGTGCTACCGTCCGGCACAAAGCGAGGAGCGAAAGGCGGATTAGGGGAGAATTAGTATTGGCTCGATTCCGGTCCGGCCTCAGGGGAGGATCGTCTCAGCTCGGCCGAACTTGGGCGCACAGTCGGCCTGGCCTCCACCTCGAGCTGCTCACAGTCTCTCGCTCGCCATGCCCGCCTCGACCGACACGGCTGGGCTGCACAGCGACCTCGAGCGCACCCCTCTGCTCGCAACGCGCGCCTCGCACGACGCCATGGCGCCCTCGCACCCCAGCGTCGACCACCACGCGGCTCCTCCAGGAGCGCTCTCGCTCATCGCCAACAGCTCGTTCGCCGGCGTGGCCGCGCTCGTCGCCCAAGCAGGGCTCGCACTTGCCGGCCTGACCCTCGCCGAGGTCATCTGGACCCACCCTGCCGGTGCGCCCTCCCCTTCTCCCCACCTCGGCCGCCGACCACAGCTCACCCTCGACGATCGCAGGCCTCTTTTCGTACCACCCGAGCCTCCAGACCCTCGCTGTCCTCGGCTTCATCGAAGGTCAGCCCGCCGCCTCCCCTCTCGGTCACAAACGCGAGCGTCAAACTCATCCTTTGCCCCCGATCCCGCAGGCATCCTCCTCCTCCAGCCGCAGCCCTCGACCGCAGCGCACAAGAAGAAGGGCCTGCAGGTCCACCAGGTGTTCCAGTACACGTCGGCCGTCGCCATCGCCGCCGGCGCCGCCTTCATCGTCTACAACAAGGCGGCCCACGGCGGTTCGTCCTCTTACCGCACTTTCCCTTTCCCTTTCCCGCTCGACGAGGCTCACGCACCTCTCGTCCTCGCAGCCAAGCACATCCAGACGTGGCACGCCACGTTCGGCCTCATCGTGCGTCCTGCTCGCCCCCTCCTCTGGCTTCGTCGAGCCGAACGCACTGACCCTCGGTCGACCTCGTTCCACAGACCCTCGCGCTCATCTCGGCCCAGATCATCTTTGGCGCTCTCGTCGTCTACGCGCCGCTGCAGAAGCTCCTCGGCGGCCAGGCCAAGGCCAAGCAGCTGTGGAAGTACCACCGGTCCGTCGCCTTCCCAACCAGCCCCTCTGCGCACCCCCACAACTCACGCTCTCTCGTCCCCCCCCGCCCCCCCCCCCTCAGGATGCTGGTGTAATGGCTTTAAACAACCCGTCTTGAAACACGGACCAAGGAGTCTAACAGGCTCGCGAGTATTTGGGTGTCAAACCCGGATGCGGATGAAAGTGAACGTAGGTGGGAACCGAATGGTGCACCATCGACCGATCTGGATTTTTTACGATGGATTTGAGTAAGAGCGCGTATGTTGGGACCCGAAATTGGTGGACTATGCCTGAATAGGGCGAAGCCAGAGAAACTCTGGTGGAGGCTCGAAACGCTTCTGACGTGCAAATCGATCGTCAAATTTGGGGATAGGGGCGAGAGACTTTTCGAACCATCTAGTAGCTCGTTCCTGCCCAAGTTTCCCTCAGGATAACACAGACTCAGATCCGTCCTATTACGTAAACCAAATGATTACAGGCCTTGGGGTTCGAAACGACCTTTAACCTATTCCCC